AACTTTAACATTAAGAAAAATAGATGATGTTGAGCAATAGGCGGGGTGGTACAGTAAACACCCACATATAAGAACCCAGAATTTTCGAGGTCATGCTGAACAGGTTCTTGTATTTTGGGGTAGTTTTTCACAATTCAGGCTGATTAGGTTCTTAAAAGGGTCTTATTTTTCAGAGGTCGTCATAGTGTAACCATTGGCAGAAATATTGTACTACTAATGCATAATGGCAAACATTCAAGGTCCAAGGAGAACATCAATACATTTCTATTTTTTTATATAATTATTAAGATATTAAGATTTTAAATCGTCTATATTGCACGGTAGCTTTATGCAAAACATACTTCTTTTTCTAGTGAAAATCCAAACAAATGTAAATTAAAAAAAACATGTACACAATCGGCCTTTTGTAAACGTTTCTCACACAGTTAAAATCGAGAAGTTTGACCATAAAAATTGGAGTGTGATTGTTTTGTATAAAAACCATTCTTTGCCACGCTGAACAAGTTCTTATATTTTTGGGTATTTAAATTCCCAAATTCAGCCTGTAGGTTCTTAAATCAGTAGGTTCTTATAATTGTGCGGGTTTTTACTGTGTTAGACAAGAAGATCGGCTCGGCATGATGGTTTCGCTGGGTTTGTGTGTCTGGGCTTGGGTCTCACCCGTAAGTACTAAATATATATACACGTTTAGTGATCTTTGTGAACCTGACTGGTCCGCATCTCGGACTATTCAGCATTCACCTCCTAGCGAGTACATAAAACGTGAGCTCTGTGTTTTGCCAATTTTTTAAAGCTAGGACTTAATAATTTGATAATTTTCGAGAAATGATGGGACTTTTCCCTTGAATAAAATTGTCGTTAAAAAATTTAAATTATTTACTGAGAGAATAAAGAATTGTTAACTTGATACAAGGGGAAACCCCTCGTTACTTTTTCCATTAAACGGCCAATAACAACGTTTTTCCTGTTGCAGGTTGTTGACTTAACCGCTTAGGAATCTAATTATTCGCTCCCCGAGAACGAAAGTAAACACAAAGAGATTCACTCAATAATGAATTATGTATCTACCCAATACTTAGTTAAGCGACCGAACTGAAAACAGTTGTCAGGTACTAATTAACTTGCGAATTATATACTTCAAGCCAGCGTGTTAACAGTTAAGGTGGCTCCGTAATCAATACATGAGCATTTAACTGTGACAAATTTTCCGTCATAACTTTTTGGTTTTTAACGCTATGGCTGCGAAACTTGGCAAAGAACAACAGATATCATTCGGCAATAACACAAAATATTCCGATTTCACTGATGATAAATATTTCTTGAGAAATTAGTGGTTAAAAGGACCCTACTGTTCAAAGAAAATCGCGTCTAGTAAAAAATTTTGCTGATATTTTTTAATGAAATTTCTGGTATCGGCTTTAATTGATATAATAAATATGCCAGAGGAATTTCAGAAAAATCGTTGGAGCAGAAGTCCGTAACTAAAAGTCGGTCAAAATTCAGCTGTGAAATTGTTTTGGAATTTCAAAAATAAATTACTATCAGGTAGAAGGCGCCACCAGTTTGAATTTTCGGGACGAGTAAATTCAACGCTTGCTAATTCTTAAAACAGAAGCCGATTGCCTATCGTGCTATTCTTTGAAAGGTACTTTTTAGTTTTAGAAGAACTATAAATTGCCCCAAACCTTGCTCTGAAGTAGAATGACTTGTTCCTCGACAGTTTTAAAATATCCCTTGGCAGTTTTGGCTCAAACTCCTGCTGCATACATTTTGATGTATTGCCATGCATTTTCAACGACTTTTACTGCCTTTCGTTGCTTCCAACTCAGGAAAAAAGTATTGAGATTGGACGCTACCTCGTATCAGAGCTCAGAAAGAACTGTCCAGCACCTTTGTTTATGACTACAAAATGAGCACGAGCGGCAGTTCTGCGTGGAATTCGCACCTCACCCAGGGGGGACGAACGACAATGATGACCATGCTTGTGAACCAAATAACATCACAGTGCAAAACAAAATTATCGCAAAAATACTGCCCGTGAATAAATTTACAACTCTGAAATTTTTGTCACTCCTTCCTTCAATGAATGGGTATTTTTTTCTTGATTATTATGTTTTGCTCTGCAATACATGTTTGTACAGATCGGTTCACAGACATGGGCATCATTGTCACTCGTCCCCCCTGGCTGTGGTGCGAATTCCTCGCAGAGCTGCCGCACGTGCTCATTTTCTGGTCATAAACAAAGGTGCTGGACAGTTCTATCTGAGCTTCGATACTAGGTAGCTTACAATCCCAATACCTTTTTCCTGAATTGGAAACAACGTAAAGCAGGAAAAGCCGTTGGGGATGCTTTGCAATACATCAAAATGTATGTAGCAGGATCTAGCAGGAGTTTGAACCAAAACTGCCAAGGGATATTTTAAAAATGTCGAGGAACAAGTCATTCGATGTCAGAGCAAAGTTTGGAGCAATTTATAGTGCTTCTAAAACTGAAAAGTACCTTCTAAAGAATAGCACGATAGGCAATCGGCTTCTGTTTTCAGAATTAGCAAACACACTGAAGTTGCTTGTCCCGAAAATTCAAACTGGTGTCTCCTTCTTCCTGCTAGTAATTTATTTTTGAAATTCCAAAACAATTTCACAGCTGAATTTTGACCGACTTTTAGTTACGGACTTCTGCTCCAACGATTTTTCTGAAATTCCTCTGGCATATTTATTATATCAATTGAAGCCGATACCAGAAGTTTCAGTAAAAAATATCAGCAAAATTTTTTACTAGACGCGATTTTCTTTGAACAGTAGGGTCCTTTTAAGCGCTAATTTCTCAAGAAATATTTACCATCAATGCAATCGGAATATTTCGTATTATTGCCGAATGATATCTGTTGTTAATTGCAAAGTTTCGCAGCCATCGCGTTAAAATCGAAAAAGTTATGACGGAACATTTGTCACAGCTAAATGCTCTTGTGTTAATCACGGAGCCACCTTAAGGGCCTTTGAAAACCAATAACTGCTAAAACTTTCTTTAATTAGACCATGTTTGGCTAGATTTAGTATAAACGAACTGTACTCGGGAACTGGATCTTCCGCTAAATTTTACGTTGAAACGGTTGGAAAAAAAAAAAAAACTCTTTCTCAATAAACAAGGTTTGAAACCAAAAGTTATTTTTATTTTACACACTGGTTGACATTGAACTCATCACTACCGTCTGTATTTAAATTTTAAACAATTAATAGCTTAAAGCTGCATAGTTTTCCTGATGAATCCAGTTTCGTAAAGGAAATGTACGTTATATGCTTCAGTGATGATGGTGAATGAATCACATTTTAACCTCGCGACATTTAGAATCAGTGAACGGTTAGCACACAATAAGTATAACGAAGGGAATTCTAAAAGGAGAGCAATTGAATCAATTGAATCACTGTTGAATCGGTTATGTAGCCCTGTGAGCATCACATGCACTTGCAATATAGTCAAGCATTCTTTTTTAAAATACATACCACCTGAGTGCCTCGATGGACGACGATCCTTCTACGTCTACGACAAGGCGAATGAATACATAGTGTCCTGGCATGACAAAGCATTGTAGAGCCCAAGCGATCCTGGGTCAAAGGCGGAAGTCATTGCGTAATAGTGCAAAAGCCCTTCCACTTCCCTAGTCACCAGGTCCTTTTGATCAACCCCTGGGCTTTGATTGATTATTACCGTTTATTCTATTCTCACCGTTTATCGTTTATTGTTTTCTTGCCCCTGATGGAGACTAGTTTTGTCTAGTCGAAATATTGGGCAAATAAATTTGTAGTGCGGGCATAATTTTTGGCATTATTCGTCATTTGGAACATAATTTTCATGTATTCCCCGACTAAGCTCTGCCAGCGTAATTTGCACTTTTTCTAGTTTTGCAGCACAAAGCTGTCATTTACACGGAATAAGTGTTACGCGCAAATTCAAGTAACGAAATTATATTGTTTTTGTCTGCTTTTGTCGCATTCGTGGACCGGTGGGTCCCGCAAGTGTTGGTGGCTGACAGATGATTGATTTTTGTTGCTGGTCCTTTTCAAAGCGTTTCGGCTAGTGCTTCTAGCGTTATCATTTCAACTGGGCAGATGTGCATTTTGAAAGAAACAGTTACAAAAGCAATCAGGACGCTCGGACGCAAATAAGGAGATCACATTTCAAAATTTCAATGAGCTAGTTGGGACGGACAGGAAAGATAGATGGAAATTTATTGTTATCCTGGGCCCAGTTGTTCGAAGGCCGATTAGCTCTCACCAGGGGTTAAATTTCAATACGGGTTTCTTTTTATTTTGTTCAAAGGCACTTCCCGGGATAATTTTCTCAATTATTTTTAGAGCATTCAACTAAGACAAAAAAGGCAAAAAGAATTAAACTGAATGTTCTTCTTAAGCTTTCAAATCTGAATTCAAATTTCGCACTAACCCTGGGTTATCTTAACCCAGCTTTGAACAACCCGGCCCTGTACAAAGCATCTGTTTGATTGTCCTGTCAAAGATTTGGGACCACCTTTGAGGGTGGTCCTTTTTGCTCGGTCCGGTCGCTCGGACGGGAATGTCCCTTTCCATTTGACAAAATTGTTGTCCCTGTATCCTTCCTTCCAGTGTAATAACCAATCGCGTGGTGGTTTAGATCGCATGTGTGTAACTGGAATGTGCCGTTCCGCATTAGGCACGTGGAATTTCCGAAAATTCAAACCGGACTTTTTTTGTTGGGGGAAGGGGGAGGAGGTTTGTGGGGATTTCCCCAACCCAACCCTGCCACACGGACACTGAAGGGGGGAGAGAAAGTGTCCGTATTATACAACCGGGTGTCCGTAGGGTCATGCTATGAAAGTCTAAAAGACAGCTTTTATTATAGAACAAATAGAGAGAAGTGTGACGTCACGTTACCATGGTAGCAAATTTTTGGAGGATAACAAAAGGGAGCTTAGGCAGCAAAGACGGCGACGGCAACGAGAACGAGAACGGCAAAAACGTTTATATTAGTAAAACAACTTTGCACGTGCATCTTCAATTAGTTCCTTGCTTGGCTTATTAACTCTACTTGGCTCGCTTTCTTCACTCGGTTTATCATCACCAATTGGCTCGTTGTCTTCACTTGGCTTTTTATTACTATTTATTTCGTTTTCTTCACTTGGTTTATCGTCATTAATTGGTCTGTTTTCTTCACTTGGTTCATCATCTCTACTTGGTTCATTTTCTTCAATTGCATTATTATCATTAATTGGTTCAATTTCTTCAGTTGGTCTATTGTTATCACTCGGTCTGTTTTCTTCGCTCTGTTCGTTCTCTCCATCCGGTACAGCCTCGTCACTAGGTTTGATTTCCTCTGGAGGAATCTGAGAAATTCCAAAATCTACACCGATTCAAGTTATCTCCTGTTCGTGCGACCTGACATAATGCCCCCGTTTTTTTTAGTTAGCTTACATATCACAGGAAAGAAAGGAGCGCTGGCAACTACGTCTCTAGAACTTGAATTCCACCTCCAATTCCCCCGTGGCTCCCCGTCGACTGAGCTGTCAGATTTCCGCCAATCAGTGCAAAGTGGAAACGAGCGCAAATGTAAACAAACATTGAAAAACACGTGCCAAGGGTAATTACGTCATTACTTACGTCTTCTCCGCCAATCAGCATCATTTCCCATCGACTTTCCCGATGCAGCTATTTAATTTCCAGAGACTTAGTTGCCAGCCTTCCTTTTCCTACCCCGCCGCCAGAGCGCCCTGGAAAGCTTGCTGGCAAGCTAAGTACAACTGAATAAACAAAAGAAAGAACAAGGTTGGGGAAGGAGGGGGGGGGGGGCTAGGAGAGAGAGAGAAAAAAACTGAAAATATTCTGACTTATGAAAGGAGTTTATATACATACAGTGAAATGTCTTCATTAGGCGCGGCGAAAGCGAAGACCGCTGAATGAATTATTTGCCGCTCTGTGATGGACGAACTTAACACGGTGCCCTGTTCCAAAGTAGCTAAAAGTCTAACCGCTGATCTTCTGCCATATCAAATTCATCGGCTTGGTTCGCTGGCACACGAATGACGTAGCGTTTGGCGAGGGGCAGCGTGATTAAACGGCTAGAGCGCTGGAATTGTAATCCGGAGTCCCCAAGTTCAATCCCGGACCAAATAGCTTAGCTGGATTAGTTCTAGTTTTTAGTTCAACATTTCAGTTCCGATTGTAAATGGCCAACTGATTTGCCCCCAGCTGGGTTTCTTAACCTTACTGGGTCACAATGAAAACTATTGGTTGACCAGTAATTGCGCTACTGATATAGAGTCACATAAATTTTTGAAAGAGGCCTAACACTAGACCGAGAGTTACTTCCCGACTTAAGACTGTGTTGACTGGGCAATTTTCATGGACAGAAGCATGTTTTGGTGGGCGTTTCTAATTCCTTCCCTTCATCACCCCTCAATCCACTGGACACATTAAAATAAGTCGTTAGCTATAGACAATCAAGCAAAAACAACGAGATCAAACTTAAGAATCTTATAGTAATACACTCAAAGCTATAGCCAAAGATATGTCGTGCAGTCACACTTCCGTTAGGAGATTTGAGCCTAGCACCATTTTAAAGTTTTCAGCTGATAACCTTTCAGGGCTACAATAACAAAGCTTTTTTTATATATACCTCAAGAAAGCAAGATGCAAAACAAAGCTAACTTTCTACACACCTTTCTGTGTCGTCTTATTCGGAGAAGTGATCACTGTGATTTGACGAACGTGCCTTCTTTCTGAGCTACCTGTCACATTAACCGGCTATCACTGTTAAAACTGAGCTAATGATAACACTGACCTGACGCTAATATTGGGCTACTATTAATACTGATCTGATGCTAATGCTGAGCAACTGTTAGTACTAAGCTGATGCTAATGCTTATCTAATTTTCATACTGTCCTGATGCTAATACTTAGCTAATGTTAATACTAGAATAGATATAGAGCTGATGTTAATTCTAAGGTAATGGTAAACATATTACTAGAGATATGTGTTTCCCGGGTAAAGAACACATATCACTAGGGATACGTGTTTCTCAGGCAGGGGAACACATATTACTAGGGATATGTGTTTCCTAGATTGGGGAAACACGTTTTACTAAGGATATGTTTCCCAGGTAAGGGAACACATATTACTAGGAATACGTGTTTCCCAGGTAGAGGAACACATATCACTAGGGATATGTGTTTCCCAGGTAGGGGAACACATATCACAAGGAATACGTGTTTCCCAGGTAGGGGAACATATATTACTAGGGATATGTGTTTCCCAGGTATCGGAACACATCTCACTAGAGATACGTGTTTCCCAGGTAGGTTAACAAATATCACTAGGGGTACGTGTTTCCTAGGTAGGGAAACACATATTACTAGGGATATCTGTTTCCCAGTTAGGGGAACACAGATCACTAGGAATATGTGTTTCCCAAGTAGTGGAACACATATCACTAGGGATATGTGTTTCCCAGATAGGGGAACACATATCACTAGGGATATGTGTTTCTCAGGTAGGGGAACACATTTCACAAGTGATATGTTTTGCCCAGGTTGGGGAACACATATCACTAGAGATATGTGTTCCCAAAAAAGGATATGTGTTTCCCAGGTAGTGCAGACAAAAGTGGCTTTATTATTTGCATTCCAAGCGAAATGTTCGTCTTTTTATGCGAACGTCCACTTTCGTTATAAGCGGTCAAGAAACGGTCGCGGGAGACTATTACGGCATCGAGAGCTCGTTTATCGGAGGGTTCGGTAACTTTTCGGGTCCGAATCCAATTTTGAAATCAAAACCTGTTGAATAGTAAGTAATACATTTCCTTGCTCACAAAACGGTTAATTTTTCTTCGTCTACGTAAACTTTCACTGTATCATTTTCAAATTATTGGACCTTAGATCTTGAATGCAAACACAGCAAACATGAAACAACTTTTCGAGCCCGGAAAGTTATCGTGATCTTCGAGAAACGGGTCCCCTGATGCGAAGTGGACGATCATCAAATCCATCCCATAATCCCCCGTGCTTCCCTTGACCGCGCTTCCCTCGTTTGTATTAATAGGGAGCTTTAGCATCGACGACGGCAACGGCAGCGACAATGTCAGTTTTAAAATGAATTTCCCTTTTTTTTCAATCTTTGTCGCGTTTTTTTCCAATTTGCTGAAAATGGCAAGTGTAGGCGAATTTCCCTGGAGTTGATTTCTTGAGGACCGCACCCAAGTTTAGAGAGAGAAAAAGAGATTCGTCGTCGCTTGTTTACGTCCTTCATAAAACTTGCAATTAGGCATTTTCACGTGGTAGTCGTGCAAGGAAGGTAAAGAAATGTACAAAAAAGCGTGATTCCCCTTCCAAGGTTGTTGTTTTGGGTAATAAACCTATTGCTTTTTTGACGTCCTGGTTGCCGTCCCCGTCGTCGTTGCTAAAGCTCCCTGGGAGACAACGGGGATGAGTTAGGGGTTAAGGGGCAAATACCTAGCGGATCAGTTTAGGTTTCTAGGAAACTGCCCACCTACCCCTCGCCTAAGCCATCATTTTGCCCTAAGTGAGAAGTAAGTGTTAATGTCAGCTTAGGGGAGAGGTAGGTGGACAGTTTCACAAAAACCTAAATTGATCCTATTTAGCCAGGTCATGCTTCCTGTGAGCAGTGCCTCCTTTTGTTTTCTCTTGATCGGGGAGGAGAAAAGATCGAGGCTCTGTCTGAATGGCGTCAAGCCAAGACTTCTGGACCAGTCTTGTTCTCTCTTGTCAAACTAGTTTTTTCTAGTGCGAGTATCCGTCTGTTTATAAGCTGATCAAAACTGAGCCCGCTGTACTAGGCACACAGCTATAGGGCATGAGTTCGAGACTGTCTCCTAGCAACGTGTAACATGTGCTCAACAAAGATCTTACGCGCAGAGTCTTTTTCGAGTACGTCAAATCGAGCAATCAAAGGAAAGACTTTTTTGGCAGGGTGTGTTGGTTAACAACAAGAACAACTTTATCAATACACACTACCTACATTTAGTTAATTAGCTCTTCGGAGCAGGCAGTGTGGGTACTCTACACACGTGAACTGGCACATTTTAAGACATTTTCTTAACTATTATCCAGGTCCAAGCTGATAACAGAGAAACAGCTTCACCAAGAGGTAAGGGCTCTGATACATAGCCTCCTCCCTTCTCCATCAATCGAGAGTAAAATTAATTCTGATTGGGTTGTCTGCATCTGTTGTGATTGGACAGGCTGATTTCTGACTGTTTACTCTTCTGTCGATATATTTTTTTCAGTCATGATTGCTGTATATTGGCCAATATCCCGCCTTTTTGACCTCAAACACCTAGTAAATAACGCATACAGATGCAAAACCAGCTTAATAATTAGGCGTTCCCGGCTAGGTCAATCCTGGACTCTATTTTTATTTAAACAATAGTAATAAGAAGGTAACAATACACTAATAATAACTTAAATATTTGGGCAGGGACACCGCAACAGCTAAAGCCAATTACTGCGGACCCAAAAAATAAAAAGATATAAAAGTAGCAATTTAAATCACATGCAGCAGATAATTTCTTGGTCTAAAAACCTGGCTGTGTTACATTTCAAGCAAATACTGTTGAAGCTCCTTGGAGAGTCCGGACCATTGCTAGAGCCCGCGCGAGTAATAACCGTAAAGAACAGATTTAAAGTTCTCAAAAGTAACATTATCTAGGTCAAGTCTAGTAATAAGCAGGTTCCAGATTCTAGTGGTTCTAATGGAAAAAGATTTCTGAAAGGTAGAAGTCCTACATTTTTTAGGCACAAAAGATTGAGAGCTCGTTACGGATATAAGGGTTCTTCGCGCGCATTCGCGTACGAAGGTAACAACAGACGGATCTAAGTGAATCATATTATGCGTAGCCTTGTAAAAGTATACTAGATCTAGTAACTCGTGCCAGTAGCAAAGAGGGAGAGTCCACCCTTTCTTAGGCTTCGTGCTGACAACGGGGTGAGGGTTTGTCAAAGACCTTAATACGAACATGACAGGGCCAGATCCAAGCGTCGCTTTGCACAACTGTCCGTATTAAAAATGCAGGAATTGTTGGAAGTTTGTCCGTCTGGAAAAGTTTGACTGTACTTGTGTCAGCGATGACAAATATATATGGGTAAACTATCCACCATTAAGCTGGCAATCTTCCCTTTTTTCAGGTCGGTCACAGTGCACGAAGGCACGGAGAAGCTGAAACTCACCAAGATCCTGGGAACAACAAGAAAAAACGCAAGCCTCGGCTCGCCGTAGAAGATTGAATTGGTTTTCCGAGTCATATCGAGTCTCATGCATCAATCAGTCTGGTTAATTTGAGTAATTACAGTGTCAACTCACTTTACGTTGACGTCACTTAAGACGTCGCTTAAATTACCATAAAGGCTGGACTCCGGTGTTCCGGGCTGGAATAAAGTTGCAGAACTATAAACAATAAATTAAAAAGATTCCTTTGGAGTGTGTTAAGAGAGATTTAGAATCACTTGTTTACAACAAACGGCAGATTCACGTTGACAATTTTTCAAATTAGGAATTGAACAAATAAAAACTGTACAGTCAAACCTCTTTAATACGGACACATAAGGGACAGAACTAAGTGTCCCCTTTACAGAGGTGTCCGTATTATAGAGGTAGGGAATGAAGGATTTTTGGCATTTCTGGGACTAAACGAACTGTCCGTAATAGAGAGGTGTCCGTATTATAGAGGTGTCCGTAAGGAGAGGTTAGACTGTACTAAAGAATTCACATGGATGAGTTGACATGAAGATAAAATAAACAATAAACGATAAGTAAACCGAAACCTTGGTCACATGTTACAAATTGACGTTTGCCGTTTGCGGTAAACGTGATTATGAATCTCTTGATCACCTTGCAGGCTACACAGGGAAAGTTTCCTGATCTTACATTTTGTCCAGATTATCGTTCTCGTTCATTTTTTGGTAAAGTTCGTACTGACGTAAGGCGATAACCTAACACCTCCAGATTATGTTATCTAATCCCTGTATGGCATTTTCTTAGGCCTTCTTTGTGTGTTACCCACGTGACCCGGAAAGCGAATCGGCCGCGCGGAAAAGCGAGGCCTAGGGACTAGTCAACGACTAAGTATAATTTTTGTTCAAAATGACTGATGGGCTTTCTCGGTGAGGATTATGACAACTATCCGTGAAGTGAAACAATACTAAACTGATTATCAACAAATTAAGTCAGGGCTGATCTAAGGGGAGGGTAAAGGGGGTGCGCACCCCCCCCCCCCCCTCACCCCCCTGAGATGACCTGCGGCTTTCAACTGGTATTTTGCAAAATACAGTCAAACCTCTTTAATACGGACATCAAAGGGACAGAATCAAGTGTCCGCTTTACAGAGGTGTCCGTATTATAGAGGTAGGGAATGAAGAGTTTTTTGGCATTTCTGGGACTAAACGAACTGTCCGTAATAGAGAGGTGTCCGTAAGGAGAGGTTAGACTGTTTGCAGATTTGTATTCTCAGCAGTTCACATTATGTTATGGCCTAGTCAAAAGCCTTCTTTGAGATAATAGAGATAGAGATAGTTTCCCTTGTGATGACTGTAATACCCAGGGGAGATAAAAAACAAAGGCTACGCAAAATTTGGGAGCAAACAAGGTGTATTATGGAAGAAATGCAAATTGGGAAGTGAGCCTTTCATATGACGTCACGGCAGCCATATTAGTGTTCCAAACAATGAAAACGGCGCCATGTTAGTTGTACTAAAAAATCCCCTGTGAGTGGAACACTTTTTTTGTGTAAAAGCTTCCTTTTTTCCCAAGAAATTAGCATCGATGCTGGTCACGTGACTGAAAACGTTCCATTAGCCATTTTGAAGTTGCGTGCGAGACCGGGTCGGTATTATGTCGAATTGCACTATGGGACTGTTTTGGGAGACGACTGCGTCATCTCGCAACGCGATTGCGTCCCATAAAACATCCCCATAATACATTTCGACACAAGACACAACCTTAAAATGGCCAAAAGGCTCTCCCAGAATCCTTCAGGGTTGGCATTCTAAATCACGCCATCGGGAAAATGGCCAATCAGAACCGGTTTTATTGCTATTATCGTTATCATCATCATATTTATTATTTAATCCATCCCTGAGAAAGGAACAATCAAATTTAATCAGCTGCAAGGACAACCGTACGTTTATTCAAAAACTAAGGTGGGAGTTGTCAATTTGCCCTTATAAACCCTTGAATTCTGTTGCTTACATTGACTTTTATCGCCGCTCCCTAGTTTTGCTTGATTTGTTTATTAGTTTCAATAGGCCCCTATTATATGTGGTCTATATACCCTGCAATTTAATTAGGTAATTGTTTGTTTATAAGAGCGACGCCAAACTAAAGATCGCAAGAAGCGTCGTAGCCTAACAGAGTCGAAACCATTATTCTTGGCCCTCTCGGCCTCACCTGTGTAACAGAATTTTAGTACTTGCCAAAATCGACACTGTTGAAAATGCCGTGGCCGATTTGCCATGGCCAGTCACTCTGAAGGGAAACTCGAAAGGCTCGAAACGCACTTCCCACTTTCCCCGCCAGAAATAGGATATCAGCACAGGGAGCCCACACAATTTGTGTGTGTAACCGATTGTTATTTTGTAGTAGATGTGCTGGATTTACCGTTTGCTTAACCTATAACGATATATCGCTAAGTATGTACATAAATCAATGTTAAATAAACGTTGAAACCTTACCTGTGGTCCTTTTGCCTCAAAAGCGGTTTTTTGAGCGACTTTGAAGGATTTTGTAAAGGGAGAACTCAAAATCCTTCAAAATCTCTCAAAAAAACGCGTTTGAGGCAAAAGGACGACGATATACCACAGGTAAGGTAATTCAACATTTATTTGACATTGATTTATATACATACTTAGCGATATATATTGTTATAGGTGAAGCAAACGGTAAATCCAGCACATTTACACTATACGATAAAAAAATTGGTTACACACAAATTGTGTAACATATACATACATACATACATGTTTTATTTATTTAGAGTCTTATACAATAAAAAGTATATCAACTATTTCCAAATAACTAAACTTACAAACAACAAAAAAATTCCTAACCATGTATGGCTAATAAGTTAGCTAGAGTATTTACTTTTTGCCGTCTTCCCCTTTCCTTTTTTCAAAGCATTCGAGTATGTTTTGCTATTGGTTTGTGTATTTTAACATTTCCGCTAGGGGGGTTTATTAGAAACATGTCTAACCAGAAAAACTTCATCATGGCGGCTACTGGAGGAAACTAGTGCCTTGAACGATTTTGGAAGAACAGTTCCTAGTGCCGAGAAATACGGTTACAAGTAAAATAGGTAACGGCTTCACTTCGTTGCTATGACAACTCCGATGTCATTGTATTCCTGATCAGAGCAATTTTTCATCATTATCTAGAACAGAAGTGGTGGTAATTTTTCCATATCTTTGTTAATGGCGACGTAGTTTATGCTCAAACTTGGGAGGTATTGACCCGGAAAACCCTATCGAGCTACCTTAAAAAATGAAACATGCTTTGAACTTTGCCTTGCGACCACCACGGGACTTGTTCAATAGGCTATTTTCAAGTTTGCCAAAGCCTCTGTTTCAAAGTGAGACTAACTGCGAAACTATTGATATGAAAAGGGCTTCTTATTATTAGGAGTTCATGACTCCTGTTATTAACCAGGAGTAGAATGACACATGTACTGCATGTATTGAAGTAGTCTAGCACGGAACGGTTATCATGGAGCGTTGCGTGACGGCACTAAAAACGGCTGCGTAGCAGAGTACTAGTTATCACGCTGTGGTTTCTCATTTAATTACAACTGTGGCTTCGCGGTGGAATAAAAAAACGTCAATGACGTCATCATATCATTAAGATCCTCACGCTCTTCCTTTATATCGTGCGCAGTTAAACTCCCGGTGTTTTAAAGATATTTTTGGATCGACGTTAAAGCGCAAGTCAACATTTTAAAATAGCGGCTCAGTAGAATAGATGTTGAGTGATCAGTATGGACCCTTTAAAGATTTTCGGATACATTTCTCGGACTGTCCGGGCTCTAAGAATTCTTCAATCATCCATTCCCATTGTTAATTCTAATCGGTATCTTCAAGTTGAAAAGGAAACATAAAAAATGATTTTCGGTGTATCATTTACTCTATGAAAACGTGTTAAAGTTAAAAATCATGGGCTAATATTCCCGGGGGGGGGGACTCCCATATGAAACAGACGGGTATGCTCGTCGGAAATTTTGAATTTAACCCCTAAAGGAGACCATCTGGGCGTGGCTCAAGCTTTTTGTGACCCCTAAAAGAGACCGCTTAAAAACACACAAATACGACATGCAATGATATAAAGCAGGAGCCTAACATAATCATCGAATTCTTTTATCTAATAGTAGTTTTTAAAAGCATTGTCATAAATCTCAGGTTCTTTGCGGAACCCTAAACGAGACCTTCGCGGCTTAAAATATTGGCGCTTTGCCCGGAACACCCTAAGCGAGACCAAAATACAAAATTTACACCCCTAAGCGAGACGACGAGCATCCCCGTCTGTTTCATATGGGAGTCCCCCCCCGGGCTAATATTGTTGTTTGTCCATTTTAAGTATCAATGAAATATCGTAAAATTCCGAAAATAAGCCCCGGAGCTTATATTTTTCAAAGGCCCTTTTTGAGGGGCTTATTTTTGGAGGGGCCTATATTCGGAGGGGCTTATGTACGGAGGGAAATTTGCGTTTCAAAATTGACTGGGCTAACTTGTAGTGGAAAGGAAATTTACCATTTTTGCTTTGTTTTACTTTGTATTCGAGGGCAAATTCCAAGTACAAGCCCCCCGGGGGCTTACATTCGGAGGGGCGATTTAACGGAGGGTTTTTTGCGTTACGATTTTGGGGGGCTTATATTTGGAGGGGCTTATACATGGAGGGGTTTATTTTCGGAATTTTACGGTAAATCGATTGTTGTAAAGGTACACCTTTATCTCTTTTTAAATCGGGAAAAAATGAAAATGAAACAGGCATTTTACTTTTCCACTTTCCAACTTTCGAAAAACGCTTAACGACCTTAATGTATACGTTCGGTTGTGGGTAACGTGAGAAAAATATGATCCCAAGTCGTGGCATCTTTACGACATGCTATTCGGACGTATTCGCACTTGATGTGTATTTGATTATTTGTCCTACCTAACGTTTTGCACGTTTACTGGCCGACAGTTATAGCTACAATTTTACTACAATTTTACCGAAATGCATTGGCTCTTCATAGCTAGATCCTACTTATCCGTCTTGGCTTGGGATGCCTGTGTAGTAACATGCCAGTTTTTAATATGTTTTTTGATACATGGGATAAGAAAAAATTAACTAAAATACTTTAAATCCGGTAAATCGGCTGTAAAGGAGGCTTTTACACCTCTGTTCGCTTCTTAGGTTTGGCAACCCCAAGGCAGCCCCCCACCGACTTCTCACCTCACGCCTCCCCCGGCAGCTCCCCAAGTTTTGACCGAGTGGAGCTTGGGACCAGAGAAACCAAGATGGCGCCTGATTTCTAATTCTAATCGAATGCGCAAGGTTTCTGCAAAAAAGCAGCTTGATCTTTCAGTTAAGTGGTTTATCAACTTCTGGATCGTTTAACTGTGATAAAAAGAAAGTACTTTATTTTGAACGAAAAGGATCAAGGCTGTGTACAAACCCAAGTCAATGAATTCAATGATCAGAATTATCGTGCACGGGATGGAGAATTTTGATCAAAGCACAGGTATGATGTAACGGTTTAAGCTTACAAGGAAATTTAAGAGCTAACGAAATTACATAGTAGTTGCTCAGGTAATAATTTTGAATTAGGTGGAATTGCTTGGGTTAAGAGGGGTCAGCAAGGGATGGGTGGGTAATCAAAATGTTTTGTGTTGGTGTAAAGTCACGTGCCCAATTTCCTAGCTAGTGCTGGCAGAAATGGAAAGCTACAGAGTGTTTTAGTTTTTCTCCATTTTTGCATGGACTTTATCCTGTTACCCCTAACAGTAACCAGAATCTAATTTTTCCTCATGATAGCCCTTCGTTAAGAGTCAATTTCTAGAAAAGATCCTGCCACATGTTTCAACTTTTACAATGGATCCGTTAGTAAGGTCTGTCGACGCATTAATGAACAAAATACAAATTAGAGCAGAGAAATTGATACATTTCTGCTTTAATTTGTATTTTGTTTCCATTTTTTTCATTTACTAATATTCTCTTGTTGGCCACTTCTCATTTTCCCCTCTTGTTCCCTTTTTCTGTTTGCTGCCGTTATTATTAATACAGTGGAAGCTCTCTAGGGACATTCTAGGGACGTGAAGAGGGTTTTCTTTTCTGGAGCTGGCCACTTACAATAACAGTTCTCAGTATGGGAGCTTGCTTAACTACAAATAAACACTGAAACATTGGCAAAAAAACTTTTAAGTCTAGTGTTTGGCTATGTTACTGGTCAGAATAAACTTCAGGTTAAAATTTTTTAACCTAGGTTGATTCTCAATTTCCTTTGTCTCCTAACCCCAATTCATGAATAATCAGAGCTAGGAGAAAGGAAATTGAGAATCAACCTACTAGTAGGTTTAAAAATTTTAACCTGGATTTAATTTTGACCTGTAACAGCTATACTGTTATTCTGACAATGTTGTAATTCAGTCACAAGCATAAAAATTCAGGTGGAATGTTGAGGTGTAACTGGGTGTGGGTACCATAAAATTCTGAAAATATGCCGTGGGGCTTATATTTTTCAAAGGCCCTTTTTGAGGGGATTATTTTTGGAGGGGCTTAGGAAGGGGCTTACCTACGGAGGGAAATTTGCGTTTCAAAATCGATTGGGTTAGCCTTATATCTGGAAGTAAATTTACCATTTTTCTTTGTTTTACTTTGTATTTGAGGGCAATTTTCCGAGTACAAGCTCCTGCGGGGCTTATATTTGGAGGGGCGATTTAACGGAGCAGGTGCGGATCCTGGATTTTTTTTAGGAGGGGGTGCACTCGTCTCTTGCTCTACTTCAACACCAATAAACCACATAGTTTTTTTTTTGCAGAATACCAGTTGTATTAGAAAACAGCAGGTCATCTCAGGGTCGGGGGGGGTGTGCACCCCCTGCACCCTCCCCCTAGATCCACCCCTGCAGAGGGTTTTTTGCATTACCAGTTTGGGGGGCTTGTTTTTGGAGGGGCTTATCTTCGGAATTTTACCGTATGTGAAGAAAAAAAATCACTAAGCAGTGCTGGAAATAATTTTTCTTAGTTAAAAGGACATGTGTCCTTTCAAACTTTTATTTTGAAAGGACATATTCGAAAATAGGTCTGTCATGGCCGTTTTCGAGTTTCCTAAAATTAGAGAGTCTTCGACTGGAATGCAAGGTTTATCTTTTTATCATGGTGTTTTTCCTTCTTTTAATGTTTTCGAAATCTGAACTGAGGGATGTTAAAAAGCTACTATGCTACTACTACTCTGAATCCCCCTTTTCTGTTCTTTCCTTTTTTCTTCTTTCCTTTCCCTCCTATTTTATTCATTAGTTTTGTTATCACCTGTACCACCTTTTTACCCTTTCCTAGTTTCAGTTTTATTATCCCACTGTCCAATGCCGCCTCACTTATGTTGACTTTGCAGTGTTTGTACCACTTCTATCTATCGACCACCTTATACCTCTTGCCGCCTTTCTCTTTTTATATGCAGCTAAATTTAGGCCAGGTTAAACATGAGACAATGCTGGCCAGCAGTCTCCACCAATAATCATATGTGAGGTGGTCTTGGGCTTTAGCAGGGCTTAAGTAATTTCACAGTGCTTTCATGGAAGTCAATCGTTTTTGCTCACATTGTCTTCCCGTGCAGTTGCTTTAGCTGCTACAGCCTAGACTAGAGAGCCAGTTATATATGTAAAGGGAATGCCTTGTAAACAGACCTGAATTCCCACTTACAGTTTACACATCTTAATGATATTAATAGCAATATTAATAATATTCCCTCTATTTACCCTCGGCAGTATTTATAGCAATTATGCTAGTGGGGCTGAGCAAATGACTGAAACAAGACAATAGTAATTCAAATCAAACATAACAGGGTTAAGAATTCCGACTGGCGGGAGGCAAACCAGGTGGTTATTTACAAGTGAAGGAGAGAATTTGAACTCGGAACTACCGTGTACAAATCCGGCTAGCGGCCAGGGCGCGACTTGAACTCCGGGCCTCCAAATTGCAAGTCCAGTGTTTTAACCGCTCGGCAACGTTACCTCCTAATGCCTACCAGTCACATGGCTGTGCATGACTCCTTTATTTTCATTTCCTTAAATGACTTTTTGTTTTGTTGCAGTCATGAGTCTCCAGTGTAATGGACTGACAGCTGACAGTTGTTACCCAGAAGAGTAACACAAAAAAGGCAGAACCAAAATGTAAGTTTTACATTGCACTCTTCATTACAGTTATTCTTCATACATTGTAATAATTATTTCTTGGGTATATTTTGTAATGGTTTTGGGGGCATAGCAACCTGTACAGGTACGCATGTACTATAAAGTAACTAAAACGAGTGAAAGTACAGGAATGATATATAGTACAATAACAAAAACAGTACGATAATGATAAAGACAAGCAAATAAATATGCCTAAAAGGGCTAAGCTGACTGGGGAGACTACAATAACTAGAATGACTGGAGTGAAAAAGGTAACTAGGGTGACTAGAATGACTATGGTGACAAGGTTGATGAGGATCACTTGGGTGACTTGAGAGACTAGGGTGATAAGGGTGACTAGGGTAATAAGGATCACTAGGGTTACTTAGTTGCATAGGTTAAAAGGGTGACTAGGATGAGGATCACTGTGATGACTTAGGTGGCTAGGGTGACTTGGGTGAGTAGGATGACTAGGGTGACTTTAGTGACTTGGGTGACTAGGGTGACGTGAGTGACTTGGGTGAGTAGGGCGACTTGGGTGACTAGGTCAACTAGGGTGACTTGGGTGTCTTGGGTAAGTAGAGTGATGAGAATCACTAGCGTAACTAGGGTAGGGTAAATAGGGTGACCTAAGATTAGTGACTAGGGTGACTAGGATGTGTAGGATGACTAGGATGTGTAGGGTGGCTAGGGTTACTTGGGTGACTAGTCATCCCTTTTCATCCCAGTCATCTCTAGTCATCACTACCCTTTCTTAGTCATCCCAAGTCATCCCTAGTCATCCCTAGTCATCCCTAGTCATCCCAGTCATCCTAGTCATCCCTAGTCATCCCTAGTCATCCCTAGTTGTCCCTAGTCATCCCTAGTCATTCCTAGTTATCCCTCATCATTCCTAGTCATCCCAGTCATCCCAGTCATCCCTACTCATCCCTAGTCATCCCTAGTAATCCCAGTCATCCCTAGTCATCCCTTTTCATCCCTAGTCATCTCTAGGAATCCCTAGTCATCCCTAGTAATCCCAGTCATCCCTAGCCTTCCTTAGTCATCCCAAGTCATCCCTAGTCATCCCTAGTCATCCCAGTCATCCTAGTCATCTCTAGTCATCCTAGTCATCCCTAGTCATCCCTAGTCATTCCTAGTCATTCCTAGTCATCCTAGTCATCCCTAGTCATCCCTAGCTATCCCTAGTTATCCCTAGTCATCCCTAGTCATCCCTAGTCATCCCTAGTCATCCCTAGTCATCCCTAGTCATCCCTAGTCATCCTTAGTCATCCCTAGTCATCTCTCGTAATCCCTAGTCATCCCTAGTCATCCCTAGTCATCCCTAGTCATCCCTAGTCATCCCTAGTCATCCCTAGTCATCCCTAGTCATCCCTAGTCATCCTTAGTCATCCCTAGTCATCCCTCGTTATCCCTAGTCATCCTAGTCATCTCTAGTCATTCCTAGTCATCCTTAGTCATCCCTACTCATCCCTAGTCATCCCTAGTCATCCATAGTCATCCCTAGTCATCCATAGTCATCCTTAGTCTTCCCTAGTCATCCTTGGTCATCCATAGTGATCCCTAGTCATCCCTAGTCATCCTTAGTCTTCCCTTGTCATCCCTAGTCATCCTTAGTCTTGCCTTGTCATCCCTAGTCATCCTTAGTCATCCCTAGTCATCCCATGTCATTCCTTGTCATCTCTAGTCTTTCCTAGTCATCCTCTCATCCCAAGTCATCCCTAGTCATCCCTATTTATTCCTTGTTATCCTCTCATCTTCCCTTAGTCATCCCCAGTCATCCCTAGTCATCCCTACTCATCCCTTCTCATCCCTAGTCATCCCTAGTTATCCCTAGTCATCCCTTGTCATCCCTAGTTATCCCTAGTCATTGCTTGTCATCTCTAGTCATCCTAGTCATCCCTAGTCATCCCTAGTCATCCCTAGTCATTCCTTGTCATCTCTAGTCATCCTAGTCATCCCTAGTCATCCCTAGTCATCCCTAGTCATTGCTTGTCATCTCTAGTCATCCTAGTCATCCCTAGTCATCCCTAGTTATCACTAGTCATCCCTAGTCATCCCTAGTCATCCCTAGTCATCCCTTATGATCCCTAGTCATTCCTAGTCATCCCTAGTCATCCTTATTCATCCATAATAATCCTTATTTATCCTTAGTCATCCTTAGTCGTCCCTAGTCATCCCTCGTCATCCCTAGTCATCCCTAGTCGCCCTTAGTCAGCCCTAGTCATCCCTCGTCATCCCTAGTCATCTTTAGGCATCCCTAGTCATCCCTAGTGATCCCTAGTCATTCTTAGTCATCTTTAGTCATCCCTAGTCATCCATAGTCATCCTTAGTCTTCCCTTGTCATCCCTAGTCAACCTTTGTCTTCCCTTGTAATCCCTAGTCATCCCTAGACATCCATAGTCATCCTTAGTCTTCCCTTGTCATCCCTAGTCATCCATAGTCATCCCTAGTCATCCCTAGTCAACCTTAGTCTTCCCTTGTCATCCCTAGTCATCCTTATTCCTCCCTAGTCATCCCTAGTCATCCCTTGTCATTCCTGGTCATCTCTGGTCTTTCCTAGTCATCCTTAGTCATCCTTAGTCTTCCCTAGTCATCCATAGTCATCCCTAGTCATCTCTAGTCATCCCTAGTCATCCCTAGTCATCCTTAGTCATCCCTAGTCATCCCTAGTCATCCCTAGTCATCCCTAGTCATCCCTAGTCATCCCTAGTCATCTCTAGTCATCCCTTGTCATCCTTAGTCATCTCTAGTCATCCCTAGTCATCCCTCGTCATCCCTCGTCATCCCTAGTCATTCCTAGTCATCCTTATTCATCCTTAGTCATCCTTAGTCATTTCTAGTGATGTCTGGTCATTCTTGTCATCTTTAGTCATTCCTAGTCATCCGTAGTCATCCTTGGTCATCTCTAGTGATCCCTCGTCATCCCTAGTGATCCCTAGTCATCCCTACTGATCCCTAGTGATCCCTAGTCATTCTTAGTCATCTTTAGTCACCTCTAGTCATCCCTCGTCATCCCTAGGCATTCCTAGTCACTCTTAGTCTTCTCTAGTCATCCCTAGTCATCCCTAGTTATTCCTAGTCATCCCTAGTAATCCCTAGTCATATTAGTCATCTCTAGTCATCCCTAGTCATTCCTTGTCATTTCTAGTCTTCCTTTGGCATCCCTAGTCATCCCTAGTGTCCCCTAGTTATCCTTAGTCATTCCTAGTCATCCCTAATCATCCCTGGTTATCCCTAGTCATCCCCCCTCATCCCTAGTGATTCCTAGTCATCCCTATTCATCCCTAGTCATCTCTAGTCATCCCTAGTCATCCCTCGTCATCCCTAGTCATCCCTAGTCATCCCTAGTCATCTAGGATGTGTAGGGTGGCTAAGGTCTTCCCTTGGCATCCCTAGTCAACCCTAGTCTTCCCTAGTTATCCTTAGCCATCCCTAGTCATTCCTAGTTGTCCTTAGTCATCCCTCGTCATCCCTAGTGATTCCTAGTCATCCCTTGTCATCCGTATTCATCCCTAGATATCCCTAGTAATCCGTAGTCATCCCTAGTCATCCCTAGTCATCCCTAGTCATCCTTAGTCTTCCCTAGTCATCCCTAGTCATCCCTCGTCATCCCTAGTTATCCCTAGTCATTCCTCGTCATCCCTAGACATCCCTATTTATTCCTTGTTATCTCTAGTCTTCCCTCGTCATCCCCACTCATCCCTAGTTATCCCTAGTCTTCCCTTCTCATCCCTAGTCATCCCTAGTTATCCCTAGTCATCCCTCGTCATCCCTAGTTATCCCTAGTCATTGCTTGTCATCTCTAGTCATCCTAGTCATCCCTAGTCATCCCTAGTCATTGCTTGTCATCTCTAGTCATCCTAGTCATCCCTAGTCATCCCTAGTCATCCCTAGTCATTGCTTGTCATCTCTAGTCATCCTAGTCATCCCTAGTCATCCCTAGTTATCACTAGTCATCTCTAGTCATCCCTAGTCATCCCTAGTCATCCCTCGTCATCCCTTATGATCCCTAGTCATTCCTAGTCATCCCTAGTCATCCTTATTCATCCATAATCATCCTTATTTATCCTTAGTCATCCTTAGTCGTCCCTAGTCATCCCTCGTCATCCCTAGTCATCCCTAGTCGCCCTTAGTCAGCCCTAGTCATCCCTCGTCATCCCTAGTCATCTTTAGGCATCCCTAGTCATCTCTAGTCATCCCTTGTCATCCTTAGTCATCTGTAGTCATCCCTAGTCATCCCTAGTCATCCCTAGTCATCCCTCGTCATTCCTAGTCATCCCTAGTCATCCTTATTCATCCCTAGTCATCCCTAGTCATCTCTAGTCATTTTTTGTCATCTCTAGTCATTCCTAGTCATCCCTAGTCATCCCTAGTCATCCTTAGTCATCCCTCGTCATCCCTAGTAATCCCTAGTCATCCTTATTCATCCCTAGTCATCCCTAGTCATCTCTAGTCATCCCTGGTCATCCCTAGTCATCCTTCGTCATCCCTGGTCATCCCTAGTCATCCTTAGTCATCCCTAGTCATCCCTAGTCATCCCTCGTCATCCCTACTCATCCCTAGTCATCTGTAGTCATTTCTAGTCATTCCTCGTCATCCCTAGTCTTCCCTAGTCATTTCTAGTCATCCCTAGTCATATATAGTCATCTCTAGTCATCCCTAGTCATCCCTAGTCATCTCTAGTCATCCCTCGTCATCCCTAGTCATCCCTTGTTATCCCTAGTCATCCTTAGTCATACTTATTCATCTCTAGTCATCCCTAGTCATCTCTAGTCATTCCTAGTGATCCCTAGTCATTCTTAGTCATCCCTCGTCATCCCTAGTCTTCCCTTGTCATCCCTAGTCATCTTAAGTCATCCTTAGTCACCCCTAGTCATCCCTAGTCATCCCTAGTCATCTCTAGTCTTCCCTAGTCATTCCTAGTCATCCCTAGTCATTTCTAGCCATCCCTCATCATCCCTAGTTATCCCTAGTCATCCCTAGTCATTCCTAGTCATCCCTAGTCATCCTTAGTCATCCCTAGTCATCCCTCGTCATCTCTAGTCATCCCTAGTCATCCCTAGTGATCCATCGTCATCCCTAGTCGTCCCTAGTCATCCCTAGTCATCCTTATTCATCCCTAGTCATCCCTAGTCATCCCTAGTCATCTCTAGTCATTCCTTGTCATCTCTATTCGTTCCTAGTCATCCCTAGTCATCCTTAGTCATCCCTCATCATCCCTAGTCAGCCCTAGTCATCCTTATTCATTCCTGGTCATCCCTTGTCATCTCTAGTCATTTCTTGTCATCTCTAGTTATTCCTAGTCATCCCTAGTCATCCTTAGTCATCCTTCGTTATCCCTAGTCATCCATAGTCATTCTTATTCATCCCTAGTCATCCCTAGTCATCCCTCGTCATCCCTAGTCATCCCTAGTCATCTCTAGTCATTCTTAGTCATCCCTAGTCATCCCTTGTCATCTCTAGTCATCCCTCATCATCCCTAGTCATCCCTAGTCATCCTTAGGTATCCCTAGTCATCCCTAGTCATCCCTCATCATCCCTAGTCATCCCTAGTCATCCCTAGTCATCCCTAGTGATCCCTTGTCATCCCTTTCATCCCTAGTCATCCCTAGTCATCTTTAGTCATCCCTAGTCATATCTACTCATCCCTAGTGATCCCTAGTTATTTGAAGTTATCCCTCGTTATCCTTAGTCATCCCTAATCATCCCTAGTGTTTCCTTGTCATCCTTAGTCATCTCTAGTCATCGTGTCATCCCTAGTCATCCCTAGTCATCCTTACTCATTGCTAGTCATCTCTCATCATCCCTAGTCATCCGTGGTCATCCTAGTCATTTCTAGTCATTCCTAGTCATCCTTAGTCGTCTTTAGTCATTCCTAGTCATCCTTAGTCTTCCCTAGTCATCCCTAGTTATCCCTAGTCATCCCTCGTGATCCTTAGTCTTTCCTAGTCATTCCTTGTCATCCCTAGTCATCCCTAGTCATCCCTATTGATGACTAGCGATGACGAAGGGTGACAAGGATGACTAGGATGTGTAGGGTGGCTAGGGTCTTCTCTTGGCATCCCTAGTCAGCACTAGTCTTTCCTAGTTATCCTTAGTCATCCCTTGTCGTTCGTAGTTGTCCTTAGTCATCCCTCGTCATCCCTACTTATCCCTAGTCCTCCCTCGTAATCTCTAGGCATCCCTATTTATTCCTGGTTAGCTCTAGTCTTCTCTAGTCATCCCCAGTCATCCCTTGGTCATCCCTAGTCTTACCTTGTCATCCCTTGTCATCCCTAGTTCTCCCTAGTCATCCCTCGTCATCCCTAATCATCCCTAGTCATTCCTTGTCATCTCTAGTCATCCTAGTCATCCCTAGTCATCCCTAGTTATCACTAGTCATCTCTAGTCATCCCTAGTCATCCCTAGTCATCCCTAGTCATCCCTCGTCATCCATTGTCATCCCTTGTGATCCCTAGTCATCCCTAGTCATCCCTAGTCATCCTTAGTCTTTTTTTTTTATCCCTTATCATCCTTATTCATCCTTAGTCATCCTTAGTCATCCCTAGTCATCCTTAGTCATCCCTAGTCATCCCTACTCGTCCTTAGTCATCCCTAGTCATCACTCGTCATCCCTGGTCATCCTTAGTCATCCTTAGTCATCCCTAGTTATCTCTAGTCATCCCTAGTCATCTGTAGTCATCCCTAGTCATGGCTCGTCATCCCTCGTCATCCCTTGTGATCCCTAGTCATCCCTAGTCATTGCTTATCATCTCTAGTCATCCTAGTCATCCCTAGTTATCATCCCTTATCATCCTTATTCATCCTTAGTCATCCTTAGTCATCCCTACTCATCCTTAGTCATCCCTAGTCATCCCTAGTCGTCCTTAGTCATCCCTAGTCATCACTCGTCATCCGTAGTCATCCTTAGTCATCCCTAGTTATCTCTAGTCATCCCTAGTCATCTGTAGTCATCCCTAGTCATCCCTAGTCATCCCTAGTCATCCCTCGTCATCCCTAGTCATCCCCAATTATCCCTAGTCATCCTTAGTCATACTTATTCATCTCTAGTCATCCCTAGTCATCTCTAGTCATTCCTAGTGATCCCTAGTCATTCTTAGTCATCCCTCGTCATCCCTAGTCTTCCCTTGTCATCCTTAGTCATCCTAAGTCATCCTTAGTCACCCCTAGTCATCCCTAGTCATCCCTAGTCATCTCTAGTCTTCCCTAGTCATTCCTAGTCATTCCTAGTCATCCCTAGTCATTTCTTGCCATCCCTCATCATCCCTAGTTATCCCTAGTCATCCCTAGTCATTCCTAGTCATCCCTAGTCATCCTTAGTCATCCCTAGTCATCCCTCGTCATCTCTAGTCATCCCTAGTCATCCATCGTCATCCCTAGTCGTCCCTAGTCATCCCTAGTCATCCTTATTCATCCCTAGTCATCCCTAGTCATCTCTAGTCATTCCTTGTCACCTCTATTCGTTCCTAGTCATCCCTAGTCATCCTTAGTCATCCCTCATCATCCCTAGTAAGCCCTAGTCATCCTTATTCATTCCTGGTCATCCCTAGTCATCTCTAGTCATTTCATGTCATCTCTAGTTATTCCTAGTCATCCCTAGTCATCCTTAGTCATCCTTCGTTATCCCTAGTCATCCATAGTCATTCTTATTCATCCCTAGTCATCCCTAGTCATCCCTCGTCATCCCTAGTCATCCCTAGTCATCTCTAGTCATTCCTAGTCATCCCTAGTCATCCCTTGTCATCTCTAGTCATCCCTCGTCATCCCTAGTCATCCCTAGTCATCCTTAGTTATCCCTAGTCATCCTTAGTCATCCCTCATCATCCCTAGTCATCCCTAGTCATCCCTAGTCATCCCTAGTGATCCCTTGTCATCCCTTTCATCCCTAGTCATCCCTAGTCATCTTTAGTCATCCCTAGTCAGATCTACTCATCCTTAGTGATCCCTAGTTATTTGTAGTTATCCCTCGTTATCCTTAGTCATCCCTAATCATCCCTAGTGTTTCCTTGTCATCCTTAGTCATCTCTAGTCATCGTGTCATCCCTAGTCATCCCTAGTCATCCTTTGTCATTGCTAGTCATCTCTTATCATCCCTAGTCATCCATGGTCATCCTAGTCATTTCTAGTCATTCCTAGTCATCCTTAGTCGTCTTTAGTCATTCCTAGTCATCCTTAGTCTTCCCTAGTCATCCCTAGTTATCCCTAGTCATCCCTCGTGATCCTTAGTCTTTCCTAGTCATTCCTTGTCATCCCTAGTCATCCCTAGTCATCCTTAGTCATCCCTAGTCATCCCTAGTGATGACTAGGGATGACCAAGGGTGACAAGGATGACTAGGATGTGTAGGGTGGCTAGGGTCTTCTCTTGGCATCCCTAGTCAGCACTAGTCTTTTCTAGTTATCCTTAGTCATCCCTAGTCGTTCCTAGTTGTCCTTAGTCATCCCTCGTCATCCCTAGTTATCCCTAGTCCTCCTTCGTCATCTCTAGGCATCCCTATTTATTCCTGGTTAGCTCTAGTCTTCCCTAGTCATCCCCAGTCATCCCTTGGCCATCCCTAGTCTTACTTTGTCATCCCTTGTCATCCCTAGTTCTCCCTAGTCATCCCTCGTCATCCCTAATCATCCCTAGTCATTCCTTGTCATCTCTAGTCATCCTAGTCATCCCTAGTCATCCCTAGTTATCACTAGTGATCTCTAGTCATCCCTAGTCATCCCTAGTCATCCCTAGTCATCGCTCGTCATCCCTCGTCATCCCTTGTGATCCCTAGTCATCCCTAGTCATCCTTAGTCTTTTTTTTTTATCCCTTATCATCCTTATTCATCCTTAGTCATCCTTAGTCATCCCTAGTCATCCTTAGTCATCCCTAGTCATCCCTAGTCGTCCTTAGTCATCCCTAGTCATCCCTCGTCATCCCTAGTCATCCTTAGTCATCCTTAGTCATCCCTAGTTATCTCTAGTCATCCCTAGTCATCTGTAGTCATCCCTAGTCATCGCTCGTCATCCCTCGTCAACCCTTGTGATCCCTAGTCATCCCTAGTCATCCCTAGTCATTGCTTGTCATGTCTAGTCATCCTAGTCATCCCTAGTTATCACTAGTCATCCCTAGTCATCCCTAGTCATCCCTAGTCATCCCTCGTCATCCCTAGTCATCCCTAATTATCCCTAGTCATCCTTAGTCATACCTATTCATCTCTAGTCATCCCTAGTCATCTCTAGTCATTCCTAGTGATCCCTAGTCATTCTTAGTCATCCCTCGTCATCCCTAGTCTTCCCTTGTCATCCTTAGTCATCCTAAGTCATCCTTAGTCACCCCTAGTCATCCCTAGTCATCCCTAGTCATCTCTAGTCTTCCCTAGTCATTCCTAGTCATCCGTAGTCATTTCTAGCCATCCCTCATCATCCCTAGTTATCCCTAGTCATCCCTAGTCATTCCTAGTCATCCCAAGTCATCCTTAGTCATCCCTAGTCATCCCTCGTCGTCTCTAGTCATCGCTAGTCATCCCTAGTCATCCCTCGTCATCCCAAGTCGTCCCTAGTCATCCTTAGTCATCCTTATTCATCCCTAGTCATCCCTAGTCATCCCTAGTCATCCTTAGTCTTTTTTTTTATCCCTTATCATCCTTATTCATCCTTAGTCATCCTTAGTCATCCCTAGTCATCCTTAGTCATCCCTAGTCATCCTTACTCGTCCTTAGTCATCCCTAGTCATCACTCGTCATCCCTAGTCATCCTTAGTCATCCTTAGTCATCCCTAGTTATCTCTAGTCATCCCTAGTCATCTGTAGTCATCCCTAGTCATGGCTCGTCATCCCTCGTCATCCCTTGTGATCCCTAGTCATCCCTAGTCATTGCTTATCATCTCTAGTCATCCTAGTCATCCCTAGTTATCATCCCTTATCATCCTTATTCATCCTTAGACATCCTTAGTCATCCCTACTCATCCTTAGTCATCCCTAGTCATCCCTAGTCGTCCTTAGTCATCCCTAGTCATCACTCGTCATCCGTAGTCATCCTTAGTCATCCTTAGTCATCCCTAGTTATCTCTAGTCATCCCTAGTCATCTGTAGTCATCCCTAGTCATCCCTAGTCATCCCTAGTCATCCCTCGTCATCCCTAGTCATCCCTAATTATCCCTAGTCATCCTTAGTCATACTTATTCATCTCTAGTCATCCCTAGTCATCTCTAGTCATTCCTAGTGATCCCTAGTCATTCTTTGTCATCCCTCGTCATCCCTAGTCTTCCCTTGTCATCCTTAGTCATCCTAAGTCATCCTTAGTCACCCCTAGTCATCCCTAGTCATCCCTAGTCATCTCTAGTCTTCCCTAGTCATTCCTAGTCATTCCTAGTCATCCCTAGTCATTTCTAGCCATCCCTCATCATCCCTAGTTATCCCTAGTCATCCCTAGTCATTTCTAGTCATCCCTAGTCATCCTTAGTCATCCCTAGTCATCCCTCGTCATCTCTAGTCATCCCTAGTCATCCATCGTCATCCCTAGTCGTCCCTAGTCATCCCTAGTCATCCTTATTCATCCCTAGTCATCCCTAGTCATCCCTAGTCATCTCTAGTCATTCCTTGTCATCTGTATTCGTTCCTAGTCATCCCTAGTCATCCTTAGTCATCCCTCATCATCCCTAGTAAGCCCAAGTCATCCTTATTCATTCCTGGTCATCCCTAGTCATCTCTAGTCATTTCATGTCATCTCTAGTTATTCCTAGTCATCCCTAGTCATCCTTAGTCATCCTTCGTTATCCCTAGTCATCCATAGTCATTCTTATTCATCCCTAGTCATCCCTAGTCATCCCTCGTCATCCCTAGTCATCCCTAGTCATCTCTCTAGTCATTCCTAGTCATCCCTAGTCATCCTTGTCATCTCTAGTCATCCCTCGTCATCCCTAGTCATCCCTAGTCATCCTTAGTTGTCCCTAGTCATCCTTAGTCATCCCTCATCATCCCTAGTCATCCCTAGTCATCCCTAGTCATTGCTAGTGATCCTTGTCATCCCTTTCATCCCTAGTCATCCCTAGTCATCTTTAGTCATCCCTAGTCAGATCTACTCATCCTTAGTGATCCTAGTTATTTGTAGTTATCCTCGTTATCCTTAGTCATCCCTAATCATCCCTAGTGTTTCCTTGTCATCCTTAGTCATCTCTAGTCATCGTGTCATCCCTAGTCATCCCTAGTCATCCTTTGTCATTGCTAGTCATCTCTCATCATCCCTAGTCATCCATGGTCATCCTAGTCATTTCTAGTCATTCCTAGTCATCCTTAGTCGTCTTTAGTCATTCCTAGTCATCCTCAGTCTTCCCTAGTCATCCCTAGTTATCCCTAGTCATCCCTCGTGATCCTTAGTCTTTCCTAGTCATTCCTTGTCATCCCTAGTCATCCCTAGTCATCCTTAGTCATCCCTAGTCATCCCTAGTGATGACTAGGGATGACCAAGGGTGACAAGGATGACTAGGATAATAATAAGATGGCTAGGGTCTTCTCTTGGCATCCCTAGTCAGCACTAGTCTTTTCTAGTTATCCTTAGTCATCCCTAGTCGTTCCTAGTTGTCCTTAGTCATCCCTCGTCATCCCTAGTTATCCCTAGTCCTCCTTCGTCATCTCTAGGCATCCCTATTTATTCCTGGTTAGCTCTAGTCTTCCCTAGTCATCCCCAGTCATCCCTTGGCCATCCCTAGTCTTACTTTGTCATCCCTTGTCATCCCTAGTTCTCCCTAGTCATCCCTCGTCATCCCTAATCATCCCTAGTCATTCCATGTCATCTCTAGTCATCCTAGTCATCCCTAGTCATCCCTAGTTATCACTAGTGATCTCTAGTCATCCCTAGTCATCCCTAGTCATCCCTAGTCATCGCTCGTCATCCCTCGTCATCCCTTGTGATCCCTAGTCATCCCTAGTCATCCTTAGTCTTTTTTTTTTATCCCTTATCATCCTTATTCATCCTTAGTCATCCTTAGTCATCCCTAGTCATCCTTAGTCATCCCTAGTCATCCCTAGTCGTCCTTAGTCATCCCTAGTCATCACTCGTCATCCCTAGTCATCCTTAGTCATCCTTAGTCATCCCTAGTTATCTCTAGTCATCCCTAGTCATCTGTAGTCATCCCTAGTCATCGCTCGTCATCCCTCGTCAACCCTTGTGATCCCTAGTCATCCCTAGTCATCCCTAGTCATTTTGTTGTCATGTCTAGTCATCCTAGTCATCCCTAGTTATCACTAGTCATCCCTAGTCATCCCTAGTCATCCCTAGTCATCCCTCGTCATCCCTAGTCATCCCTAATTGTCCCTAGTCATCCTTAGTCATGCCTATTCATCTCTAGTCATCCCTAGTCATCCCTAGTCATTCCTAGTGATCCCTAGTCATTCTTAGTCATCCCTCGTCATCCCTAGTCTTCCCTTTGTCATCCTTGGTCATCCTAAGTCATCCTTAGTCACCCCTAGTCATCCCTAGTCATCCCTAGTCATCTCTAGTCTTCCCTAGTCATTCCTAGTCATCCGTAGTCATTTCTAGCCATCCTCATCATCCCTAGTTATCCCTAGTCATCCTAGTCATTCCTAGTCATCCCAAGTCATCCTTAGTCATCCTAGTCATCCCTCGTCGTCTCTAGTCATCGCTAGTCATCCTAGTCATCCCTCGTCATCCCAAGTCGTCCCTAGTCATCCTTAGTCATCCTTATTCATCCCTAGTCATCCCTAGTCATCCCTAGTCATCCTAGTCTTTTTTTTTATCCCTTATCATCCTTATTCATCCTTAGTCATCCTTAGTCATCCCTAGTCATCCTTAGTCATCCCTAGTCATCCTTATCGTCCTTAGTCATCCCTAGTCATCACTCGTCATCCCTAGTCATCCTTAGTCATCCTTAGTCATCCCTAGTTATCTCTAGTCATCCCTGGTCATCTGTAGTCATCCCTAGTCATGGCTCGTCATCCTCGTCATCCCTTGTGATCCCTAGTCATCCCTAGTCATTGCTTATCATCTCTAGTCATCCTAGTCATCCCTAGTTATCATCCCTTATCATCCTTATTCATCCTTAGACATCCTTAGTCATCCCTACTCATCCTTAGTCATCCCTAGTCATCCCTAGTCGTCCTTAGTCATCCCTAGTCATCCCTCGTCATCCGTATCATCCTTAGTCATCCTTAGTCATCCCTGGTTGTCTCTAGTCATCCCTAGTCATCTGTAGTCATCCCTAGTCATCCCTAGTCATCCCTAGTCATCCCTCGTCATCCCTAGTCATCCCCTAATTGTCTAGTCATCCTTAGTCATTCTCTAGTCATCCTTATTCATCTCTAGTCATCCCTAGTCATCCCTAGTCATTCCTTGTCAGTCATCCCTAGTCTTCCCTTGTCATCCCTCGTCCTAAGTCCCTAGTCATCCCTAGTCATCCCTAGTCATCCTCATCTCAATAGGTCTTCCCTTAGTCATCCCCTAGTCATCCCTAGTCATCCCTAGTCATCATCCCTAGTCATTTCCTGTCATCCTAGTCATCATCCCTAGTCATCCCTAGTCATCCCTAGTCATCCCTCATCATCCTTGGTCATCCTAGTCATCCTCGTCCCTAGTCATCCTTGAATATCATCTCCCCTCATCCCTAGTCGTCCCTAGTCATCCCTAGTCATCCTAGTCATCCCTAGTCATCCCTAGTCATCCCTCATCTCTAGTCATCCCTTGTCATCTCTGTATTCGTTCCTAGTCAGTCATCCTTAGTCATCCCTCATCATCCCTAGTAAGCCCAAGTCATCCTTATTCCCTGGTCATCCCTAGTCATCTCTAGTCATTTCATGTCATCTCTAGTCATTCCTAGTCATCCTAGTCATCCCTCATCCTTCATTATCCTAGTCATCCATAGTCATTCTTATTCATCCCTAGTCATCCCTAGTCATCCCTCGTCATCCCTAGTCATCCCTAGTCATCCTAGTCATTCCTAGTCATCCCTAGTCATCCCTTGTCATCTCTAGTCATCCTCGTCATCCCTCCATCCCTAGTCATCCTTAGTTATCCCTAGTCATCCTTAGTCATCCTCATCATCCCTAGTCATCCCTTAGTCATCCCTTGTCATTCCCTTTCATCCCTTTCATCCCTAGTCATCCCTAGTCATCTTTAGTCATCCCTAGTCAGATCTACTCATCCTTAGTGATCCCTAGTTATTTGTAGTTATCCCTCGTTATCCTTAGTCATCCCTAATCATCCCTAGTGTTTCCTTGTCATCCTTAGTCATCTCTAGTGATCGTGTCATCCCTAGTCATCCCTAGTCATCCTTACTCATTGCTAGTCATCTCTCATCATCCCTAGTCATCCATGGTCATCCTAGTCATTTCTAGTCATTCCTAGTCATCCTTAGTCGTCTTTAGTCATTCCTAGTCATCCTTAGTCTTCCCTAGTCATCCCTAGTTATTCCTAGTCATCCCTCGTGATCCTTAGTCTTTCCTAGTCATTCCTTGTCATCCTTAGTCATCCCTAGTCATCCCAGGTCATCCCTAGTCATCCCTAGTGATGACTAGGGATGACGAAGGGTGACAGGATGACCAGGATAGGATGTCTTAAGGATCCCTAGGGTGGCTAGGGTCTTCTCTTGGCATCCCTAGTCAGCACTAGTCTTTTCTAGTTATCCTTAGTCATCCCTAGTCGTTTCCTAGTTGTCCCCCTAGTCATCCCCTCGTCATCCCTAGTTATCCCTAGTCCTCCTTCGTCATCTCTAGGCATCCCTATTTGTTCCTGGTTAGCTCTAGTCTTCCCTAGTCATCCCCAGTCATCCCTTGGCCATCCCTAGTCTTACTTTGTCATCCCTTGTCATCCTAGTTCTCCCTAGTCATCCCTCGTCATCCTAATCATCCCTAGTCATTCCATGTCATCTCTAGTCATCCTAGTCATCCCTAGTCATCCCCTAGTTATCACTAGTGATCTCTAGTCATCCCTAGTCATCCCTAGTCATCCCTAGTCATCGCTCGTCATCCCTCGTCATCCCTTGTGATCCCTAGTCATCCCTAGTCATCCTTAGTCTTTTTTTTTTATCCCTTATCATCCTTATTCATCCTTAGTCAACCTTAGTCATCCCTAGTCATCCTTAGTCATCCCTAGTCATCCGTAGTCGTCCTTAGTCATCCCTAGTCATCACTCGTCATCCCTAGTCATCCTTAGTCATCCTTAGTCATCCCTAGTTATCTCTAGTCATCCCTAGTCATCTGTAGTCATCCCTAGTCATCGCTCGTCATCCCTCGTCAACCCTTGTGATCCCTAGTCATCCCTAGTCATCCCTAGTCATTGCTTGTCATGTCTAGTCATCCTAGTCATCCCTAGTTATCACTAGTCATCCCTAGTCATCCCTAGTCATCCCTCGTCATCCCTAGTCATCCCTAATTATCCCTAGTCATCCTTAGTCATACTTATTCATCTCTAGTCATCCCTAGTCATCTCTAGTCATTCCTAGTGATCCCTAGTCATTCTTAGTCATCCCTCGTCATCCCTAGTCTTCCCTTGTCATCCTTAGTCATCCTAAGTCATCCTTAGTCACCCTTAGTCATCCCTAGTCATCCCTAGTCATCTCTAGTCTTCCCTAGTCATTCCTAGTCATCCCTAGTCATTTCTAGCCATCCCTCATCATCCCTAGTTATCCCTAGTCATCCCTAGTCATTCCTAGTCATCCCAAGTCATCCTTAGTCATCCCTAGTCATCCCTCGTCGTCTCTAGTCATCCCTAGTCATCCCTAGTCATTCCTCGTCATCCCAAGTCGTCCCTAGTCATCCTTAGTCATCCTTATTCATCCCTAGTCATCCCTAGTCATCCCTAGTCATCCTTAGTCTTTTTTTTTTATCCCTTATCATCCTTATTCATCCTTAGTCATCCTTAGTCATCCCTAGTCATCCCTACTCGTCCTTAGTCATCCCTAGTCATCACTCGTCATCCCTAGTCATCCTTAGTCATCCTCAGTAATCCCTAGTTATCTCTAGTCATCCCTAGTCATCTGTAGTCATCCCTAGTCATTGCTTGTCATCTCTAGTCATCCTAGTCATCCGTAGTTATCACTAGTCATCCCTAGTCATCCCTAGTCATCCCTAGTCATCCCTCGTCATCCCTAGTCATCCCTACTCGTCCTTAGTCATCCCTAGTCATCACTCGTCATCCCTAGTCATCCTTAGTCATCCTTCGTCATCCCTCGTCATCCCTTGTGATCCCTAGTCATCCCTAGTCATCCCTAGTCATTGCTTGTCATCTCTAGTCATCCTAGTCATCCCTAGTTATCACTAGTCATCCCTAGTCATCCCTAGTCATCCCTAGTCATCCCTCGTCATCCCTTGTCATCCCTTATGATCCCTAGTCATCCCTAGTCATCCTTATTCATCCATAATCATCCTTATTTATCCTGAATCATCCTTACTCTTCCCTAGTCATCCCTTGTCATCCCTAGTCGTCCTTAGTCAGCCGTAGTCATCCCTAGTCATCCCTCGTCATCCCTAGTCATCCCTAGTCATCCCTCGTCATTACTAGTCATCCCTAGTCATCCTTATTCATCCCTGATCATCCCTAGTTATCCCTAGTCATTTGTAGTCGTTCCTCGTCATTCCTAGTCATCCCTAGTCTTCCCTGGTCATTTCTAGTCATCCCTAGTCATATATAGTCATCTTTAGTCATCCCTAGTTATCCCTAGTCATTTCTAGTCATCCCTCATCATCCCTAGTCATCCCTAATTATCCCTAGTCATCCTTAGTCATACTTATTCATCTCTAGTCATCCCTAGTCATCTCTAGTCATTCCTAGTGATCCCTAGTCATTCTTAGTCATCCCTCGTCATCCCTAGTCTTCCCTTGTCATCCTTAGTCATCCTAAGTCATCCTTAGTCACCCCTAGTCATCCCTAGTCATCCCTAGTCATCTCTAGTCTTCCCTAGTCATTCCTAGTCATCCCTAGTCATTTCTAGCCATCCCTCATCATCCCTAGTTATCCCTAGTCATCCCTAGTCATTCCTAGTCATCCCTAGTCATCCTTAGTCATCCCTAGTCATCCCTCGTCGTCTCTAGTCATCCCTAGTCATCCCTAGTCATCCCTCGTCATTCCAAGTCGTCCCTAGTCATCCCTAGTCATCCTTATTCGTCCCTAGTCATCTCTAGTCGTCGCTAGTCATCTCTAGTCATTCCTTGTCATCTCTATTCATTCCTAGTTATCCCTAGTCATCCTTAGTCATCCCTCATCATCCCTAGTCAGCCCTAGTCATCCTTATTCATTCCTAGTCATCCCTAGTCATTTCTAGTCATTTCTTGTCATCTCTAGTTATTCCTAGTCATCTCTAGTCATCCTTAGTCATTTCTCGTTATCCCTAGTCATCCCTAGTCATTCTTATTTATCCCTAGTCATCCCTAGTCACCCCTCGTCATCCCTAGTCATCCCTAGTCATCTCTAGTCATTCCTAGTCATCTCTAGTCATTCCTAGTCATCCCTAGTCATCCCTTGTCATCTCTAGTCATCCCTCGTCATCCCTAGTCATCCCTAGTCATCCTTAGTTATCCCTAGTCATCCCTAGTCATCCCTCATCATCCCTAGTCATCCCTAGTCATCCCTAGTCATCCCTAGTGATCCCTTGTCATCTCTTTCATCCCTAGTCATCCCTAGTCATCTTTAGTCATCCCTAGTCATCCCTAGTTATTTCTAGTTATCCCTCGTTATCCTTAGTCATCCCTAATCATCCCTAATCTTTCCTTGTCATCTTTAGTCATCTCTAGTCATCGTGTCATCCCTAGTCATCCCTAGTCATCCTTTGTCATTGCTAGTCATCTCTCATCATCCCTAGTCATCCCTGGTCATCCTAGTCATTTTTAGTCATTCTTAGTCATCCTTAGTCGTCTTTAGTCATTTCTAGTCATCCTTAGTCTTCCCCCTCATCCTTAGTCATCCCTAGTCATCCCTTGTCATCCTTAGTCTTCCCTTGTCATTCCTTGTCATCCCTAGTCATCCCTAGTCATCCCTAGTCATCCCTAGTCATCCCTAGGGATCATCCCTAGTCAGGATATTATCCTTTCTAGTCTTCTCTTAGTCATCCCTAGTCAGCACTAGTCTTTCCTAGTTATCCTTAGTGATCCCTAGTCGTTCGTAGTTGTCCTTAGTCATCCCTCGTCATCCCTAGTTATCCGTAGTCCTCCCTCGTCATCTCTAGGCATCCCTTTTTATTCCTGGTTAGCTCTAGTCTTCCCTAGTCATCCCCAGTCATCCCTTGATCATCCCTAGTCTTACCTTGTCATCCCTTGTCATCCCAAGTTCTCCCTAGTCATCCCTCGTCATCCCTAATCATCCCTAGTCATTCCTTGTCAGCTCTAGTCATCCTAGTCATCCCTAGTCATCCCTAGTTATCACTAGTCATCTCTAGTCATCCCTAGTCATCCCTAGTCATCCCTTGTGATCCCTAGTCATTCCTAGTCATCCCTAGTCTTCTTTTTTTATCCCTAATCATCCTTATTGATCCTTATTCATCCTTAGTGATCCCTTGGCATCCCTCGTCATCCCTTGTGATCCCTTGTCATCCCTTGTCATCCCTAGTCATCCCTAGTCGTCCTTAGTCATCGCTAGTTATCACTCGTCATCCCTAGTCATTCTTAGTCATCCTTAGTCATCCCTAGTTATCTCTAGTCATCCCTAGTCATCCCTAGTCATCCCTAGTCATCCCTCGTCATCCCTTGTCATCCCTTGTGATCCCTAGTCATCCCTAGTCATCCCTAGTCATTGCTTGTCGTCTCTAGTCATCCTAGTCATCCCTAGTCATCCCTAGTTATCACTAGTCATCCCTAGTCATCCCTAGTCATCCCTAGTCATCCCTAGTCATCCCTAGTCATCCCTCGTCATCCCTTGTCATCCCTTTTGATCCCTAGTCAACCCTAGTCATCCCTAGTCATCCTTATTCATCCCTAATCATCCTTATTTATCGTTAGTCATCCTTAGTCTTCCCTAGTCATCCCTTGTCATCCCCAGTCATCCCTAGTCGTCCTTAGTCAGCCGTAGTCATCCCTAGTCATCCCTCGTCATCCCTAGTCATCTTTAGGCATCCCTAGTCATCCCTAGTCATCGCTTGTCATTCTTAGTCATCTGTAGTCATCCCTAGTCATCCCTACTCATCCCTCGTCATTACTAGTCATCCCTAGTCATCGCTAGTCATTCTTATTCATCCCTAGTCATCCCTAGTCATCCTTAGTCATCTCTAGTCATTTTCTGTCATCTTTAGTCACTCCTAGTCATCCCTAGTCATCTTTAGTCATCCCTCGTCATCCCTAGTCATCGCTAGTCATCCTTATTCATCCCTAGTCATCCCTAGTCATTCCTAGTCATCCCTAGTCATCGCTAGTCAACCTTCGTCATCCCTAGTCATCCTTCGTCATCCCTGGTCATCCCTAGTCATCCTTAGTCATCCCTAGTCATCCCTAGTCATCTCTCGTCATCTCTTGTCATCCCTAGTAATCTCTAGTCATCTCTCGTCATCCCTAGTCGTCCCTAGTCATCCCTAGTTATCCTTATTCATCCCTAGTTATCCTTAGTCATCCCTAGTTATCCTTAGTCATCCCTTGTCATCCCTAGTCATCCCTAGTCATCCCTAGTCATCCCTAGTCGTCCCTCGTCATCCTTAGTCGTCCTTGGTCATCCCTAGTCATTCTTATTCTTTCCTAGTCATCCCTAGTCATTTCTAGTCATTCCTTGTCATCTCTAGTCATTCCTAGTCATCTCTACTCATCCTTGGTCACCCCTTGTCATTCTTATTTATCCCTAGTCATCCCTAGTCATCCCTCATAATCCCTAGTCATCCCTAGTCATTCCTAGTCATTCTTAGTCATCCCTTGTCATCCCTAGTCATTTCTAGTCATCCCTCGTCATCCCTAGTCATCCCTAGTCATCCCTAGTCATCGTTAGTCATTCCTAGTCATCCTTAGTCATTTCTCGTCATCCCTAGTCGTCCCTCGTCATCTCTAGTGATCCCTAGTCATCCCTCGTCATCCCTTGTCATCCCTCATGATCCCTCGTCGTCTCTAGTCATCCTTAGTTATCGCTAGTCATCCCTAGTCACCCCTCGTCATCCCTAGTCATCCCTAGTCATCCGTAGTCATCCCTCGTCATCCCTAGTCTACCCTAGTGATCTTTAGTCATCCCTAGTCATCCCTAGTTATTTCTAGTTATCCCCTGTTATCCCTAGTCATCCCTAGTCATTCCTAGTCATCCTTAGTCATCCCTTGTCATCCGTAGTCATCCGTCGTCCTCCCTAGTCATCCCTAGTCATCCCTAGTCATCCCTCCTCATCCCTAGTCATCCCTAGTCATCCTTAGTCATTTCTTGTCATCTCTAGTCATTCCTAGTCAGCTCTAGTCATCCCTAGTTATTCCTTGTCTTTTCTAGTCATTCCTAGTCATCCCTAGTCATCCCTATTGATCCCTTGTCATGCCTAGTCATCCCTAGTCATCCCTAGTCATCCCTAGTCATCCCTAGTCATCCCTAGTCATCCCTAGTCATCCCTAGTCATCCTTATTCATCCCTAGTCATCCCTAGTCATCCTTATTCATCCCTAGTCATCCCTAGTCATCCTTATTCATCCTTAGTCATCCCTAGTCATCCCTAGTCATCCCTAATCATCCCTAGTCATTCCTTGTCATCTCTAGTCATTCCTAGTCATCCCTAGTCATCCTTAGTCATCTCTCGTCATCCCTAGTCATCCCTAGTCATCTCTAGTCATCCTTATTCATCCCTAATCTTCCCTCGTCATCCCTAGTCATCCCTATTCTTCCCTAGTCATCCCTAGTCATGTCTAGTCATTCCTTGTCTTCTCTAGTCATTCTTAGTCATCCCTAGTCATCCTTAGTCATCTCTCGTCATCCCTAGTCATCCGTCATGATCCCTAGTCATCCCTAGTCATCTCTAGTCATCCTTATTCATCGCTAGTCTTCCCTCGTCATCCCTAGTCATCCCTAGTCATCCCTTTTCTTCCCTAGTCATCCCTAGTCACGTCTAGTCATTCCTTGTCTTCTCTAGTCATTCTTAGTCATCCCCAGTCATTCTTAGTCATTCTTCGTCGTCCCTCGTTATCCCTCGTTTCTAGTTATCCCTAGTCATTCCTTGTCATTCCTTGTCATCTCTAGTCTTTCCTAGTCATCCCTAGTTATCGTTAGTCTTCCCTTGTCATCCCTAGTGATTCTAGTCATCCGTAGTCATCCCTAATTATCCTTAGTCATCCGTCGTGATCCCTAGTCATCCCTAGTCATCCTTATTCATGCCTAGTCATCCCTCGTCATCCTTATTCATCCCTAGTCATCCCTCGTCATCCCTAGTCATCCCTAGTCATCCCTATTCATCCCTAGTCATCCCTAGTCATCTCTAGTCATTCTTTCTCATCTCTAGTCATTCCTAGTCATCCCTAGTCATCCTTAGTCATCTTTCGTCATCCCTAGTCATCCCTCGTGATCCCTAGTCATCCCTAGTCATCCTTAGTCATCCCTAGTCATCCCTAGTCATCTCTAGTCATCCCTATTTATCCCTAGTCATCCCTAGTTATGTCTAGTCATTCCTTGTCTTCTCTAGTCATTCTTAGTCATCCCTAGTCATTCTTAGTCATTCTTCGTCATCCCTAGTTATCCCTCGTCGTCCCTAGTCATTCCTTGTCATTCCTTGTAATCTCTAGTCTTCCCTAGTCATCCTTAGTCATCCTTAGTCTTTCCTAGTCATCCCTGGTCATCCATAGTCATCCCTCGTCATCCCTAGTCGTCCCTAGTCTTCCTTAGTCATCCTTATTCATCCCTATTCATCCCTAGTCATCTCTAGTCATTTCTTGTCATTTCTAGTCATTCCTAGTCATCCCTAGTCATTTTTAGTCATCCCTGGTCATTCCTAGTCATGCCTAGTCATCCCTAGTTATTTCGAGTTATCCCTCGTTATCGCTAGTCATCCCTAGTCATCCCTAGTCATTCCTAGTTATCGCTAGTCATCCCTAATCATCCCTCATCATTCCTAGTCATCCTTAGTCTTCCGTAGTCATCCTTGTCATCCCTAGTCATCCTTAGTGATCCCTCGTTATCCTTAGTCATCCCTAGTCATCTCTCGTGATCCCTAGTTATCCCTAGTCATCCTAGTCATCTCTAGCGATCCTTGTCATCTTTAGTCATCCTAGTCATCCCTAGTTATCCCTAGTCATCCCTAGTGATCCTAGTCATCTGTAGTCATTCCTAGTGATCCTTAGTCTTCGCTAGTCATTCCTTGTCATCTCTAGTCATCCTAGTCATCCTTAGTCATCTCTTGTCATCCGTTGTCATTCCTAGTTATCCCTACTCATTTAGTCATCTCTAGTCATTCCTAGTCATCCCTTGTCATTCCGTGTCATTTTTAGTCATCCTAGTCATTTCTAGTCATCCCTAGTCATCCCTAGTCATCCCATCTCTTATCTCCCTTGTCACCTAAGTCACCTGAGGTGACTAGGATGACTATGGTGACTAGGGTGACTTGGGTGACTAGGGAGATTATTATGACTAGGGTGAGTAGGATGACTTTGGTGGCTAGAGTGAGTTGGGTGACTAGGGTGACTTGAGTGACTAGGATGAGTTGAGTGAATAGGGTGACTAGGATGACTATAGTGACTTGAGTGACTAGGGTGACTTGGTTGACTAGGGTGACTTGGGTGACTTTGGTGACTAGGGTGACTTGCGTGACGTGGGTGACTTGGGTGACTTGTGCGACTTGGGTTCACTAGGGTGACTTGGGTGACTAGGATGACTTTAAGCTGAGATGACTAGGATGACTGTTTTCAGTTTTATCATGTTGAGAAGTTGATTCAGATGACTAGGGTGACTAATATAATTTGGTTGACTGAAACGACTAAGATGACTTTGATGAATGGGGTGACTGTGATGTGTAGCATGACTAGAGTACTGGGTACTAGGTTGAGTTGGTTGATCAGGATGACTGAGATGCCTTTGATGACTTGGGTGACTTAAAAATAATATGAGTAGGATGCATGGGATGACTGGGATAACTAGAATGACTTGTAGTACTCTGCTGACTAGTATGACTAGTGTAACATGGAGTGCTAAGATGACTGGGATGACAATGATAACTGTGTTGACTGGGATAACTGTGATGACCAGAATATCTAAGGTGACTTGGATAACTATGTTGACTGGGATGACTGGGATAATCAGAATAACTTGGATGATGGTTTTACGCCTGGGATGACTTAGATGATGAGGATGACCGGAATAACTAGGATCATTGGGATGATTGAATGAACAACAATATTAATGATTGTGTCAATTTAGCCTACTAATCAGGGACATCTAATAATATTAACAAAATCTTTTTAAGGTTAAGATTACATTTGAAAATTTTAACAATGAATATTTACAATGTAAATAAGATTAAATAAAAAATGTCTAAAATTACATTAATAGCATTAAAAAAGTATAAAATCTTATTATCTCTCTTAGCGAGAGCTAAAAGTAACAAATAGAGTCTCAAGTATTTCACAGGTAACAATTGGAATACTTGTTAGGATGACATGGGTAAGATAACTGATTACCAGGATGACTTGTATGACTACGATTACTGGATGACTGAGATTACTAGGATGAGTGGAATGAATTTGATATGTGGGATGATTTGAATGTTGGATACTAGGACGAGTTGGTTGATTAGGATTACTAGAATTACTGGGATGGCTAGGATGACTAGGATGACTGTGATGACTAGGAAGACAAGGATGACATTGATGCCTGGGATGACAATGATGACTAGTATACTGGTGTTAGGGATTACTTTGTTGACTGGGATGACCTGGATGATTGTGATGACTTTGATGACTATAATTTTCTTGATGACTGAGATGATTGGGATGTCTGGAGTGAATAGGATGACTGAAATGACTGGGATAACTAGGATGAGTGGGGTGAGCGGGGCGAGAAGGGTGACTAGCACGACTTGGATAAATTGAATGACTATAAAATGACTGGGATAACTGGGATGACAAGGACAACTGTTATTACCGGGATCACTGTGATAACTGTGATGACTAGGGTGATTGGGATGACAAGGATGACTGATTACTAGTACTAGGATGACTGGGATAACTAGAATGACTAGGATAACTGGGATGACTGAGATGAATTGGATGATAAGGATTACTGGGACAACTATGATTACTGGGATGACTGAGATGAATTGGATGACTAGGATGACTGGGACAGCTGGGATGGCTAGGATGACTGGAGTACTGTGGTGACTGGGATGACTAAAATGCAGTAGGTGAAGTAATAATAATAATAATAATGATGACAATGACGTTAATACAGAAACCACAAAGTGGCTCTTCGCCTGTACACTAAAAGCTATCTAAACTAATATTCTAGAAATTTACAAATGCACTAATAGTTAAATTCTATGGGAATAGTTAAAAAAATAATAAAATAAATCAATAAATCAATAAACTAAAACATAAAAATAAAAATTAAATTAAATTAAATTAAATTGAATGTCTATGTGTCATTGAAATAGAGTTGAATCCGGAGCATTATAACAATGGCATTATTGATTTGCAATAGCTAGCCAGTTTAGTGTCACTATGTCAGATTCATTAGCGTATTTCCTTAACACAAACCCGCACGCGCACAATTGTGCAAATGTAGGGTGCTTATGTTAGCCTAAAACAATTTGTTAAACAAGATGGTAGTTTGTTGATGCAATATAAATTGATGACAACCAATTTATGAGTTTTACATGTCATTTCATATACAGTTTAATATTGTTTCAACTTGCAACATAACTGCTCCTTTAATCAAGAAACCTGAAAAAGATTTCGGCTTTTAATGCTGTGGGGAGAGGGGTGTGGAAAATTGTGCATACCTCTTTCTTCAAAAATCCTTGCTATGCCCCTGCGTTTTATTGCTGAAGGGTTTTTAATGTTTATTACCATACTGGAGACAGCAGTTAATTCTCTACCACAGAGTCAATAGTTTAAGAACAAGCATTGTTTCGGTTTGGTCATTAGACGTAAAGCAGATATTAGACATGATATCCAAACATCTATAAGTGGGTTTAAGAAATGAGTGAATGCCATTAGTTTTTGAGCTATTGTGCCATCAAATGGGAGATTATCACATTTAATTCATGACATTATTTCAAAACACCAGTTTTCAAGTTCATTTATTGTCAAAGTGTTCCCACTTCTTAAATCTAAATGGTTGATGTTCTCCATCGAGGAAATGTTACTATGCTTAATATTCATGTTCATAAGGTGTTTACATAGAATGCAAGGATTGTTGAGATTTTTATCAAGAAGTGGGTTTATGTGCTTATAGAAATGGTTTGTTTACTTTTTTCAGGCAGAAAAAAGACAAGAAATGCGCCAAACTGGTCAAAGGTTAATAGAAATGGACTACATTGTGTGGAGGAGAGTCAGGATTTAGAGGACAGCAGCAACATGGTCTAGGAATTACAACTGATTAGGTTTGTAATGTATGCTGTTAGGAATAATTTGTCACTAATAGTTACCCTAGCTTCATTACAGAGAATTGGTTTTACACTGCCAGCCTGGGACATCACTGAGGGTGCTTTCCATTTGTAAGAACTGACTGTCCAGATTGTCCCCGTCCCAATGAGAATTTTCACTTCTAATCAAAACTATTATTCAGTCAGACATATCCTAAACAGTATGCACAGAGGAGTTTTTTCAGCAACGAATTTCTTGGTAAGGCCTATTTCATTGTGAAAATGACCAGTCCAGCTATGGTCCAGCTGGCAGACTTTTGGAAAGCGCCCTGAGTGTGGGTTCTATAGCTGGCTCAGGGTTTTTCTCTGATGAGGAAGTGGAGATTTGCAGTGGTTATAATCACCCAGCGGTTGTTGTATAGCCATTGTTTATTAGTAATCGATTATCTCATACTTAAAAAATTAATGTTTCTTGAGGTAGTGTTTGCAAACCAAGGTAAAGTTGTTGTTAGATCACAAAATTTAAAATATACTTAAGTATAGAAAGTTAATATTGCAGGCAAATCTTTTTGTTAATTAAAAATCTACCATGAATTTTGAAAAGAACCAGTTAAGAATTCCATGTATTTATTCTGGTAGGAATCATTTTTGCAGAAAGATGGATCCATATTATAGGTAGAGAGATTGTAACTCTTCCTTTCTACCTGACAGTCACATTTACCTGTCTTATCTCTGTCCATTTAACAGAAATCTCCCATTTGGTGATGTTCTGGAAGATTCTTTGCCCATCACAAGTTGGATATCAAAAATCGTTTCTTCAATTAAAGGGATGACATCTCAAGAAACAGAAGGATCATGGTCTCCCACTGTTGATTTCAGGCATTTCAGGTATCATTTTTTTCATTCTTTCTTTAAAATGTTTTAAACCGGTATAAGACTAGTACATTTTGTTCAGGATTTTCCGGAGGTTCACAGTTTTCCATATCCCAGGGTCTCCCCCCTTTAACGAATCAAATGTTCTTCAGGTTCCTTCATTAAAGATGAGGTCATCCCACTCATCCTACCCATCCAACTTATTCCAGTCATCCTATTCATGCTAGTTATTCAAGCTAACCCAGTTGTCCCAGTCAGTTTTGTCATCCAAGTCACCCTTGTCACTCCTGTCATCCCAGTGACCCCACCAAGAATTCCTAGGAGTACCCCCATCAGGCATTCATCCCAACCATCCGAGTCATTCCGGTCATCCAGTCCCCTTAGTCATCCTAGTCATCCCAGTCATTCTAGTCATCTCAGTTATCTCATCACCCCATTCATCCTAGTCCCCCCAGTAAATCTTCTTTTCTCTTCATCACAATCATCCTTTTCACCCCTGTTATCTCAGTAAACCAAGTTATCCAAAAGTGGAATCCTTGTTTACAATATTGGCTCATTAGCACAGACTCATCATTATCTATTGATCTCTGAAAATTTGAGCCTGATATACCGAATAGTTACCGCGAAATTCTATTTGAAAAAACCCAAAATCTACAAAGAATGTGCGAGCTCATTAACGTTTTGCCACCCAGTAATTCTGCAGTTTTTTAATTGCTGCTATTTTCTTTGTTACTGGTTACAAAGAGCTGAAAGTTGCACAAACTGCACAAATGAACCAGCTCTTTAATTTTTGAACCGTCCATGGGCTAACTGGTATGCTAATGAACAAAAATGTAAACATTGACGTGACAATGAATCTGCCTGCATGTATTCATGCTAGTCATGCCAGTTATCCTACTTGTCCTCTTCATGTCAGTCATTCTTGGCATCCCTGTCATCCAAGTCATCTTAGTCATCCAAGTCATGTCTTAAGTAGTTATCCTATTCATCCTAATCATGCAAGTCATTCCAGTCATCCCAATCAACCTAGTCATCCCAGTCATCTCATTCATATTTATCCTATTTATCCTAATCATGCAAGTCATCCAAACCATCCCAGTCATCCCAATCATCTTACTCATCATATTCATCCTAATTATGCAAACCATTCCAGTCATCCAAATCATCCCAGTTATCCCAATCATCTTAGCCATCCCAGTCATCTCATTATTAGTCATCGTGCAAACCATTCCAGTCATTAAAATCGTCCGTCATCCAAGCCATCCAAGTCATCTCATTATTAGTTATCCTACTCGTCCTAATCATGCAAATCATTCCAGTCATCTAAATCATCCCAGTCATCTAAGTCATCTTATTAACAGTCATCCTATTCATCCAAATCATCTCAGTCACCCATGTTATTTTAGTCATCCCCTTCATCCCAGTCGTCCTTGTCATCTCAGCTTTCCCATTAACCCCAGTCATCCTAGTCATCCTAGTATCCTAGTCATCACAGTTTTTCTAGTTATCCCTGTTGTCACAGTTATCCCAGTCACCTAAGTCATCCCAGTCCTCCTGGTCATTTCAGTAATCTTAGTCCTTCTAGTCATTTCAGTCATCCAGATCATCCCAGTAATCCTAGTTATCCTAGTCATCACAATCATCCCATTCACCCTTGCTATCCTAATCATCCCAGTCATCCCAATCCCCACTCATCCCAGTATCCCTAGTCATCCCAGTCACCTCAGTCATCTTAGTCATCTTATACTTCCCAGTTACTCCAGTCATCTTAGTCATTCCATTTATCCCAGTGATTCAAGTCACCCTAGTTACCTCTTTAGTCATCTTGGTCATTTTGAGGGGGGTGCACATGTGCACAATTTGTACGGGTAGCTACACCCCTCCCATGAAGTCGTTTACAATATTTTGTGACTCAATCTTAGACATTAAACTTCTGTTACACCCCTTGCTTAACTCTGTTCCTATGAATATTTACGAGCCAAAAGTTAGCAGCGAGTCACAAATAAGTTAACAAATGAGTGAAAATGAATTCTTATTCTTTCTCAGGCTGAAAAGAACAGCGGATTTGGCAAACTGGTCAGAGATCCATCAATAGCTCAATACAGGAGTTCAAAAGCCAACAGTGAAGAGGCTGGTATCACTAGAGGATGAGTCAACTCATTATTAATACCTAGTTTACTATTTATATTATAATCATATAAATTTATTACTTACAGTTACAGCCAGTACCCTGCCTCAACACAGGTACTGGGTTTTACGATATTTCTGACCCAGCCCGGGAGGTCATTGAATGCGGGGTACAGCTGGCCCGGGGTTTTCCTCCTAGGAGCAAGTGGACGTACGGGGAGGTTTTTCACCCAGCTGTTGTTCCACAACCCCCATTCAACAGCAATAGGCAAATTCATTTAGTTTGGCAGTGAAAAAAAACCACCAAAAACAAAAACCAAAAACCGAAGAATAATGACTATTTCAACTAATAGGACTTCATGCATTGTTCAAAGCAGGTCCATGGTATTCCCAACAGGTGTGAATTGATTCACTTGCAATATTTTTCTTTTGAATTCTACCCATAGTTTAATGCTTTCCAAATTCAAAGAAAACCAAGTATTATTTATCCAATCAAAATTCAGTCACCGTAAGATCTTCAGCACATTTCAGCTGTAGAGCAGAATGCTGAATATGTAGTGAGATCAAATTTTAATTAGGAATTCTGTGATTCACTATTGGAGGGAATACTTAAGGTATCTGTATTACAAGAGTATTGATATATGATACAGTGTGTGTGCCACCTTATTTGTACAAATAAGTGTCACCGAGAAAGTCTTATCAACAGTTTCCTTCTTTCTTTTTTTTTGAGTAAATGAGTCACCATTCAGTTTAATTTAGCAATTAACTGGACAGAGACTTATCAATTAGGCAAAGTTTTCCTAAATTAAGCAAGTTTTTTTTTTCAAATTGGATTATTTTGTTCCAAAAAAATTCATATTTAGACAAAATTTGAAAAAAAGTCTGGAGGCTTATTTGTACTAGTCACAAATTAAGTTCAAACCCAAGATTCCGATGAGTAGCACATACATCATTCAATTTTACAAAGGACATTCACCTCAGGGAAGAAAAGAGAAAAGGGTCTATTCTTGCAAGACAATGGTCAATGAAACTCTGTAGCCAAGAATAATTATATTAATTAGTGCATTTCCTCAGGATCTGGCAATTTTATCAAAGATGAAAGACAGTATTTCATCTGCTAACAAGAGACAGAGAAATTGTTTCAAAAAATAATTTAAGACCAGTTTGGCCTGGTAAAGAATAGCAAAATTGAGCTGGACTAGTTTTGGTACGGGCTAAGGGTTCAAGGTCCCAGTGACACATCCCCACCCAGAAATTCATAAAGTACCACCATCGGGTTTAGTTTTTCACTACTCAAAGGAAATCTTGCTAAAATAATAGTGATCATGATATTATTATAGTATTTAATATAAAGTTATAGTTGTTGGGTGGGTAAGGTTACATATTTTATAGATTATTACATAACTAAACCCGTAAAAGCTCAATGAAGCCCCTATCTGCCTCTTAAGGAGGGTTGGAGGAGTAAGAGATGGGGGAGGGGGGTACACGATTAGGGGGGGGAAGGATTTTTTTGTCTCGATAGGGAGGGGGAAATTAGGTAAAAGGTGGTCTTTTTTATCAATAATCTTGCACAAACTGGCAAAATCTTCTTGCATTGGCTTGATAGAAATCAGTTTCTGACATTTCTTGCAAAAGGAATGGCTTTCAAGGTAAGTTGTAGAGGATATAATAACTACTAAGGGGATCAGGTTAAAAATCCAGTCTTAAAGATTTAGAAGCTGCGGTCAGTGATAGGCATATACAGTTGTAACATTGTGCTGCTAGTGTAGGTGGGAGTGGCCTTGTTTTCCGCGTAATTGCCTGGGACTACCAGTCAAAATACATCAGCTATTCACTGACTTTCATTTTCCTAGAACAGCGGGAAGCACAATGTTGCCTGTATCTTTAGAGGCATGGGAAGCATTTCAACCTTATCACAGCAAACATTAATCACATAGGCAGAATATTTTGACTTTGCTTTAATTTTATTCCTTTTGTTGAAGTTCACCACACACTCAATTCTTTTCATAGGTCAACCTTTTACTGCAACTCGTCTTCATTATAGGAGTTGTTGTGCTTCCTGTGTTATCTCAACACAGTGGAACTATGATTTTTTGAACCTCCTTTGAAAATGGAAATTAAGGGAAAAGAATTAGGGAGATATTAAGCTTTGTTTTGGGCTTTAGGCTTTCTCGCCATTTTCTGTTTGAGAAACCCAAGGCGAAATATAAAAAGTATAGTGACTTCAGGGGAAGGAAAACAAGTTTTAATTGGAATAATCAAGAGGTTCAAAGAACCAGGATTCCACTTATACAGTGTTAGTGTACATTTAATTTTAGAGTTAAACAGTCTTCAGCAAGCTCATTAGCACAGTATTAGCTCTAAACCTCCTAAGTGATATATGACCTCAGTCAGGGACTATACAGGCTGCAGGAAATAGTATCACTGTACAGGTAATGTATGCATCTTTAAATTTTCAGGACAACATCATGGCAATACAGATAACCTAAGAGCTATAATATAATTATATGGGTAGAATGTAGACACCTTGACCACAAAACTTGTGATGGTCTTCCATTAAGGGAAAAGATAAACTTGCGCTTTGTCAGCCAAGGCATCTCTTAGGCTATCAGTGGCCAGGAAGCTACAGCCGGAATTGCATCTACATTTACACGCTACACAGCACAGAATGGATAGCAATAGCAAAGCAATTAACCAGAGTGATCTTAATCCATGAAGTCCCAGTTTCACTGTCACAAATTCTCCTTACTGTTCCTTCTTACCTCTCTTACGGTACTAGTAAGGAGAATCTACGTAAGTATCAAGTAGGCAGAGTTTCATTTTTTTTATTGTTAATAAGTTGATGATTGAGCTTGGTCTCTGTTGGCACTTCAGAGTAAGGTCGGTGCACTAAGGATTTTGCCATCTTCAGGTTAATTAATAAGAGAACTCAAAAGCAACTGGAAATTCTTAAGAAACAGTGAGCCTGGGAAAAATCTTAGGAAAATTAGGATCTTAAGTATTATAACGCAAAGTAGATTATTCATAAGCTTACTTGAACGTTACGTCTAAGGCAATCTCCAGTCTGCCTCTGATTAAATTTTTTTTTCTAGGCAACTTCAAGTAGTAAGAATTTTTTTCCAAGTTGCTAATTTTTTTTTAAACTAAAACAATTTTTTATTAACTTTTGAGAACTTATACTTTTACACAGGTTTCACAGACTGCAGACTATTGATTGCATTTATATTTTATTTAAATATATTAATTTTCTTGTGTTACATTTGCTCTCTGGAAATTTTTTTTTTTTTCCATAGGCTTTCAAAAGGTCTGGCATGTTAGTTGTAGAAGTTTACTCCTTAGCATTCTTTTTCTTTCCATTTTCCTGCACATAATCAAAGCATTAGTTGAATACATGTTTACATTACGAGGGCACTTGTAGCACCAAGAAATATCTAGTTTTGTTTAATATGCTAATGAGCTTGCACTAGTTATCTTAATATTATTAATTTTTTGTTAGGCTTGCTTTAGCTAAGCCTTTGAAAACAGCTGACGTTTCCAGATGCTATCACTTGTTTTCCCGCAAAATGATGACTCATGATATGTCACTAGTCATATCCGGGCATGGCCTCTGATTGGTTGAAACACATTATCCTTCTGGCCCGACCAATCAGAAGCACTACCCAGATCTGGGTAGTGACACATCATTAGTATAGAATTTCTTCACCTATTCTTCATTTTTGAGTCATTTCATGGGGAAACCAGTGGTGTCGTTAAGAATTGTTGGTTGTTTTCTTAGGCCATTAGCTTTTCATTCTTTTTTTAAAGTTCTTATTTAATTTCAGACCTCAGGTGGCACACACACCAGATTAGGAGCCCATCACTTGGGAAAGGTCATGTTTGAATCTAGCCAACCTCGTCCCTGCTGGGCTGTGGAAGCTCTGCCTCTGAGAAGGTGTGAATTCTGATGTCCTCTGAGATATTCCGACTGAGAAATCCTGAGAAACTTTGTCTGATTCTGTAATTCATGCTGGGGGCAGTTGGACACTTGGAAGATTTGGCCGTTTGTTCCCAAGTGGGAAGGACAGTGTGGAGGAAGGTGAGAGTTTGCTTCTTATGTTCTTGGGGCTTCATTCATTTTGTCATAATACTACCCACACCTTTTTCCAAAAAAAAACGTAAGGTGCTTGTCTGCAAACAATATGTCTGGGAATGTTCCACTGCGGTAGGATGAAAAACGGGAGTGCTAACATTGTGCTGACTAACGAAGTAGGTGAGTCGATGGAGGATTCGAGGACAGAGGACTGGACACTGAATCTCACTGGTGTGGCGTGGGTGGATTTTTACAAATGACATCAAATTGAGCTGATAGTCATAAAAATCTCTCTAATGGGGGGCAACTGGTAATGGAGTTCTCTTTTAAACCTAAAAATTTCACATCTTTCTCAAGCTTGCTTAGGCCTAATAATAAATAACCGTTCAAACCATCGCAGAGGATATAAGCAAATCAATTATTATCTTAATTATCATTTCATTCTCATATTTTCGGCTTGAATTATCTAAACCTCATCAGAGCTAAGGTTTTATTACATCAACATGTGTTGTTTTTTTGTCTGTTGTTTTTGTGTCAACTGGAAACAACAGTCAAAACAACGTGGCTGTTGATGTTAAAGACTAACTTCTCTTTGATATTATTTAAACCTTCGGAAAGGAAAATAACTAAACCATTTTAATTTAGGATTCAATTATTATCTTAATCATCATTTCATTCTCATATTTCCGGCTTGAATTATTTAAAACTGATCAGAACTAAGGTTTTATTACATCAACATGTGTTGTTTTTTTGTCTGTTGTTTTTGTGTCAACTGGAAACAACAGTCAAACAAACTTGGCTGTTGATGTTAAAGACTAACTTCTCTTTGATATTACTTAAGCCTTCGGAAACCTAGATAACTAAACCGTATTAATTTAGGATCAAATTATTTCGATTAAATTAACTTGGTTAATCAGACTGCTGTGGAAGTCTTCTCTATTTCCTTTTTTTGAACGGGACATAGAGTAGATTTCCTTGGCTTGTGTGATAAATCAAGTTAATTTGACCTTCATGCTTTAGGTTCGGTTGTAGGCATAAATTTATAAACAACGTTTTATCATAAGCATAGATTTTAGTATCTTCCTTAAATTTTCAGCTAATTTCATTCAGCAGTGACTTCAATTGATACATTAAAATCGGCTTTCCCATGAAGGACTGGAACATGCTTTTTCTTTCTTTCTTTTCTTTTTTAATTTAAACAACGCATTTGACTAGTTCCAGTCTTTTGTTGGAAACCTGATGTTAAGTATCCGTTCCGGTCACGACAGCTGAAACATCTCTAGGGAAATTGGCTCAAATTACTATTCCGGCAAATTTTCATTATTATGCGGATACTCATCGCGGCTAGCTGCATAAAATTAAGACTTAAATCAAATCCAAGTTTTTCCAGCTAACATTTAATTTTACTTTATAGGATAAAAAAATATATATATTCCCGCTAATTTCCGTAATTTCCTTTTCCGTTTCGAAATGCGAAAATTTGTCCGTTATTTTCATTAGAAGTAAAAGGATCCAAAATTTAACTTAAATGAAATATTTATTTACAAAGTCGCTCTAGATCTAATCCCTTTGGCGAAATTTGAAGGCGAAATCTATTCGGCACTGATTCTAAATAACGGCATCCTAATTCATAATAGGGCGGGCAAATTTAGATATTAAGAAACATTAAGACCAAAACTCAATCGCTGCACATCGGCATTTTAGGATAAATGATAATAAACGGCGTTAGAATAATATCTTATTTCACCTAAACACTAATCACTAAACATTAAAATAGGGCGAGAGAAGTCCAGCATTAGTTGCTTCGCAGAGGAGAGATTATTATTGACTTGTGCTCTTTGGTGAAGTTTGTGAAATGAAGGTCAGTCAGACCAGCGCGATTCTTTGTTCAATTCTCTGCCTTCGTTTCTGACGGAGACTCATTTCGAAAAGTGAGTTAGACTCTGTAGCACCCTCTTTTTTCTTGTCCGAGTCTCTGGATATTTTCACGATATATTGACTTTGCAGATACGCGTCTTCAACTAAAACAAATTATATTTTTCGCTGAAAATTATTTTTGGCCGGTGTGGTATTGTGACAAAGTTGAATGAGACCCTGTGGGCATGAGGAGCAAACTCTCACTTTCCTTTACGCTGCCCTCCCCATTTGGGGACAAACGGCTGAATTTTCTAAGTGTCCAACTGCCCCCAGCTTGAATGAAGGGATCAGATAAAACAGACCAGGATTTTAAAGTTGGAATATCAAATGAGGACAGAAGAATGAACACCGACTCGGAGCAGAGTGGAGGCAGCCCGGCAGGGGCGGGGAAGGCTAGATTATTTTCTTTTAAATATTTTTTATTGCAAATAAATGGACAACAGAGACAAGCTTTATTCGTTCAATAAAATACTGTTATCTTCAGTACCTGTGCTGTTTACTTTGTAATCCAACTACTTGAGTGAACCAGATAAAACCCCTTAAGGCTCAGACACAGTAAAACATTACGCGCAGTGAAGGCTAGTTTTTACTAACGACATGAACACAAGCGTCAGTTTAGTAAAGACATCAACAACAAAAGCATCAGCACAACTTTAGGAAACCCACGCACTTATTATATTTCTTCTGCCGCGCTACGAATTAACACAACATAAGCACAAGCAAGATAAACCAAAACAAAGTTTGTTTTATTGTGTTCGGCTCGTGTTGTGTTAATCCTTTACGACGAGAAAACAAGAATAATCTTTGTGCTCACACCTTCAGTTTTGTATTTTAATAAACTTCAGTTGTTGATGACCTCGCTAAACTTAAGTCTGTGGTACGCTGCCAGTTAAAACCAGCCTTAAAATTCCACTGTATTTCCACCCCTGAAGAACTTAACCGAAATGTTTCAAAGCAAAAAAAAAAAATACTTATGGGAGTAGAAACACAGTGCAGAGTTACTGCGCGTAATGTTTTACTGTTTGTCCGAGCCTTACAATAAGCCAAGTTCTGCTTTGCATATTATAAAGCTTTAAGCAATCAACAAAGCGACGGCAGCAAGATCGGCACTTGAAAAAAATAATTAGCAGTTATGCGAACATCATTTATTGTCTAACTTTTCTCAGCATTTTAATTGATTTGCCTTTTAACTTAAACTTTGAACGCGCACGTTTTGAATTTGATAATTGATGGCGAAATGTTTGTGTTCGGTCTCTAATCCTTGAATTTTTTATTATTACTTTTCTTGTTGCTTGCATACAAAAGCGAATAAATGAAGCGAGCGAGCTGGGAAAGCTTTCTGTTGTTTTAATTTTCTCAGCATTTTAAATTTACCTATTAATTTGAACTTTGTACGCGCGCGTTTTGAATTTGATGTAATTCGGTTAAATGTTTGTGTTCTCAAAACCTTGAACTTCTGATTATCACATTCTCGTATTTTTTTTCGTACAAAAGCGGATAAATGTGCAAAAAAATAAAAGCGAGCGTGCATATAAAGTCTTTTGTTAGGTGCCATTGTTGTTGCCGTCTTCATTTGTGATTCAGTTGTGCTCCAAAAGTTGAAAAAACATAGGGAACAAATTTCAGACTTTTTCAGTAAGCGGTTTGTTTTGCGTTAAACGGCATCCCACAAAATACATGTACATAGAAAAAAAACCTAACAGAAAAAACATCACTGTGCTCTAAATTCCATGTCTCACTTGCGTGTGATCTTCTTCGCGGCCGTTTTTTGGCCTCACGACTTTGCGTGACGAGCCAAAATAACGGCCAAAAAGAAGACTCCAAGTTTGATACGAGTTGATGTTAATAAGAATTTGCACATGTATTTAAGGATTGCATTGTTACTGCAAAACAAAGTGCCTATCTGAAGGGGTTACCGTGAACTTTCAGTCCCAAGCTTTAACATGTTATTCTCTTTACTAACTGCTGCGGATTTTCTGTACCATCAGTTCTGAGAATTTGACAATTAATCAAGACAAAGCCTCCCCTTTCATGATAATTATGTTTATTTTCAACACCCTTCCTGCTTGGTAGTTTACTCAAAGAAGTAAAGAGAAATAACATGTTGATCACTCTGGAGTTGAAAAAGATGAGTGCAAGTTTTCAAAATCTCCTCACTTTACCTCCTCAGAAGCACACTAAATTTTCCACGCCCAGTTTTACTCAGTGCTTGTCAAACGTACTTTAAAACACTGCGGCAGAAATTTTCAGTGGTGACTCTATTTTAATCATTTCATTGTTGCTGTTGTTGTTGATGTTGTTGTGTAATTCTTATTCCACTTTGCAAGCAGTACACTGATTATATTGGCAAAATTAATTCAACGAATGTCAGAATGAGAGCCACAAGATTCATACTTAAAGCACCTGTTGCTGTTTTCCACAAAGAGGTTTGAAGATTAGGCACGCAATCCAAATTCACAATCAATTAAAACAAATTAAAGGAATAATCCAGTTCACTCATGCCAAATCCTTTTTTCTTGTGATGAAAACTGTGTAGCCTAAATTTTTCCCGAAAGTGGGAATGAAAATGGCAGTGAATTTAACAATTTAGACATTTTATTTTAAAACAACAAATTTGCCTACGCCTGCAGTTTTACCTAAGAACAAACGCTCCCCTTCTCCCACCACTCCTACCACCCCCACCCCCCTCCCCACCACCAAACGATGTCTTAGGTTGGCTGATGGGTTGATTGGTTGTATAACTATTGTAATTGTTGAAATAATTAGCAGCCAGCAAGAGGCACTACACTTCACATCATTAATGTGAAGTGTATTCAGTCATTCCCAAGACATATTTCCATGTTGGGAAATTGCTGGTTGAAGCAAGAAGAGATTTGAAATGCACTCATCAAGTTCACAGAAAACGAACAAACGAGTCAGCACAGATATGCAGTCTACCAACTATACCATTAAAATACAAATACAAAATAACGCCACTGTGAATTGGTCAGATCCTCCTGCTGTCATACAGGTCAGTTCAAACATCGGTCTGTCTTTTGAAACAGTTAGGTTAAATGTCAACCGTTCTGCACTGATTCTGGTCAGTCAGCATAAAAATCAACAGACACTCAGTTATTCAGTTTGACAAATCCTTGTTCGGCCAGTATTCAAACAAGTCAGTCAGTAACAAGTTTGGAAATTTTTTCCAGTCATCCCAGTCATTCCAGTCATTCTAGTCATCCCAGTCATCCAAGTCATCCTAGTCATCCCAATCATCCCAGTCATTACAGTCATCCCAGTCATCCCAGTCATCCTAGTTATCCCAGTAATCTGAGTGATCCCAGTCATCCCACTTACCCCAGTCATCACAGTCATCCTAATCATCCCAGTCATCCTAGTCATTCCAGTCACCCTAGTCATCCTGGTCATCCCAGTCATTCCAGTCATTCCAGTCACCCTAGTCATCCTAATCATCCCAGTCATCCCAGTCATCTCAGTCATTCCAATCGTCCTAATGATCCCAGTCATCCCAGTCATCCTAGTCATCTCAGTCAGTAGTGTTATATTAGCCATAAAGCCGATAAATGTTAATCCAGGAGAAAACTTATAATGACCACGGTTTTTGCATTTAAGTTTTCTGATCATGAGCACTTCACCAACAGGTACATGTCTCTTAGAATTTTCAATCAAATCAATCAAATTATTTTTGTTCTTGAAACCAAAAAGATTTCAATGCGTTTCAGCTGTCTTTGTATTGTGATTCCCTGCAAACATAAAACTGGCTATTGCACGCATTTATTCAATGTAAAATGTCTAATTCATACAAAATCAACAGAAATACTGAATGCATCCCTTAAAAATAATGTTTTTATTTGCTTGGTCTTGAATAACTAATATCATTTATTCAGAAGTCAATCATAAAATATTTGTTCGACCCTGCTGATTTTCGTTATACACTTTTGACGTGCCAGTCACTAAATCACCAACAGCTGTAGCTGTTCAGGACAACACTCAATAAGATGATTCTGCGTTCAGTTACTTTATTTGCACCATAATAATGTTGACTGAGCTGTACAACGGTACTTGATTTAATTTATTTTGGAATTTTGCTCTTTTATGTTTCATTGTATTTTGTACGCTTTTTTAAGTTTTTACCGTTGTTATCGTTGTTTTATTACTGGAAAAAGTAAGATTCATAAATGTCTACTCCCAAAAGTGGTACACTTGATGGTGAAATAACTGTGAAATGTAAGAATTTGGTCCAATATATATATTACAACAGCTTTCCCTGGATTAGCTTAATCAAACTTTGAAATCACCTGGTCATCCCAGTCATCCTAGTGATGCCAGTCATCCAAGTCATCCCACCCACTCTAGTTGCCCTAGTCGTCCCAGTCATCTTAGTCATTCCAGTCATGTTTGTACTCCCACAAATCCCAGTCATCTCAGTCATTCCAGTCATTCCACTCATCCCAGTTATTGTAGTCACCCAAGTCATCCTAGTCATCCCAGTCATCTCAGTCACCCTAGTCATCCCAGTCATCTGAGTGATCTCAGTCATCCCACTCACCCTAGTCATCACAGTCATCCCAGTCACCCTAGTCATCAAAGTTATCCCAGTCATCCTAGTCACCCTAGTCATCCCAGTCATCTTAGTCATTCCAGTCATGTTTGTACTCTCATAAATCCCAGTCATCCTTGTCATCCCAGTCACCTCAGTCATTCCAGTCGTTCCACTCATCCCAGTTATTGTAGTCACCCAAGTCATCCTAGTCATCCCAGTCACCCTAGTCATTGTAGTCATCCCAGTGATTTGAGTGATCTCAGTCATCCCACTCACACTAGTCATGACAGTCATCGCAGTCACCCTAATCATCAAAGTTATCCCAGTCACCCTGGTCATCCCAGGTACCCTAGTCATCCCAGTCATTCCAGTCATCTTAGTGATCCCAGTCATTCCATTCATCCTAGTCAACCTAGTCATCCCAGTTATTTCAGTCATCCTAGTCATCCCAGTCATCCCAGTCATCTAAGTGATCTCAGTCATCCCAGTCACCCTAGTCATCCCAGTCACCCTACTCATCACAGTCATCCTAGTCATCTTAGTGATCCCAGTCATTCCAGTGACCCTAGTCATCCCAGTCATCCTAGTCACCGTAGTCATCCTAGTTATTCCAGCCATCCCAGTCATCTAAGTGATCTCAGTCATTCCCATCCTCGGAGACCCAGGGGCAGTCAGTCAGGTCGGGAGAAAAGGCAGGACGAAAGATTTCAATTACGGGTGAAAGAGCCCCTGGGTACCGACTCTCACCGCACTATTTCCAGAAATTCAAGCGGATGACGGCTCCCGATTGGGCACAAAAAATGCTTTGTATTATTGTGTCAATCGGCAAACAGTTTCTCCCGAGTTCTTTTCGTGAGTTCGTACACGATGGCTATTGTCTCGCCACATTTGCCTGGTTCGTTCACCAAGCTTGTGCATGCAAGGGAAACTTTTACTTTCTACTCTCCTAACTAGAAACGAAGGAACTACCGATGAGTCGAAGAAACGTTTGGGATGCTATCAGCAGAAGCAATTGAATTTGCCCCGAGAATATTGTTTTTGACGGATCACAATGTATCTTAAATAACAGGATTTGCCGGCAACAGAAAGTCAAATAAGCCATAGCTTGACAAGGCAGAACAACAACTTTGCACGTGCATCACGCTTTTTTGTACATTTCTTTGCCGTCAACGTCACGACTACCCGTGAAAATGCCTAATTTCGCGTTTTGTAAAGGACGTAAACAAGCAATGACAAAATTCATTCTCTTCATGAACTTGGATATGGTTGATAAATTCAGCTCCAGACAAGTTCGCTTGCATTCGACAAAGTAGGCGAGTTGGAATAATCACGATAGAGACTGAAAAAAATATGAATTCACTTTTCCGTGCGATGTTTTCGTGGCTGTCAGCCGTCATGGTATCTTTCATAATCTTTCTGTAAATATACTCACGCAAGACGTGGCCGATGCAAGCGTGAATACATGTTGTACGCTGCAGCTTGTATTTTTCGAAAAGCGTCTTTAGTTTTCGGGCAGACAGTATTATGAGATCAGATGGAGATTTTATATCAAAGTGAAAGTTTCCTGACCGCCTGCATTTCTTTGGTACATGATCCAGACAAGCCGTGATCGAGACAATAGCCTTCGTGTACAAACGCACGAAAGGAACTCAGGAGATGTGTTCGCTGATTGGGCACAATAATACAAAGCATTTTTTGTGCCCAATCAGGAGCCGGCATCCGCTTGAATCTTTGGAAATGGTCTGGTGAGAGTGGGTACCCAGGGGCTCTTCCGCCCTCACTTGAAAACTTTCGTGTCGCCTTTTCTCCCGACCCGACTGACTGCCCCTGGGTCTCCGAGGATGAATCATCCCACTCACCCTAGTCATCACAGTCATCCTATGTCATCTTAGTGATCCCAGTCATTCCAGTCATCCTCGTCATTCCAGTAGTCCCAGTCATCCCAGTCATCCTAGTCATCCCAGTCATCTAAGTGATCTCAGTCATCCCACTCACCCTAGTTATAACAGTCATCCCAGTCACCCTAGTCATCAAAGTTATCCCATTCATCCAAGTCACCCTAGTCAACATAGTCATCCCAGTCATTCCAGTCATTCCACTCATCCCCGTTATTGTAGTCACCCAAGTCATCCAAGTCATCCCAGTCATCTTAGTCACCCTAGTCATCCTAGTCATCCCAGTCATCTGAGTGATCTCAGTCATCCCAGTCACCCTAGTCATCACAGTCATCCCAGTCACCCTAGTCATCAAAGTTATCCCAGTCTTAGTGATCCCAGTCATTCCATTTGTCCTAGTCAACCTAGTCATCCCAGTTATTACAGTCATCCTAGTGATTCCAGTCATCCCAGTCATCCCAGTCATCTAAGTTAGTCATCCCACTCACCCTAGTCATCACAGTCATCCTAGTCATCACAGTCATCCTAGTCATCCCAGTCACCCTAGTCATCACAGTTGTCCCAGTCATCTTAGTGATCCCAGTCATTCCAGTCACCCAAGTCATCCCAGTCATCCTAGTCATCCTAGTGATGGTAGTCATTCTAGTTATCCCAGTCATGTTGGTAATCCCAAAAATCTCAGTCATCTCAGTCATCCCAGTCAGTAGTGTCATCCCAGTCATCTTATTCATCCCAGTAACAGCAGTCAACAAAGTCATCTTCAGGGGTTTCAATAAAAATTGAGGTACCCAGCAGGTTTGAATAGAGTAACCGACTGTATCAAAAGGGGACCCTTAGTCCCCTTTTTCAAGGGGAGGGGGGGCGATGTCTGGGGACGTGCTTAAAATGCGATTTTCAGCGTTCTGGGGACTAAGTTGAGGACAAAGGGGAGTGTGTTTCATTCAAGAAAATGTAGCTTTCATTCAACTTTTGATTTATCAGTCACAATCAATTCCTACAAGCAATGGACAAATGATGAAAACTAAATTACGCACTTTTGCACGTTAACAAATTCTGCGTAAACCTACACGTATAAAGAAATTTGTGAAAAACTGACTGAAATACAGTGTTTACATGACTAAAGCAGAACAAAACCAGTGGGCCTTTATGAAAACACATCATAATTATTACGTTTTCATTCAGATTTTACGATATATATTTTTGTTCACAAAGTTGTTCGAACTAGTTCCTTCTTCTTTCTAGATAAAAAGTAACCGACTTGTATGAGCTAAGTAGCCGACGCGTGACCCTAGTTAATTTAGTAGTCCCAGTGATCCTAGTCATCCAAGTCATCCTAGTCATTCCAGTCATCCTAGTAATCCATGTCATCCCAGTCATGCTATAGTCCCTGTCATCCCAGTCACCCTAGTCATCCCAGTCATCCTAGTTGTCCCAGTCATCCTAGTGATCCCAGTCATCCCAGTCAACCAGTCATCCAAGTCAGCCCAGTCACCCTAGTTTTCTTAGTCATCTTAGTCATTTCAGTTAGCCTAGTCATTCCAGTCATCCTAGTCATTCCATGCCAGTCATGTTAGTAATCCCCAAAATCCCAGTCATTTCAGTCATCAAAGTCAGCAGCCATTCAAGTTGTCATAGTGATCCCAGTCATCCTCGTGATCCCAGTCATCCTAGTCACACAAGTCATTTCAGTCATCCTAGTCATCCCCATCATGTTAGTAATCCCAAAAAATCCCAGTCATCTTTCTCAACTCAGTCATCCCAGTCATTCAGTTATCTCAGTTATAGTGGTCATCCATGTGGCAAGAAATTTCAAGGGTACAATATGGATTGCATATCTGCACTAACAAGTACTGTACTATAACAACCTTATAATAATTATTATTATATTATAATAATTATTATAATAGTAAGTAATATAATAATTATAATAATATTATTATTATAATTATTATTTATACTATTATTACTATATCAGCAGAACTTGGCTTTTAAATGTTGTGACACAGTTGAACAAAGCCGGTCAATGCTAATCCAGGAGAAAACTAATAACGACCACGGTTTTTGCATTTAAGTTTTCTGATCATAAGTTAACTTCACCAACAGGTGCATGTCTCTTGGAATTTTCAATCAAATCAATCACATTATTTCTGTTCTTGAAACCAAAAAGATTTCAATGCGTTTCAGCTGTCTTTGTATTGTGATTCCCTGCAGCCATAGAATTGTAAAACTGGTGATTGTAAGCATTTATTTGATGTAAAATGTCTGATTCATACAAAGTTCAACAGAAATGCTGAATGCATCTCTTAAAAATAATGATTTTATTTGCTTGGTCATAAAAATCTTGAAGTCAATCATAAAACATTTTGTTCAACCCTGTTGATTCCTTTTACACACTTTTGGCGTGCCAGTCACTGAATCACGAACAGCTGTAGCTGTTTAGGACAACACTCAATTGGATGATCATATTCTGCGACTTTCTCACTAATAATAATATCTGATGATCCTGGGCTCAATTCAATAATGTTGATCAAGCTGTACAACTGTACCTGATTTAATTTATTTTGGAATTTTGCTCTCCTATGTTGCATTTTATTTTGTACCTTTTTTATAGTTTTTATTGTTGTTGTTGTAGTTGTTTTGTTGGAAAAAGTGAGATTGATAAATTTCTACTCCCAGAAGTGGTACACTTGATGGCGAAGTAACTGTGAAATGAAAGAATTACGTACAATATAATTATGTTACAACAGCTTTCCCTGGACTAGCTTAATCAAACTTTGAAATCACCCGGCCAACAATCCTGTTTATCTGGTTCACTCAAGAGCTGGATTACAAAGCAAAACATAAAGCACGTACAGTACTGAAGATAACAGTGGCTCTTTGCTCATGAAAGTCCTTGTCCAGTCTTTCTGTGGCATCTGATCTGAAAACAAAAGTTTAAAATATTCAATGAAGTTCATCAGTTATTTTCAGAACAGACCAATTTCCTATTACATTCAAATCTTGCTTAATTTACAGACGCCCGCTTAGTTCGGAAAGCTTATTATTATGGACAGTTTTGCTACTGTCAAGAGTGTGTGTTTTTAATTCCTTTAGTTTATTTATTTAGGTTTTTCCCAGTGTACATTTCTTTGTTTTGTATTTAATTATTTGATTTGATTATGTATAGCTTTCTTTTGGTTTAATTGTGGTTATCAGAAACCTCTGTCCAAGAAAACAGAAAATTGAAGTTCATTGGAACGGAGTAAAGAAGTTCATTTGTTCAGGGTATGATTGACACAGACTCTAAACAATGGACACACTTGTAAATTATACTTCTAAAAGTTTTATTAAATTGACCCCTGCTTTACACACCCCATGCAGTCGGTCTATAACTCAGTCAGTCAGTAAGTCAGTTTCCCAATCACTTCTAAGTCAGTCAGTTGCATGCAGTTATTCAGTAACTTGGTAAGTTACTCAGTTAGTCAGTCATTCAGCCAGTTGATTTAATAATCAGTCAATCAGTCAGCCAGTCAGATACCCAGTTGCACAGTCAGTCAGTTGCTCAATTAGTCAGTATCCTCAGTTGGTTCTGTAAGTTACTCATTCAATCAATCATTCAGTCAGTTATATAATCAGTCATTCCATCAGCCAGTTAGTCAGTTACAAGCAGACAAAGGAGGATTATATTACCATCTTCTTATCATGCATTGTGATCAAACTACATTATCAATGGCTGAATCCCAGAGAGTGACTTATTTCAAGGTGTCACCACACAGGAAACACAAGGGCACAAGAGAGATACATGAAATGATCCAGTATACTCCACATAAACTGTCTCAATCGAACACGATAGATTTCACAAGATAGCTACAAAATTTTGTTTACTGTTTAAATTCTCCATCAGGATTGTTTGACCGCTTGTAAATGAAAGCTGATAAACCCTTGTTATGGGGATCAATAAAGAAATAAAAATTCAATAATACTTTCTCAAACGCTGGCTATGCAATAGTGTAGTAAAATATGCATTGAGTATCGAAGGTATCAAAGAATTTGGCTCTGAGAAACTCAGTACGTGATTTTCAATACAGTCATATTAAAATGACCAGCAGATATTTTTTTCTGAGCTGGTTTATAAACTGACATGCATGCACCTTTCGCAACTTCAAACACTGTTGACTTCCAACCCTATAACTGCCACTGTAACCGTCATCCTAATGAAAGATGCGAAATTACGCTAAGACCTACTTTACCTCCGAATCGTATTCGTAAAGCAGCAAACATTTCTCCAAAACTTTAGGTAAAATTCATGTTTTCATCTCACAGACAGGAAAAATCACCCCATAATAGGCACAAGGCAGGCTGAGAAGATGGCAATATCCTCCTTTCAAGTAGACAGTCAGCCAGTAACTTAGTTGCTCAGTCAGACAGGCAAAATGGTTAGCAAAGCAAATTAATCAGCTAATCAGTTAGTCAATCAGTCAGTTGCTAAGTAAGTAAGTCAGACAGTCACTTAGCTAGTTTCTCAGTTAGTAAGTCAGTTGCTCACTCAGTCAGTTAGATAGTCACTTTATAATGTTAATTTGTCAGTCTGTCAGTCACGTAGCCAGTCAGTTAGTCAGTATACATTGCTTGGTTCAGTCAGTCACCCAGTCAGTTACTCAGCTGCTCTGTCTGTCAGTCAGGTAGCAATTCTGTTGCTCACTTAGTCAGTCAGTCACTTATTCATTTGAGCATCAAGATCATTACCCTTAATTTAAAGGCAAAATTTCTTATTTTAATTTGTTTCTGCAATTGTAAACCAGTCCGACTCTTCTTTTTCATTAATGAGGGTTATAAGGGATTACAAGGAATTAGAGGGGGTGAAAAGAGGTTATGATGGGTTACAGGAGGTCACAAGAGAATACAAGAGGTTACAGAGGGTTACAGCTGGTTGAAGTGGGCTAATACTGGTGGTTACAGGGTTACCGGGAACTACAGGTTGGTTTTATTTATTTTGGAATTATTCTCTTTTATTTTGCAATTTTATTTACAAACATTTAATTTTTTTAATTTTTCTGTTTTATTGGAAATGGTTATTAAAGATTGATAAAATTCTAATCTCCCAACTGTGGCACACCAGATGGTGAAATAACTGTCAAATGAAAGAATTCAAGGAACATGGTATAGCTTAATGAAACTTTTAACCAAACAGCTCTGTTTATCTGGCTCTTTAAAGAGCTGGATTAAAACACAAAACATACATGTACAGCACTTACAATACTGAAGATAACAGAGGCTCTTGGCTCATAAAGGTCCTTGTCCAGTGTTCCTGTGGCATCTGATCTGGAAACAAAAGTTTCAAATATTCAATAAAGCACATCAGTTGTTTTCAGAACAGACTGATTTCCCATTACATTCAAAATTCTTGTCTTACAGACACCCACTTAGTTCGGAAAGTTTATCATTACGGACAGTTTGGTTTTTCCCTGGGGAAAGAAAGCCCTTATGCTTTCTCTAAATTCAACCTACTCAATACAGACAACCTGTTAATATGGACACTTTCTTAGTGCCCATATTAAAAAGGTTGGACTGCATCACATTTCATGAGTACCAGTGAGCAACCATGCATACTGGAATATTTAGCACATACTGCATGATTACCCAACCCTTGACTGTCCTAGCAAATGGCACTCGCACTTTGATTTCTGTACCCTCCGCTAGCTCCTTACACAGTAACTCAGTCAGCCTGTCAGTCAGAGGAATAGCCAGTCAGTTGCTTTTTCAGCTCAGTCAGCCAGTTGGTTTAGTGCTTGAGGTTAGTCAGACACTTGATAAGGTGTTCAATCAGTCTGTCATTCTGTCAGTTATTCAATCAGTCATTTCGTCAGCCAGTCAGTCGATCACTTAAACAATCAGCCAGTAAGTCATGCAGTTACTCAGTCAGTCAGTAAGTTAGACAGTTAGCCAGTAACTAATTTGCTCAGTTAGTCAGCCAGTTAGACAGTTATCCAGTTACTGAGTTGCTCAGTTATTTAGTCAGCTGACTAGTAAGTAAATCAGTCAGTTTCTCAGTCAGTCAGTTGTTCAATTTGTATGTTATGTTATGTTATGTTATGTTATGTCAGACAGTCAATGAGCTAGTTTCTCAGTTAGTAAGGCAGTTTCTCAGTTAGTCCTGAGTCAGTCTTTCGGGAGGTCAGTTACTCAGTTTGTCAGATTGTAAGTCAGTCAGTTACTTGGTACATGTAAGTCAGTTGCTCACTCAGTCAGTCAGTTAATTTGTCAGTCTGTAAGTCAGGTGGCCGGTCAGTTAGTCAATATTGTTACTTGCTCAGTCAGTCTGCCAGTCAGTTAATTAGTCAGTAGGTCAATGAATCAGTCAGTTACTCAAAAAGTCAATTAATGAGTCAGTCAGTCAGCCAGCAAGTCAGTCAGTCAGTCAATCAGCCAGACCATCAGTAAGCTAGTCAAATTGACAGCCACTCAATTGGCAAGAAAGCCATCCAGTCAGTCAGTAAAGCAAGTAAGCTAATCAGTCAGTCGGTTTTCCAGTTTGTCAGTCAATTGTAAGTCAGTCATTCAGTAAGTAAATTAGTAAGTCAGTCAATTACAGTGTAGTCAGTCAGTCAACAACAAGTCAGCCATTTTGTCAGTCAATGAGTCAGTCAGTCACCAAATAAGTCAGTCAGTCCATCAGTCAGTTATTCAGTCAGTTAATCCATCAGTTAATCAATAATAATAATATAATCTGCAGTAAGTTGGTTAATAAGACAGTTAAACAGTCTGTCAATTAGTCAGGTAGTCAGTCATGTAATCAGCAAGACAGTCATTCAGTTAGTCAGCTAGTCGCTCATTTAGTCAGTTGGTCAATCAGCTAAGTATCAAGGAAAAGGTCAATCAGTCAATAAATCAGTCCACTCAAATGGCATCATGTAGATTGCAGGAAGTTATAATAAATGATTAAAGGAAGAACTTGGCATTATTATACCAACATTGTGGAACAGCTTGTTTAAAGCAGATCACATATGAATTGGCATTTGTCAGGAAAAAGTATCTACATGTAATTATTTTAAGATTTGATTTTAACTGTGTGCATGTGATTACTTGAAACAATTACACTAGAAAGAAAAAAACCCAAAGTGATTAATACTATCATAATGCCAATAATACAAAATAATTTCTAAGTGAATTTGAAAATGAACAAATTACACGCGTATTTCTGAAGTCACATTTGCACATGCGCTACTTGTTGGAAAGAACTGTACACTCTGGCCTCAAACTATCCTAGAGTTTAATTTAGGTGTCCTTCATGAAAAAATCAAAACAAACATTCATTTGATTTCAATAAATGCATTCAAAAAATATGAGCAATATTTTACACCAAAACTGTTTTATATTCTTCCTTTTAGTTTCAAATTTTTTATGAATCTCTGTCTTGTCAGTAGTAAACAAGAAACAGCTTACCAAATATTAACAACAAGATGAAGCCAAGTCACTCAAGTAGTGTTTTTCTTTCACTTGTCTAGTAGACATGTATCTCTCATTAATACAGAGACATTAAATTTGTAACAGGTTTGAATTTTTGTTAAATTAGGCCAGGTATGGCCACTGAAAGCGGATGAAACTGTACGTCTATCTTACTTTAAACAAGCTGCACAGTTTATCTGGTCCACTCAATAGCTGGGTTACAAAGCAATCTATACAGCACTTACAGTACTGAAGATAAGCTCAAAATCCTGGCTGTTGGTGTCTTGACACATCTGTTGGACTAATCTCACAGATCTGAAATGAAAAATCAGTCACTTTGATAAGCAATCGCAGTAATCTTGATTTACATCATGAAGGCATTGAAATTAAATGCCTTTTCTTAGCATGAATCTCAGTATATCAGCTGGCCAGTCGAGTCAATTAGTCGATGAGCTAGCCAGAATGTCAAGCAGTCTGTCAGCCACAGTCAGTCAGTCAGTCAGACAGTCAATTGGTCAGTAAGTTAGTTAAAGCGGAGAAGTCAGTAAGTTAGTCAGCAAGTCAGCCACCAGTCAATCAGTCAGAAAAGATGCAAAACAATCTTTAGTCATTGTTGTCGCCACTTTGTTAGTAAGGTAAAATTAACTTGGAAAATAGAAAGTCGACGCAAGTACTGGAACTCTACGGTTAAATAGACTCAACATTGCAGATTCACTTTATTGTATGTATTTAATTGATAGATTCCCACTGCATCAGCCAATGGAAACTACTAGTCTACAAATTGAACTAGTCTATTTATTTTCGAAGTTCTCTAGTATGGGAAATGTGTATTTATTATTCATACTGATGTCTTCATTGATGTTTCCTTGATGTAATAGATATGCAAGGTCTCGAAATTTGGTCCATATTATTTTGGCCAGTATAGTCAACACTACTTGGTCGATACGGTGACCTTTAAATTTAATGTCGGTGGAATATCGGTCAACTGTCAGAGGTATATAATACAATGTGCTTTAGGGTCTTTTTAAAAGCATCTAGCATCTTGGAAACGTCTAGTACGGGTGACCAAAAGTGCTATGGACCTTACGATAATGACAGCGTCGATGTCCATGAAAACGTAGCTGAAAAATCGACTTTGCATCCTTTTAAACATTTTCGCGATTTTCCTGATTCGCCATGTTACTTAAAAGAAGGCAATTTTGTTTGGAGCTGAAGAGAGGTGACCGCGCCCAATTTCGGACAGTGATGTACAACAATTCATACAAAGAAGCCTCTGAGAAACGGGGGGCAGTCAACAGGGATATCTGCGCTGCTCCTCCGCAGACGTTTCTAACCTAAGTTAAATTACGTCTGCAACACAGGCTACAGTCCACCAAGTACTCAAGTATTAGTGAAATATTGGTGGAATGTCAGGAGCCTATTGATGGACATTTTGGCCGACAATCAGACAAGCACAATCGGCCATCATATCGACCGACACTTGACCAACCAATATAACTGATATGTAGGTCAATATATCGAACGACACATGGGTCACTTGTCGGTCAATAATTATATCGTAATAGACCGATATGTCAACCGAGTGTTGGTCGATATGTCGACTGAGGGGTGCACAAATTACACAAGATCCAGAAATTGTCAGTCAGTCAATAAATAAGTGTCACACTCAAATTTAGTGAATCAAAGCAGAACTTGGCATTATATACTTATTATCTAACCACGTGGCACAGCTTGTTCAAAGCAGATTGTGTCACACTGCTACTCCATACCAGTCAGTCAATAGGTCAGTCAGTCAGTCAGCAGCTCAGTCAGTAAGCCAGTTTGTCAGTCTGTCAATGAGTCACTTAGTTAGTCAATCAGTCAATCACTCAGCATGTCAGCCAGTCAGTTATATTTAGTTAGTAAATAAGGCAGGCATTTAGCAGGTTAGTCATTCAGTCAGTCAGTTAGAGACAATCAGTCTGCAGTCAATCCAAAATGTCAGCCATTTGGCCAGTCAGTGTGTCAGTCATCTAGTCAGTCACTCAGCAAGTCAGCCAGTCAGCAAGCCAGCCAGCCAGCCAGTCAGTCAGCAAGTCAGCTAGACAGCTAGACAGTCAGTAGGTCCACAAGACAAGTCAGTCAGTTGGTTGGTCAGCCAACCGTAAGTCATCCATTTCATCAGTAAGTGAATCAATTAGTAAGTCAGCCAGTCAGTCCATCAGTCAACAGTCACTTAGTTAGACAGTCAGGGAGTCAGTCAATCAGTCACTTAGCTAGTCAGAAAATCAGCCCGACAGTCGACCAGTTAGTCAGTTAGTGAGATGGTCAATCAGTTAAGTGAATTGAATGGACCACTCTGAAAATTGTCAGTCAGTCAATAAATCAGTCCACTCAAGAAATATCATGTAGATTTCCAAACTATACTAAAACCAGAACCTAGTAGTTTATACTTGTTATTCAACAACATGGCACAGATTGTTCAAAGCAAATTGTGTCTTCTACTCCAGGACAAATTGCTATTAGTCAGAAAAACTTTAAAGACTTAATTTTAACAGCATATTATCATTTGAACCCATAGTAAATATTTAGCAAGTTAAAAAAACAAACTTAATGAACTTGATGCCATCAATAAAGAATTAATTCCATACTGAATTTGAATCTGAATTTGAAAAATGTACTCTTTGACCTCAAACAGTTCTAGAGATTTTGGCTGTCTTGCATGAAAAGATCAAAAGAAACATTCATTTAACTTTAGATATATACACAAAAAATTAAGCAATTAACAAAAATGTTTTATATTCTTCCTTTAAATCTGAGAATGTTGTTGAATATTTTTTCCTTCACTAGTGTATCTTTTATTTTTCAGATACATTAAATTTGAAAAAGTTTTGAGTTTTGTGTTAAATTAGGCCAGGTACATCCTCCATCTCATGAAGCCAGGCCTCAATCTTACTTTGAACAAGCTGTACCAGCAGTTTAGTTTTATATCTGGTTCACTCAGGAGCTTGAATATATAGCAATACATACAGCAGTGGTAGACCCAGACCTTCAGATAAGGGGGGGGTCATCATCCAGACCCTGAGATCCACCCTGGATCACCCACTGTACAGCACTTACATTGCCGAAGATAATAAGCTCAAAATCCTGGCAGTTGAAGTCTTGACATATGTGCAGAACCCATCTGATCTGAAAAAAAAATTGATCATCTTCATCAGCAATCAGCAATCTTGCTTCTTCAGGCACAAACTCTAGGGTTGCGCTTGATTGGGAAATCCGGATTTCGATATTGATATCCACATTTTGGATTTTGCAATCAAACGCGAAATCTGAACACGGATCTCCCTTCTAGTTCTTATGATCAACTTCTTCTTCCAAAATCTCAAACTTTCACCCACTCCCAAGTCAAAGGCCTTGCTACTACGCATACAAATAAACAATTTTCTACATTGCACTTTCAATAAGACTTTAAAAAAAGGCCAATTCGCAAATAAACCCTTTATACGCTGTTGGAAACGCACCGGTTTGCCCTTAAAAATCAAAGCGTTAAAAATCCCCAAGGGTTGAGATTGAACTATTGAAAGAGTCGTGCATAGGCCTGATAAACAATATTAAGCACATGAGCTTCGAGGCTGAGGGTCAAGATCTTACCAAATGCAGAGTAAAACATTACCACAAGCACTTCTAAAACATACAGTTCTTACTGTTTGATCTACCTATAATCGCTACTAACCTTGCAAAGTAGATGAAAAACGGCTGAAAAACAACCATGCCTTCCGCGCGCCATCTTTGAATGTTAGTTTCCAGTGCCCCAAAACGTCCACAGTGCGCGGCCTCCTTTCTCCTTGCGGAAAAATAGGACCCCGATGAGTGCATGTGTTTGTTGCTAAAAAAGCACTTTTTAGCGACTTTGTAGCTCAAATTTGAAAAAAAAAGTCTATTAATAAATGGGCAGAAAAGGCAAACAATAGTGAGCGCTTGCTCGCTCTGGTGTTTTCTTTCTTTTTTGTTTTGTTATTTTCTGGATTTAGTTAGAATAACAAATTAGCGGCGTCAATGAGGATAAAAAACCGTTAATTGAATAGTTTTTGCCCTATTTTGACTTGGCATCTCAGTTGTAGATGTCGCCGTTAAACTAGTGATTGAATCCTCCAAGTTCATATCTTTAGAGATTCTGCCATTTCAGTCTGTTTTTCTTTTGCTTTTTACCTTTTGCCGTACCGTACTGAACTCGAATAAGCGCCCCGGTGCTAATTACATTTTTTCACACCTAAAATTCGGCGCTAGTTGGAGGGCGGCGATTATTTGAAAGTTGGACGGGAAAAATAATTGTTTTCACTAGGTATTATAAGTATCCGTATTAAAATTTCCGGATTTTTAAAACGGGACCGGGTCGCGGCGCATATTCAGGTGCATAGCTTATAAACTAATTTTTGTCCCAAATGCGGCGCTTATTCGAAGGCTGCACTTAATCGAAGCAAGAGCCATAATGGCTCTTGATCGAAGCCCTTATTCGAGTAGATAAGACATTTTAATTTTGGAGTCCGAGTTTGTAGTTTTCAACGTTGCAATCAGTAATTTACTACGAATGTCATTTTTGCTAGCCTGCACTGGTTGTCTTGCCGGCGCAAGAGTCATTCGGTATAGTGTAGACAGTCTTAACCCTTTAAACCCTAAGATCAAAATTTGAATTCTCATTTGTTGCCCCTATTCATTTCCTACAGATGTAGTGGGAGAATTTGATAAAATATCAAGCAAATTTATCCGGTGTTATCATGTCAGTAATTCTCATGAATATCAATGTAATATCAATGCTTACAAAGCATTGATATTGCAAGGAGAACTTTGATGCTGATCACTCAAGGCTTAAAGGGTTAAATCTGTGCTTTGTTCTGTTGAAAAGCACGCAGGAAGCGGCTTGAGCACGAAAGAATTGTCTAGGGAAACACGAGACGTAGTCTTGTGTTTCTCCCTACTTCGTTTCCTTAATGCTTTTCAACAGAACAGAGCACAGTCAAGGCTTCTTTATTTGTTTTATGATAGAGAATCCATGCGTCCCTACGCATTACTTCACTCTTTTTCAACCAGTCAGAGAACGTGATTTATCTGAATCGTATTTTATAAACAGATAAAGAAATAGACCTCATGCTAAAGTCGGTTTTAATTGGTTTTATTCGTTAAATTGAAATACGTATTAGATAATAACCCTTAAAAGTCGATTCATCACAAAGTACGCTTGGGCTATCTGTACCAACTGCCATGTTTTTGAACAACGGCGACGGCAGTGACTACTTCTCTTATAACGTGATTAGCATTCTTTTAAGCTTATCCCTGATTATTTCGACTCGCTCAATTTGCTAAATGTAGGCATATTTTCCTGGAAATGGATTTTAAGAAAAATGGCAATAATAATTTTAAAAAATGCGTTATTTAAATTTCCCAATGTGCAGTGGGCTGGCTCCAGATTTTTTGAAAACATCATCGACTTAGAACACAGCAACAGGCCTTTGTAAAGAAACTATACTTAAGAGTGCTTAAAACGCCTTACACAAGTGTATCCGTTATAATGATGGCCTCTATTTACCCTAGTCAGTTGGGATTTACATCTTTCTGGCATAATTCTCTGCAAAATTCTTGCAGTTTGAGAACAATAGGATTTTAAGAGGGTTAGTAGCTATAAGCAAAAAGCACACACACACTCATTGTCATAATTAAAACCAAAGTTCTTTAACAAGGGTGGTTTCAAATTGAAGTGCTTGTTTAAATTTGCGGGCGTTTTCTATTGATTCCATGTCGCTGACTCTTTTGATTACTTTGGTCAGGAGGCTAACGAGGTGGTCGTGAGCAACATGTTCTCGAAAAACTTTCCCAATTGCACGAACAAAATTACTTCCTAGGTTAGGAAATCTGTATGACACGTATCCCTCAACTGTTGAGTACGCAGTTAGGAAATCTGTTTGCCAAACCATCCTCTCCGGTGAAGGACTTTTCGTTTGATCAATCGGCGAATCAGGACAGGGAGAAGGCATTTGAACAGAGGGCGAACCACATGCATTAGTCACGACGTTCACCCCTTCGTCCTCTTTATCCACTCTGCATGCTTGGACAAAAAGGAGCTTTGGTTTTCCCCTTAGTGTTGCACAGTTGGCGTTGGAAAGCACGTCTTTTATTGTCTGGATTGGCAACGGAACACCATCAGAGCCAAACACTTCGCCACTGCTTCCATGACTCATGAGCCAGAGCACAAAACAATCGTAGTCACTGTGGTCCTTTTCGTATGCAAAAAAGTCTACCTCGTTCAACATCTCTGTTTTAGTACGATTCTCTCTAATGTGTACCTCAAATCCCAGAGCGCTGAACATTTCTTTTACTTGACGGACATCTTCCTCTGAGCCGTGGCGTGGTGTTTGTCTGCCATGTTCAGTATTATCTGCAAACAGCTCGTTATTAATGATCAGTGCAATCCCTCTTGGAAGAGCAGTCATTTTGTAGACAAAGTCTGTTCCAGGATGATGACCTGGGCGAACGTCTACATGAAAAAGAACGTTTATTAAAATTATAATACTCCAAAAGGGAAATATCATACGCTATAAACTAAGAATAATACAAGAATACTTTCAGCCTTAAATCGGCAGAAAAGTAAGAATATTTAGCCTGAGGTGAACGAAGCAGGGCACGCTTCCTGGTGGTTGACTTAAGTTCTGCACCTGGGTTCATCCTCTGGCATTGTCATAACTGGCGTTGTGCCCTTTGCCGTGCAGCCTGTTGTGAAACAATGTTTGGGTGCAGAGTTTTCGCGGAAGGGTAACATGACCTAACAGAATAACTTGGGATGGGATTTTTTGCCAAGTTTAATAAAGTTTGTCTTCCGACAAAAGTAGGAAAATTTCAGACTCTTGATTGCGTCATTACAAGCGTTTCCTCGACAATTGCTACTTAACGCCTTTTATCACTAGTTCGCCTTTGTATCTGGACTTTGAAGAAGGGGGAGGGTGCGACTCTCACAACGGCGTCTTGGAAGGACAACTGTGGTAACTGAGGCATCAGCAAAAGGAATAACCTGTTGTTACGGCCCTTGTTGAATTAAGACAGTGCCATATACAACAAAAAGTTCCCGATAAGTAAGCCTGATAAGCAAGAAAGAATCGAGTAACTTTGTTCCTTGTGCTACAGACTCACATCCAAATTCGATTTGTTTATCGTTAAATATATATATTATAGGGTGTTGCTTACTGATGCACCAATGGCGAACATTATTATTAAAATATGTGACATCCACATTTTGGGCCTCTACCGTTAATTGTGTACTTGCTTTTAGGGAACAGGGCTAAGACGACCTAAGCGAAAAATATCGAGGTATTTGGTGCAATGAAAGTCAGGCAAACATGCAAATTTCAAGTAGTTACAGTTAGGTTTTTCTCACCTTTGATGGGAAACCATTTTTCTAGTCCTGGAACATTCGTGGTATTATTGCCGAAGCTCTTTAGGCAATTGTTCATTTGCCCGTCTCGCAGAATTTTAAGAAGGCACGAACAATCATCGTGCCTGCAAGCTACTTTGCCATGGCTATCACACGTGACGTGTTCCTCAGAACAGTCGGTACATTCGACGCACCAATTATATTCCAAACTGGTCAAGTAGGGCCACTCATCCATCAAAGAAGTCATTGTGTGTTTCAGAAATCTCCACACGAGGGAAGCCATTTCTTCAATTTCTATCACTGGAGCTTCTTGACACTGTTGCGTTTTAAAATGACGTAAAACAAACTTAATAAAGCGTTTCTGGCGAATACAGATTAGCTGGTGAGAAAAATCCTTTGATAGTAGCGTAAACCTTGCTACCCCATCAAAAAGTCTGGGCGCCTCCTTGAATCCAATTTTGGAACACCATCTGGTACAACGAGATACGAGTCGCGTAAAAAGCCCGTGTGGAACAAATCCAGATGGAAACTGAAGATATAACGGGCATGGGTCTGTCAGGGCTGGTTTTAAATGGCAAAGTCGTCCAGGTTGTGAACGTAGTTGAGCTGGAACAAAGTACTTCACACCATTTATAGGAAATGCACACTTGGCAATCAAACCAAACCGTTCCATCAAGTGTAAGATGTTTTCTTTCGCAAAGCCTTGCTGACAAAATTTGGAAAACACGTGATCGACGAGTTCCATTGAGAGAACACCGGTTATCTCCATTTTTTTCCACAGTAGGGAATGCTTGGATTTCTGCAAAAATGGAACGAATATGTTACCACAAGAAAGAAATAAAAATGCAAATCTGATGTTCTTAAATTTAAAAGGCTTCCACACACGATCGAGCGCCTCCTAAACAACTCCTTTTCATCTGTAGTTTGAAATATTGTATTTTTGAAGAGCCTTAAGTAAGCTCATAGACCTACGGGCACTTTCGGACTTTGGCTCGGGGGCAGCGGCGTCGGCGACCTTGCCCGAAGAAATTACTCAATGCCCCAACGTCTTGGTGTTGTAAACGAGATACAAAAGTACTTACATCGTATCAAAAACAAAAACGTTTAAAATTCTCACGCTTAGTGAAACAGTAATAATTTCGAGAGAGACGTCGCGTAGTATATTTGATCTGGTAAAATCAGAAACATACTTTGAAAATTCACTCCTCCCGTGGCGTTTTCCGTTTCAGATCTGTTCACAATGATTTATACTCATAGGAGTGCCCAATATGAACGTTAGCGAGCACAATCTATTCTGTCACATCGTGCTACGAAGATAAGTTTTCAGTATCGAACTGATCGCTCTAAACTGAAATGTATCTAGAGATCTTAGATTCCCAGCTCACAATGGACACCACGGACAGAAATCAATGAAGGTACTGGGATGAAGAGTGAATAACAGGTATCGACACCACGCATCTAAATCTGACATGTGCGGATTTAGACTGACGTTTAGAAACGACTGTCGTGGTTACATTAACAATCATCCTTTGGAATCGAGGTAAATATTCCTAAAGCCACTATTCACCGAGATTGAAAAGAATAATTGTTTTAGTATATACACACGGAGTGATCTCAACAAAATCAGAGAGGAAACCATTAAAAAGGCGAGTATGATTTGATTGACAGATCAAATCACGGGGAAGCTGTAGGATTTTCAAACATGGTAATTCACATACAAGCTTATCACTTCGCAAACAACAGCGTAATGGCTTAAATAGAACCGTTAAAAGTTTAAATTGTTTCCTTACCTGAGAAGAAAAGTAAAGCTTTGTTGTTTTCTGTTGACTCGCCAAGTTTATAGCCAAAAAAGTTTGTTGTGTCGTTCTTTTAAAAGATCGTTCTTTAAAAATTAAGAAAAAAACCGAGCTCACACATTATCCACTCGCAAGTAGGTGAATATTGTTGAATAATCCGAGATAACGAACTAATCAGATTGCTTAAATCACTGAGATCACTGAGTGTGTATATACTAAAACTCTGTGTTTTGACTTCCTTTTTGTTTTTAAGTCTTATCCCAAGTGCTGTTTTCCCGAATAATGGAGCGTTTTGTGAGGAATCTCGCCCCCTTCCCCCTCCCCCTTAGCCCGTGCGCCTATGGAGATAAGCTGTGTGTTGGTGAATTTCTGCGATGTTGCATAGATTTTTATGTAACCCCCAACAATGTTCATACTAATAAATCCTAAGGAAATTAGCCCATTTATCCCAAAAGTTTTACTTTTAAATTACCATATCGTTGAAATGACGGATGGTTATAAGTTTCCTGAAAATATCAATTAGCCATTGGGACTGCAGTATAACTGTGTTTCGGTGTTTAACAATGATTCCAAGGTCGTGATAAAAATCCAGCATGGTGTCCATCTCCTTCTCGTCTTCGATGAAGCATACTTTCTGAACAATCGTCCGTAGATCCTTTAGGCCCAAGTACTGTATGCTCGCTGCAACCAAGCTTTTAATGACCTTCTCAAAATTGAACCACCTGCAGGAAAAACGAAGTTATGACCGAAAAAGTCATCAAAGTGGTTAGGTTTAGCGTTAAATCGAACGGTATTCTGAATGAAAGTTTGAGACAAGGTAAAAGGAGCATATGTATAGAAAGGTTTTTTAAATCGGATGTAACTAACTCGGAACGAGAGTACGGGTAAAGGGACTTGAAAAATGGTAACAAAACTTAACGTCCACCCTAGCAGCATCAGTAAATTGATTACCCATTCTCTTCTTTGTTGCCATTTTGGTTTAATTTTCCCTTTCTCCATGCTCGTTACTAGTTCTTCGTTCCTCGTCTTAGTAACATCCTAGCAAATCAAGATTGAACATAAAGTTGCACCTGGAATGGTGTTTTGAAGAAGCTACAACCATTTGCAAAAATACTTGACACACTACCTTGTTTGGCCTGTGCATGATCTTGTGCTTGTGATCCTCTTGTAAAATGCTGAAAACTTGGAGGAAATACTTTGAATGGAGGGGAGAAAGGGGTTAAGTGTTATTTCTCGGAGATGTGAGCCTAGCAGCCATTTGATGTAAAAAGGCCGGTTTTCGTCGAAGTGCCCCAGTAGCTTTGCAATTGGTTGTAGCTTTCAAGATCATCGAAAAAAATTCACAGCGTGGAAATATGATATTATACAGTAGGAAACTGCTTTGGAGTGATCTTTCGTGACAAAACTTACCGAAGTGGCAACTCCTCTCCCATGTATGGCTCCTGCTTTAAGACCTCCATTATCTTGTCTTTGAGATCGACGAGCTGCTTTTCGTCTGAACCTGACTTGTTAGAAATTGCAAAGAAAGGACGAATCACATGTTTTGCAAAGCTTTTTCCCGAAATCGCTTTCTGGATCTGTGATTCAATATCCTTGATATTACTTTTATATGGCTCATCAGCATGTGTTCCTACAATGAATACTGGAGGACGCAGGTATTCGAGCTCCCTCTCTTCCTCTTTACCCGCTTTTGTTTGTTGTGAACACGTAGTACTTACTGAAGCAAGCCATGACATTAGGTTGTCTAAATTTGTCTCGGAATTTGGATTCCTTAGACGAACTTCGCAATTTTCTCGTTTAAAAGAGGGTTGGGCCTCCGCTTCAAGTGGCTTATTCAAATTGCAGACCAACAGATAAATTGCTCTTTTCGTCAAAAACACAGGATATGAAGCGTAATAAAGATGTTGTCCTGCAAAGTCCCATAGATCTAGCGTCGTGTGACGTTCAGCTTGTTCCGCATCTTTTTCCAGATTTAATCCCTTTAAATGCTGAACAAGTATTTCTGTGAAGTCTTCTGGAGGATGGGCTGGGTCTATCTTCAACTCGGGTATGGAAATTGTAGGTTCTGCAGTCACTATTTCTGGTACGTCTTCTGGAGGGGAAGCTTCTTCCATCTTCCCGTCGATCATGCAGCTCGTAAGTTCTTCAAGCGCGATGTCCAAATTGCTAGATATGTGAGAATGAAATCCAGCTTCTTCGGTGTCCTTCTTTTCCGTTTGTCGGAAAAAATTCTAAATATATAAAGAAAGAATCAATAAAAGGAGGAAAAGGGTAAGTAAAACATTTCGCCAAAAACTATCTTGTTAGTTGTTGAAAGAGGAGCCGCTTTCCTATTACCCACGTTAATGTGCACGAATTGCGCGCCAAAATTCAGTGGAGCGGAACTGGCAGTTACGTTAGTTACCTTTTAGTGATTGTACGTTAATGAAAGTTTAGCGAGTATTCCTTCGTTAGAAATGAAAAAATAACTAAAAATCTGAAACCTGTGAAATCGGTTAAACAACCTAAAAACGAACGTGACGTTATCATAATGAGATTTTTCTACGTCCTGATTTTTAGTCACGAGATAAAGACAAAAGGCGATGACCTCATCGGCGTTAATGTATAATTCTACTTCTCTCCAATGAGCACAGATTCCACTTAAAAAAAGGTAGAAAACTGCCTTAAATCTGCGCCCTATACTACTTTTTGGAGCCCAACTATATCGCTCTTCATAATTAAATATGACGAACACTTATCTGATTTTTTAACAACTGGCGTTTTCCAACATCGGTATTCTTTATTTCTGAAAAACTGGCCAGGTTTACGACAAAATCGGCGAAGAGCAATTTACGTTAGTATCCTTAAGTGTGAGGTTTTAATTAGGTCAGGTTTCTTCAACCCAGTAAGGAGGACGGCAAATTACGTCAATAAGTGAAACTAGTTCTTTCGAGACGATTGCAGGACATTTTGCTAACCTTACTATTCTTTTCATCTTGACCTTTCTGGTTCATGTTAGTTTTCTGTTCCTGAAGTTTTCCTGCCACTACTTTTGCAAGCTCGTTGGCAAAAATGAGCTTTTCATTGGTGATCTTCCAATTGGTGGCATGATCGACGTCAAATTCAAATGTAGATGGGTCAACTTCAACCCCGTCTGTACTCTGTTCATCAGGGTCAAATGGCAGGCCAAGAAGATGTTTTTTTAAACTCGTCTTTCCCGCTCGATCTTGGCCGATGAACATGATTCGACCACGATACACCTTTACCTTTCCATTCTTCAAAGCATTTTCATAAGCACGTTTTGCCTCGGGTCCTCGAGCTATGATTTCACCTGGTACTATCGGAAACAAAACCGGACAAAAACAGGTGTTTTAATAATTTATTTATTTTCTGTTATGACGGGAATTATGCCAAAATGTGCCAAATTGGTACGAAAAGAAAAAAAATGAGAAGAAGGGAGAAACAGAGGAAGAGAGAGAGAAAAGAAAGAAATAACAGGAACGTGTAATTGTGATTGTTCGATTTATTAAAAAAGAAAAAGGAACAATACAAAACAGAAAGTGCCAAGGAAACCTCAAGAGAACCCAGGGGGCCAATGTACAGTCGAACCTCCATGTGCAATCACCTCTTGTAAGCGACCACCTCCCATAAGCGACCTCCTATCCAAAACACCAACATTTTCCCAGTCAAAGCCTTACAGCTGGAACCTCTAGTAAACGACCAACTCCTGTAAGCGACCGGGTTTTGCAATTGCTATTTAGAGAAAGGAAGAAGACGACATACGCTCTGCGGAATGGGTACGAACATGGCCCTTTCTCCACGCCACCGTTGATCTCTTTGCACTCCTTTTCCTCCACGCGCACGGAAGAAGAAAAAAGAAACATTCACAGACACATGATTGCAAATGCTTAATGCAAAAGCATTCACAGACGTTCAAGCAGCCCTGGAGTCGGCATCGTTGCGCTCATTAGATATCCATTTTGTACAGAAAATAAACATGCAGCTATTTTGCAAACAAGACATAATTTTTCCTATAATGCCTTGTTTATATTTTGGTAAGTTAGGAGCCATCTCAGTATAATTGAAATTAAGGTGCTGATAAGGCGTAAATTTTACCTTTCCTGGTTTGTGGAGAATGTTTTCCTTCTGCTGCATGTTCACGGGTTTCGACACCTTCTTTACGTTCAGCTGATATGGAAGAAATTTCCTCAAAAGCTTGCTTAAGCACACTCACTTTACATGTCTTCTCATTCAAATCTGTTTGAAAACACACACATACAGATATACGATGATGTTTTCTATATTCTAGAAGTAAAACGTATTTCCTGATTATTTTTTAGCTTTTGTTTTTGTTTTATCCCAATACGACTACATGGCCAGAAAACATCATCATTTTTTTATTTCCTGGAGATCAAAAATCCTACTAGGTAATAAGGGACATCCCGTGTCAAGTTTCAACTGGGTAAGTTGAAGGGGAATTTATACCCAGACTGCTATTTTACAACTAGTTTTAGGTCACATCTTCTTTCTAAGTTATACTCCCCCAACCACTTCCGACATACCTGGCGGTGGTACTGCCTGACACTTTTTCCGGTGTAACACCGGTATGTTGTGCGGCATTTGTAAAAACTAACGACGCATTTTTTCGGTGTAATTACAATAGCTGTGGCAGTCTATAATGAATCACTGATGAATTAAAGCTACGCTTATTGTAACGGGCCGGTTGCATCATTTTTCAGTGAAAACTGAAATGAAAACCACCGTACGTTCAGTAAAGTATAAAGTAATAATGAGCTGTCTGACTCAATGTTTTTAGTCAAAAGTTCTTACCTCGACTACCACTTGAAAGTATTTCGTCTTTCGCTGATTGCACACGGCTTTTGTCCTTCTCTTTCGCATTAGCTGGTTTTGGAGTAACTTTGCCTGAAACAAAATAAAATACACGCACATATAAGGAATAAAAGAGAAGTTTATGTTTGTCCATACCCTGTGGTTTAACAGGTTTCCATAAAAGGTGAGGCACAAACTCATATACTTTTATCAATTTGACAGTCCCACGGCTAGAGTACAAACGCTTTTCAAACCAGTTACTGCCAGTATAGATAATCAATTTCAGCTCCTGCTATCAGAATATGACTTCAGTAGTACAGGGTAATCTCCAAAAAAGGGACGGCAACCTCAAAGCCCTGATTAAATATGGCTTTTGTATGTTCTGAACACTACGCACTTTGATCTCGAAGGATATTAAAACTTCCCCTATCTCCATATAATTCTTCAGGTCACACGAAAGCCTAATTCAATAATTGCTCAATAGTTTACTCTCCTAACGTGCCTTCTGTATCGAACTGGAAAACCCACCTCATGTCTAGGCCAAACCTCGAGCTTTTCATGTGACGAACCCAACATAGTGAGTCCAGTTCGTGAAAAGTTCGACGTCTGGCTCAGTAAAATTCGCCTGAGTGAGTTTGGGTCGTCCAACACGTTCTATCCGTCTGCTCCTAATTCGAACAGATAAAATAGAACGTCTGAAGATCGTCTCCAGGTCAAACGTCGATTTTCACATGCGACGAACTATAACTAAAAAATTCAAAATTTGTACGAGAATGTATATTTAGCCTCAGTCGGCTAAAATTGCTTTTTGGTCTCATTCGGTTGATTGATTCGACGCGTCCTAAGTTCGCCGTCGCAGTTCTCCGTTTCGTAAACTGTCGCTGCCATTTTTAAGACACTTGGAAAATTTTTGACTTGTTATTGAGAGCGTTTCTATTAAAAAGAAAGAAAATCTCAACGCAGGGTTGAACCCGGACCTTTCGAGCATCCTTATCTCTCTCCACTACCACTACACTACTACACTGACTCGCCAAAATTCCGAAAAATGTAAGTACATAAACTAACAAACTATTTTTCTTAACTGATACATCAATAACAGGTGACCCTAGCCCTTTCTATAACTTTTAACGTAAATTCAGATTGGGCATCAACGTCGTTCTTTCTAAGACTATCCAAAAACGTATTATTTTCCTTATTGTAACTTAATCCAGGGAATATATTGCATCTATCATGACTAAGGGCTTGGTTACCAATGCCGGGTGGCATCGACCGTTAAAAATGGCAAAGACCGTTTACGAAAGGGAACTGAATAGGCTTCGCCGTCTGACCCAAAAGATGGTCTTAACTCAAATTTAGATCGATCCAAATTAGAGTTTGGTTCGTCTCACGAAAAGTTCGACGTTTGGCCTTAACGTTACTGACTACAATCTTAAAGTTCGACTTATAAGTCCTGTAATTGATGCCATTAATTTTTTCTTATATTACTTCCAAATTACCTGTCCTTCTATATGAGGTACGTATTCGTTTTGGTGCACGGCTTTCGTCGTCATTTTGCGCTTCAGCTCTTCTGAACGAACCTTCCTCAAAAACTCGTCGGAGTACACTAACTTTACTTGTGTCCTCACGCAAACCTGTTTCATAGATAGCAAAAAGGAATGATGTCTTCGATATTTTTTGCTAAGGAAAAGATATCCCGGCCCACCAACGTAATTTAACGAAGAAATGATTATCTGAGTAGAAAATCCACTGCATTCTAGGTGTGAAGTCGATAGAGGTTCACTGGGCGTTCTTGGCTTTCAACAATCTTTAGCTTTCAGTGACTTCGCAAATTTCAGCTTATGACGTCATCCTTAAGAAATTATTTTTACCGGGCCTTCCTTTCAGGAAGAGACGGGTATGGTTCTGGCCTTGGTTGTTCCTTCGTCGTCGAATCGCCCTCTGATCTTTAAAGCGCATGCCTGTACTGGCGGATTATCACGTGATGGATTTCCGGCAAATTCATTGGCTTAGAGACAAAATCTTCTTGACATGTTGTCGAGAACAAAAGGCAGCGTTTTTGTCGAAGGGTAGCGTTAACGTTGTGGTTTTGTTGCCTCTATGAGAGATCGACAATTATTTTGGTCGAAATATTTAGTGATATGTGTTGTCTAGAGGACAATGTATCCCGGAACTGTCAGACAAATACAGTGGCTTGATCCGTTTAATCGAGATCGGCGTTGCGATCGCTGGTTGTGAGAAGAAGACATGCTAAAAAGGTAGGTAATGTTCACTTTTTATGTTTAGTCCAAGTCACGAGAATTTATATAGCAGTTGAAGAAACACTATTGGGCTTTGTTTTGGCGAGTAAGCGTGTACCGAGGTGCAAGGAAGAAGCACTTTTATATAAACGTATGGACCGTTTTCGTGCTAAATTGTACAACTTGACTGTCCGATCTGTTCAAACACACAAGTCGCTGTAAACACCTTAGAACTTTTATGCTTTATAGCTTTTATCGCAAAACAGTAAGACACAGTGGGAAATTTAAAAGCAGAGAAATTGCTTTGATTTAGTAATATAGCATAGTTTGCACCTAGTTGCATGAAAGTGGCAGTAAATTACCGTTTCGGTGCATTAATTGCTAATTCATCGAAACAAACGAATCTGACTGTTCATCGCAGAAGTTTCTGCTTGGTCCAAGTCTCGTGCTTCCCGGCTGTCTGGGTATAGAACGGAAACTTACTATATCGGTGGAAAGAAATATTCTTTGACTAACTTTTTTTGGCATATATGGATTAACTTGTATCGAGCTCTCACGGAAAAGGCAGATTTGTAAAGCACGTAGAGTTGTTTGATGCTCAAATTCTACATGATTTTGATCGATCAAACAACATCTCACTGTTAAATTAAATCAAAGATTACGTGTAAGCAAATAGCTTTTTAAAAAATGGGCGATTGCTTACCCTCCAATTTCGATCTTGCAAAACTCCATTTTGATCGATTCAACATTTATTGAAATTTCAAAATTATCTATGCTAGAAATTTTTCTCTTTGCTGTGTTCAGCTGCTATACATTCAAAACTGCAATTAAAGAACATTAAAAGGGTCGACAAATCGATTATAATTATAATTTTCTGTATTTTAGGTTGGTTTTGGGATTATCCTCAACGAGGTACACAAGGGTATAGGTTTGGGTTTTCTGTGGTTACTTCTTTGCTTGTTGTTGAATCAATAACAAGGTAATGAAATATTGACATATCCCTTGTTTATTTACTTTTCTTTTTTAGGGAAGATGAATTTGATCCCAAATCAAACGATAAGTGCAGCATCACTTTTCGAAGTTTTCTGATGATGAATTAACTAAAACAAGATGCCGGTAGTTTGTCTTTGAAGTACCTGTACCAGAGTGACAATAATATGAAAAAAGATCTTATTCATGGGCCGATCTGTTTTTTTTTTACTCTTTTTTAGTAATTTAGCATGTACAATAAACACTTCAGCAACCAGAACAAATATAAAATCCTGGCATAATTATTCCAACCATTATGATCTCTTCCTTTTCATATAGGGTGTTATTTCAAAGAATTTTCCCTCAAAATATTAGTTAACTACCTAAGATTGTGACTGAAGCTCATGCTAATTTAAAGAAAAAGAAAACTACCAGCAAAACTACTTTGAAGCATTATGCAGTCATGGTCAAGTACACCCCAAACCACAAATTCACAGGGCGACTTCTCAAACCGCGTCAATTGGAAAAAGATTATCCAATCCCAACATTTTTTTGGAAAACAGAAAATTCTCACTTGTTTTGGAAAAGACCACTAAAATTCAAGGTTCAGCTATAGAACCATTGAAAGGTTAAAATATTCAACCGTTTGAACTGACTTCGCCTCTCAGGAAGCAGCCCTCAAAATTCTTCATGTTTATTGGTTCGTTTGCAAAAAACCTTGAGAATCTTTTGTTTTCAAAAAACGTTGTGATTGGATAATCTTCTTTCAGGTGTCCCGGTTCGAGAAGTCGCACTGAAATACTTCTGGCAAATAATGTATCTATGAATCCTGGGTCAGGCTCTGCTCCTTGAACCAGTGTGAAAAACTTTAGAAGGCTTGAGCTTTTGTCTCGCATTCCATCGATTATACCTCACCTTGGAGGTCTCTCAGGTATACACTTCACTCCTAATGTTAATGGGAATATGAAAGATCTTGCATCCAGAAGTAGGAACACACTGAATGCTCAGCTGAATGCACCCACCAAAGCCAAAACGTAATATGGATTAAAAAAAAAACTATTGAATTTCCTTAAAACAAACAAAAAACGTTAACATATTGTTAGCAGGTAAACAGTTTTGATAAATCTTGTTACCTGTGCTTTTAATTTCGGCTTTGGCTGCTTCTTCTTGGCTTGTATTATCTTCTTTTTCTTGAGTTGGTGTTAATGTTAGTTCAGCTGAAGCAGGGGCCATAATTGAGTTACCCCTAATAAAGCTTCTGCTTGATGCTTGTCCTTGTGAATTTACCTTACTATTGCTCTGGTGCAAACCTGGGTAGATAGACCAACATACAGATACAAGAAAAATGTATAAAAATATTTGCCAGTACGCTGTATTTGAACAGGGAGGGGGTTGGGGGAAGCTTATTTTTGTGACCCCGTGATCCAACAATTTTTGGTGTCTATTAATCGCGTTGTGCTGAAAACCCGTTGTGTATTCTAATTGAAGTGGCCTTCCTGAAACGCGAATTCTTACAATCCTTGATTGTGAGTCGTGAATACACATACATTGAACAATTTAAGTCACTTTTGATAAACAGTGTTTTTTTGTTTTGCTTTTTTTTCCAGCAAGAAAGGGCAACCGCGAAGTTGAGCGTCAAGTGCAACATATATTTTGTAAAGGCATAAAATTAAAAATACGACTAAAAAAACAGGCATAACCCGTAAATATGAATATCTCATTCATTTAAAGTAACATTTCATAAACTGTAATGCAGTATCGCGTGGCCAATAAAGCCAAGTCATGCGGGATCTTTTCCATTAAGTTCTTTTTTCTCATCTAACGATACTTAACTGCCGGCTATAATGGTGCCTATCTTACTAGAAGTCCTATATATTTGATTGTGGCATGAGTGTATTTCTTCGTCACGTGTAAGAAATTTAATTGATTTCAAAAATGCTGAATACATTAACCGAAATTCAAGTCGCTAATATAGGTGTAGTCCCATTACCTGTCTGGTTGTATGGAGCACGCCTTCGGTATTGTGCATGTTCTCGACTTGCATCAGTGTCTTTCGCCTTGTTTTCGAAAGCTCGTCTCTGCCATTTTACGTTAACTGTACTCTCACCTGTCAAAAAACGTAGTTTACGTGATTTATATGCCGCGAAGGACGTTACTTTGTAAAGGACAAGAACCTGACTTTATACTTCATATATACAGCTATATCGAGCAAGAATGTCGGAAAAAGTGCACGCAACAATCCCGAAATGCAATGTGGGTGGTTTTAAGTTCACTGTTCTTTAAAGAAATTTAAAAGAATTGGTACGAAAGGTCGTGGAAATGTGCGTGCGAGTGCCAAAGGAAAGCAACAAAAGTAGGTTCAACAAGTACAGTCGTCAGAAACACTGTATTGATCATATCCCACATTACCATTCGGGATTGTCGCGTGCACATTTTTCCGACAATCTTTCTCGAAGTAGCTGTATATAACAACACTGCCGGGTGTAAAAGGGCCTTTCAGTCTAATTCAACATCCTAAACTCAGTAGCCTCGCAGGTCTTCAGAACCTCTGATTTAATTGGACCTTTATGGTCGCAGCTCTTTTGTTTTCTTCCTTGGTTCTATTGTTAACTTTGGTGTCATTATTTTCCCAGCCAATCCCATGAGGGCTTTTTACAGATCAAAGGTCGCCCCTGACTTTGCTACCAAATTGCCTGACAGTTGCTATTCGTTCTAAGCGGAGAAGAATCCAGCCAGGTCCAGACAGAACTATAAAGCTAATTTTGATTTTGATTCAGCCCTAGATATTTGTCAAGAAAGTGGCGTGCGTCGGTTAAACAGGTTGGCCTTCAGTTTTTTGGAGGTTGGTAGAAGCGCAAGCCCAGTGAAAGTTTGGTTCAATCATCAAGGCGAGTTGCAAGCCAGCACCCAAACCGCTAATTTACAGTGCTACTACTCAAACCGGGTCAATTGGAAAAAGATTATCCAATCCCAACGTTTTTTTTTTAAACAGAAGATTCTCAATTTTTTTTTGGAAAGGACCACTAAAATTCAAGGTTCAGCTATACGACCGTTGAAAAGTTTAATATTTAACGGCGTTTGAACTTACCTCGCCTCTCAGGAGGCAGCCTTCAAAATTTTTAATGTTATTGGTCCGTTTGCAAAAAACCTTGAGAATCTTTTGTTTTCAAAAAACGTTGTGATTGGATAATCTTCTTCCAGGTGCCCCGGTTCGAGTGGTCGCACTGAAATACTTCTGGAAAATAATGTATGACTGAATCCTGGGTCAGGTTCTGCTCCTTGAACTAGTGTAAAAGACTTGAGAAGGCTTGGGCTTTTCACGTGTCTCGCATTTCATCGATTATACCTCACCTTGGAGGTCTCTCAGGTATACACTTCACTCCTAATGTTAATGACAATATGAACGATCTTGCATCCAGAAGTAGGAAGGTACTGAATGCTCAGCTGAATGCACCCACCAACGCCAAAACGTAATATGGATTAAAAAACAAACTATTGAATTTCTTTAAAGCAAACGAAAAACGTTAACATATTGTTAGCGGGTAAACAGTTTTGATAAATCTTGTTACCTGTGCTTTTAATTTCGGCTTTGGCTGCTTCTTCTTGGCTTGTATTGTCTTCTTTTTCTTGAGTTGGTGTTAATGTTAGTTCAGCTGAAGCAGGGGGCATAATTGAGTTACCTCTAATAAAGCTTCTGCTTGATGCTTGTCCTTGTGAATTTACCTTACTACTGTTCTGGTGCAAACCTGGGTAGATAGACGAACATACAGATACAAGAAAAATGTATAAATATATTTGCCAATACGCTGTATTTGAACAGGGAGGGGGTTGGGGGAAGCTTATTTTTGTGACCCCGTGATCCAACAATTTTTGTTTGTCTGTATTGTAATTGAAGTGGCCTTCCTGAAACGCGAATTCTTACAATCCTTGATTATGAGTCGTGAATACATATACATTGAACAATTTAAGTCACTTTTGATAAACACTGTTGTTTTGTTTTGCTTTTTTTTCCAGCAAGAAAGAGCAACCGCGAAGTTGAGCATTAAGTGCAACATATATTTTGTAAAGGCATAAAATTGAAAATACGACTAAAAAACAGGCATAACCCGTAAATATGAATATATCATTCATTTAAAGTAACATTTCATAAACTGTAATGCAGTATCGCGTGGCCAATAAAGCCAAGTCATGCAGGATCTTTTCTTTTAAGTTCTTTTTTCCCATCAAACGATACTTAACTGCCGGCTATAATGGTGCCTATCTTACTAGAAGTCCTATATATTTGATCGTGGCATGAGTGTATTTCTTCGTCACGTGTAAGAAATTTAATTGATTTCAAAAATGCTGAATACATTAACCGAAATTCAAGTCGCTAATATAGGTGTAGTCCCATTACCTGTCTGGTTGTATGGAGCACGCCTTCGGTATTGTGCATGTTCTCGACTTGCATCAGTGTCTTTCGCCTTGTTTTCGAAAGCTCGTCTCTGCCATTTTACGTTAACTGTACTCTCACCTGTCAAAAAACGTAGTTTACGTGATTTATATGCCGCGAAGGACGTTACTTTGTAAAGGACAAGAACCTGACCTTATACTTCATATATACAGCTATATCGAGCAAGGATGTCGGAAAAAGTGCACGCGACAATCCCGAAATGCAATGAGGGTGGTTTTAAGTTCACTGTTCTTTAAAGAAATTTAAAAGAATTGGTACGAAAGGTCGTGGAAATGTGTGTGCGAGTGCTAAAGGAAAGCAACAAAAGTAGGTTCAACAAGTACAGTCGTCAGAAACACTGTATTGATCATATCCCACATTACCTTTCGGGATTGTCGCGTGCACATTTTTCCGACAATCTTTCTCGAAGTAGCTGTATATAACAACACTGCCGGGTGTAAAAGGGCCTTTCAGTCTAATTCAAAATCCTAAACTCAGTAGCCTCGCAGGTCTTCAGAACCTCTGATTTAATTGGACCTTTATGGTCGCAGCTCTTTTGTTTTCTTCCTTGGTTCCATTGTTAACTTTGGTGTCATTATTTTCCCAGTCAATCCCGTGAGGGCTTTTAACAGATCAAAGGTCGCCCCTGACGTTGCTACCAAATTGCCTGACAGTTGCTATTCGTTCTAAGCTGGGAAGAGTCGAGGCAGGTCCAGCCAGAGCTACAAAGCTAATTTTGATTCTGATTTAGCCCTAGATATTTGTCAAGAAAGTGGTGTGCGTCGGTTAAACAGGTTGGCCTTCAGCCTTTGGTGGTTGGTAGAAGCGCAACTCAAATGAAAGTTGGGTTCAATTATAAGGCGAGTTGCAAGCCAGGACCCAAGCCGCAGATTTACAGTGCGACTACTCCAACCGGGTCACTTGGAAAAAGATTATCCAATCCCAACGTTTTTTCGGAAAACAGAAAATTCTCACTTTTTTTGGAAAGGACCACTAAAATTCAAGGTTCAGCGATAGAACCATTGAAAAGTTAAAATATTCAACTGTTTGAACTTACTTCGCCTCTGGGGAAGCAGCCCTCAAAATTCTTCATGTTTATTGGTCCGTTTGCAAAAAACCTTGAGAATCTTTTGTTTTCATAGAAAGTTGTGATTGGATAATCTTCTTTCAGGTGTCCCGGTTCGAGAAGTCGCACTGAAATACTTCTGGCAAATAATGTATCTATGAATCCTGGGTCAGGCTCTGCTCCTTGAACCAGTGTGAAAAACTTTAGAAGGCTTGGGCTTTTGTCTCGCATTCCATCGATTATACCTCACCTTGGAGGTCTCTAATGTTAATGGGAATATGGACGATCTTGCATCCAGAAGTAGGAACGCACTGAATGCTCAGCTGAATGCACCCACCAAAGCCAAAACGTAATATGGATAAAAAAACAAACTATTGAATTTCCTTAAAACAAACAAAAAACGTTAAGATATTGTTAGCGGGTAAACAGTTTTGATAAATCTTGTTACCTTTGCTTTTAATTTCGGCTTTGGCTGCTTCTTCTTGGCTTGTATTGTCTTCTTTTTCTTGAGCTGCTGTTAATGTTAGTTCAGCTGAAGCAGGGGCCATAATTGAGTTACCCCTAATAAAGCTGCTGCCTGATGCTTGTCCTTGTGAATTTGCCTTACTACTGCTCTGGTGCAAACCTGGGTAGGCAGACGAACATACAGATGCAAGAAAAACGTATAAATATGTTTGCCAACACGCTGTATTTTAACAGGCAATGGGGAGGAGGGTGGAGGGAGCTTTTTTTGTGACCCCCTCATCCAACAATTTTTGGTGTCTATTAATCGTGTTGTGCTGATAAACCGTTGTGTATTATAATTGAAGTGGACTTCCTAAAACGCGAATTGCTACAAATCCTTGATTGTGACTCGTGAATACACATACATTGAACAAATTAAGTCACTTTTGATAAACAGTGTTTTTTGTTTCGCTTTTTCTTTTTCAGCGAGCAAGGGCAAGCGCGAGGTTGAGCGTCACGTGCAATATATATTTTGTAAAGGCATAAAATTAAAAATACGACTAAAAAATCATAACCCTTTAATATGAATATCTCATTCATTTAAAGTAACATTTCATAAATTGTAATGCAGTATCAAATGGCCAATAAAGCCAAGTCATGCGGGATCTTTTCCTTTAAGTTCTTTTTTTCAATCTAACGATACTTAACTGCCGGCTATAATGGTGCCTATCTTACTAGAAGTCCTATATATTTGATTGTGGCATGAGTGTATTTCTTCGTTACGTGTAAGAAATTTAATTGGTTTTAAAAAATGCTGAATACATTAACCGAAATTCAAGTCGCTAATATAGGTGTAGTCCCATTACCTGTCTGGTTGTATGGAGCACGTCTTCGCTTTTTTGCATGTTCCCGCCTTGTACTTCTGTCCTTCACCTTGTTTTCGAAAGCTAGTCCCTGCGATATTAAGTTTGCTAAAATCCCACCTGTCAAAAAACGTAGTCTACGTGATTTATATGCCGCCAAGGACGTTACTCTGTAAAGGACAAGAACCTGACTTTATACTTTATATATACAGCTATTTCGAGCAAGGATGTCGGAAAAAGTGCACGCGACAATCCCGAAATGCATTGTGGGCGGTTTTAAGTTCACTGTTCTTTAAAGAAATTTAAAAGAATTGCGACGAAAGGCCGTGGAAATGTGTTTGCGAGTGCTAAAGGACAGCAACAAAAGTAGGTTCGATAGGTGCAGTCGTCACAAACACTGTATTGATCATATCCCACATTACCTTTCGGGATTGTCGCGTGCACATTTTTCCGACAACCTTTCTCGAAGTAGCTGTATATAACAACACTGCCGGGTGTAAAAGGGCCTTTCAGTCTAATACAAGATCCTAAACTCAGTAGCCTCGCAGGTCTTCAGAACATCTGATTTAATTAGATCTTTATGGTCGCAGCTCTTTTGTTTTCCTCCTTGGTTCCATTGTTAACTTTGGTGTCATTATTTTCCCAGCCAATCTCATGAGGGCTTTTAACAGATCAAAGGTCGCCCCTGACTTTGCTACCAAATTGCCTGACAGTTGCTATTCGTTCTAAGCTGGGAAGAGTCGAGGCAGGTCCAGCCAGAGCTACAAAGCTAATTTTGATTCTGATTTAGCCCTAGATATTTGTCAAGAAAGTGGTGTGCGTCGGTTAAACAGGTTGGCCTTCAGTCTTTGGTGGTTGGTAGAAGCGCAACTCAAATGAAAGTTGGGTTCAATTATAAGGCGAGTTGCAAGCCAGGACCCAAGCCGCAGATTTACAGTGCGACTACTCCAACCGGGTCACTTGGAAAAAGATTATCCAATCCCAACGTTTTTTCGGAAAACAGAAGATTCTCACTTTTATTGGAAAGGACCACTAAAATTCAAGGTTCAGCTATAGGACCGTTGAAAAGTTAAAATATTCAACCGTTTGAACTGACTTCGCCTCTCAGGAAGCAGCCCTCAAAATTCTTCATGTTTATTGGTCCGTTTGCAAAAAATCTTGAGAATCTTTTGTTTTCAAAAAACGTTGTGATTGGATAATCTTCTTTCAGGTGTCCCGGTTCGAGAAGTCGCACTGAAGTACGTCTGGCAAATAATGTATCTATGAATCCTGGGTCAGGCTCTGCTCCTTGAACTAGTGTAAAAGACTTGAGAAGGCTTGGGCTTTTCACGTGTCTCGCATTTCATCGATTATACCTCACCTTGGAGGTCTCTCAGGTATACACTTCACTCCTAATGTTAATGACAATATGAACGATCTTGCATCCAGAAGTAGGAAGGTACTGAATGCTCAGCTGAATGCACCCACCAACGCCAAAACGTAATATGGATAAAAAAACAAACTATTGAATTTCTTTAAAGCAAACGAAAAACGTTAACATATTGTTAGCGGGTAAACAGTTTTGATAAATCTTGTTACCTGTGCTTTTAATTTCGGCTTTGGCTGCTTCTTCTTGGCTTGTATTGTCTTCTTTTTCTTGAGTTGGTGTTAATGTTAGTTCAGCTGAAGCAGGGGGCATAATTGAGTTACCTCTAATAAAGCTTCTGCTTGATGCTTGTCCTTGTGAATTTACCTTACTACTGCTCTGGTGCAAACCTGGGTAGATAGACGAACATACAGATACAAGAAAAATGTATAAATATATTTGCCAATACGCTGTATTTGAACAGGGAGGGGGTTGGGGGAAGCTTATTTTTGTGACCCCGTGATCCAACAATTTTTGTGTGTCTGTATTGTAATTGAAGTGGCCTTCCTGAAACGCGAATTCTTACAATCCTTGATTATGAGTCGTGAATACATATACATTGAACAATTTAAGTCACTTTTAATAAACACTGTTGTTTTGTTTTGCTTTTTTTTCCAGCAAGAAAGAGCAACCGCGAAGTTGAGCGTTAAGTGCAACATATATTTTGTAAAGGCATAAAATTGAAAATACGACTAAAAAACAGGCATAACCCGTAAATATGAATATATCATTCATTTAAAGTAACATTTCATAAACTGTAATGCAGTATCGCGTGGCCAATAAAGCCAAGTCATGCAGGATCTTTTCTTTTAAGTTCTTTTTTCCCATCAAACGATACTTAACTGCCGGCTATAATGGTGCCTATCTTACTAGAAGTCCTATATATTTGATCGTGGCATGAGTGTATTTCTTCGTCACGTGTAAGAAATTTAATTGATTTCAAAAATGCTGGATGCATTAACCGAAATTCAAGTCGCTAATATAGGTGTAGTCCCATTACCTGTCCGGTTGTATGGAGCACGTCTTCGGTATTGTGCATGTTCTCGACTTGCATCAGTGTCTTTCGCCTTGTTTTCGAAAGCTCGTCTCTGCCATTTTACGTTAACTGTACTCTCACCTGTCAAAAAACGTAGTCTACGTGATTTATATGCCGCGAAGGACGTTACTTTGTAAAGGACAAGAACCTGACCTTATACTTCATATATACAGCTATATCGAGCAAGGATGTCGGAAAAAGTGCACGCGACAAACCCGAAATGCAATGTGGGTGGTTTTAAGTTCACTGTTCTTTAAAGAAATTTAAAAGAATTGGTACGAAAGGTCGTGGAAATGTGCGTGCGAGTGCTAAAGGAAAGCAACAAAAGTAGGTTCAACAAGTACAGTCGTCAGAAACACTGTATTGATCATATCCCACATTACCTTTCGGGATTGTCGCGTGCACATTTTTCCGACAATCTTTCTCGAAGTAGCTGTATATAACAACACTGCCGGGTGTAAAAGGGCCTTTCAGTCTAATTCAAAATCCTAAACTCAGTAGCCTCGCAGGTCTTCAAAACCTCTGATTTAATTGGACCTTTATGGTCGCAGCTTTTTTGTTTTCTTCCTTGGTTCCATTGTTAACTTTGGTGTCATTATTTTCCCAGCCAATCCCATGAGGGCTTTTAACAGATCAAAGGTCGCCCCTGACGTTGCTACCAAATTGCCTGACAGTTGCTATTCGTTCTAAGCTGGGAAGAGTCGAGGCAGGTCCAGCCAGAGCTACAAAGCTAATTTTGATTCTGATTTAGCCCTAGATATTTGTCAAGAAAGTGGTGTGCGTCGGTTAAACAGGTTGGCCTTCAGTCTTTGGTGGTTGGTAGAAGCGCAACTCAAATGAAAGTTGGGTTCAATTAAAAGGCGAGTTGCAAGCAAGGACCCAAGCCGCAGATTTACAGTGCGACTACTCCAACCGGGTCACTTGGAAAAAGATTATCCAATCCCAACGTTTTTTCGGAAAACAGAAAATTCTCACTTTTTTTGGAAAGGACCACTAAAATTCAAGGTTCAGCTATAGAACCATTGAAAAGTTAAAATATTCAACCGTTTGAACTTACTTCGCCTCTGGGGAAGCAGCCCTCAAAATTCTTCATGTTTATTGGTCCGTTTGCAAAAAACCTTGAGAATCTTTTGTTTTCATAGAAAGTTGTGATTGGATAATCTTCTTTCAGGTGTCCCGGTTCGAGAAGTCGCACTGAAATACTTCTGGCAAATAATGTATCTATGAATCCTGGGTCAGGCTCTGCTCCTTGAACCAGTGTGAAAAACTTTAGAAGGCTTGGGCTTTTGTCTCGCATTCCATCGATTATACCTCACCTTGGAGGTCTCTAATGTTAATGGGAATATGGACGATCTTGCATCCAGAAGTAGGAACGCACTGAATGCTCAGCTGAATGCACCCACCAAAGCCAAAACGTAATATGGATAAAAAAACAAACTATTGAATTTCCTTAAAACAAACAAAAAACGTTAAGATATTGTTAGCGGGTAAACAGTTTTGATAAATCTTGTTACCTGTCCTTTTAATTTCGGCTTTGGCTGCTTCTTCTTGGCTTGTATTGTCTTCTTTTTCTTGAGCTGCTGTTAATGTTAGTTCAGCTGAAGCAGGGGCCATAATTGAGTTACCCCTAATAAAGCTGCTGCCTGATGCTTGTCCTTGTGAATTTGCCTTACTACTGCTCTGGTGCAAACCTGGGTAGGCAGACGAACATACAGATGCAAGAAAAACGTATAAATATGTTTGCCAACACGCTGTATTTTAACAGGCAATGGGGAGGAGGGTGGAGGGAGCTTTTTTTGTGACCCCCTCATCCAACAATTTTTGGTGTCTATTAATCGTGTTGTGCTGATAAACCGTTGTGTATTATAATTGAAGTGGACTTCCTAAAACGCGAATTGCTACAAATCCTTGATTGTGACTCGTGAATACACATACATTGAACAAATTAAGTCACTTTTGATAAACAGTGTTTTTTGTTTTGCTTTTTCTTTTTCAGCTAGCAAGGGCAAGCGCGAGGTTGAGCGTCACGTGCAATATATATTTTGTAAAGGCATAAAATTAAAAATACGACTAAAAAATCATAACCCTTTAATATGAATATCTCATTCATTTAAAGTAACATTTCATAAATTGTAATGCAGTATCAAATGGCCAATAAAGCCAAGTCATGCGGGATCTTTTCCTTTAAGTTCTTTTTTTCAATCTAACGATACTTAACTGCCGGCTATAATGGTGCCTATCTTACTAGAAGTCCTATATATTTGATTGTGGCATGAGTGTATTTCTTCGTTACGTGTAAGAAATTTAATTGGTTTTAAAAAATGCTAAATACATTAACCGAAATTCAAGTCGCTAATATAGGTGTAGTCCCATTACCTGTCTGGTTGTATGGAGCACGTCTTCGCTTTTTTGCATGTTCCCGTCTTGTACTTCTGTCCTTCACCTTGTTTTCGAAAGCTAGTCCCTGCGATATTAAGTTTGCTAAAATCCCACCTGTCAAAAAATGTAGTCTACGTGATTTATATGCCGCCAAGGACGTTACTCTGTAAAGGACAAGAACCTGACTTTATACTTTATATATACAGCTATTTCGAGCAAGGATGTCGGAAAAAGTGCACGCGACAATCCCGAAATGCATTGTGGGCGGTTTTAAGTTCACTGTTCTTTAAAGAAATTTAAAAGAATTGCGACGAAAGGCCGTGGAAATGTGTTTGCGAGTGCTATAGGACAGCAACAAAAGTAGGTTCGATAGGTGCAGTCGTCACAAACACTGTATTGATCATATCCCACATTACCTTTCGGGATTGTCGCGTGCACATTTTTCCGACAACCTTTCTCGAAGTAGCTGTATATAACAACACTGCCGGGTGTAAAAGGGCCTTTAAGTCTAATACAAGATCCTAAACTCAGTAGCCTCGCAGGTCTTCAGAACCTCTGATTTAATTGGACCTTTATGGTCCAGCTCTTCTGTTTTCTTCCTTGGTTCGATTGTTAACTTTGGTCTCATTATTTTCCCAGCCAATCCCATGAGGGCTTTTAACAGATCAAAGGTCGCCCCTGACTTTGCTACCAAATTGCCTGACAGTTGCTATTCGTTCTAAGCTGGGAAGAGTCGAGGCAGGTCCAGCCAGAGCTACAAAGCTAATTTTGATTCTGATTTAGCCCTAGATATTTGTCAAGAAAGTGGTGTGCGTCGGTTAAACAGGTTGGCCCTCAGTCTTTGGTCGTTGTAGAAGCGCAACTCAAATGAAAGTTGGGTTCAATTATAAGGCGAGTTGCAAGCCAGGACCCAAGCCGCAGATTTACAGTGCGACTAATCCAACCGGGTCACTTGGAAAAAGATTATCCAATCCCAATGTTTTTTCGGAAAACAGAAGATTCTCACTTTCTTTGGAAAGGACCACTAAAAGTCAAGGTTCAGCTATAGAACCGTTGAAAAGTTAAAATATTCAACCGTCTGAACTTACTTCGCCTCTCGGGGAGCAGCCCTCAAAATTCTTCATGTTTATTGGTCCGTTTGCAAAAATCCTTGAGAATCTTTTGTTTTCAAAAAACGTTGTGATTGGATAATCTTCTTTCAGGTGTCCCGGTTCGAGAAGTCGCACTGAAATACTTCTGGCAAATAATGTATCTATGAATCCTGGGTCAGGCTCTGCTCCTTGAACCAGTGTGAAAAACTTTAGAAGGCTTGGGCTTTTGTCTCGCATTCCATCGATTATACCTCACCTTGGAGGTCTCTAATATTAATGGGAATATGAACGATCTTGCATCGAGAAGTAGGAACGCACTGAATGCTCAGCTGAATGCACCCACCAAAGCCAAAACGTAATATGGATAAAAAAACAAACTATTGAATTTCCTTAAAACAAACAAAAAACGTTAAGATATTGTTAGCGGGTAAACAGTTTTGATAAATCTTGTTACCTTTGCTTTTAATTTCGGCTTTGCCTGCTTCTTCTTGGCTTGTATTGTCTTCTTTTTCTTGAGCTGCTGTTAATGTTAGTTCAGCTGAAGCAGGGGCCATAATTGAGTTACCCCTAATGAAGCTGCTGCCTGATGCTTGTCCTTGTGAATTTGCCTTACTACTGCTCTGGTTCAAACCTGGGTAGGCAGACGAACATACAGATACAAGAAAAACGTATAAATATGTTTGCCAACACGCTGTATTTTAACAGGCAATGGGGAGGGGGGTGGAGGGAGCTTTTTTTGTGACCCCCTGATCCAACAATTTTTGGTGTCTATTAATCGTTTTGTGCTGATAAACCGTTTTGTATTATTATGATTCAAGTGTACTTCCCGAAACGCGAATTGCTACAAATCCTTGATTGTGACTCGTGAATACACATACATTGAAAAAATTAAGTTACTTTTGATAAACAGTGTTTTTTGTTTTGCTTTTTCTTTTTCAGCGAGCAAGGGCAAGCGCGAGGTTGAGCGTCACGTGCAACATATATTTTGTAAAGGCACAAAATTAAAAATACGACTAAAAAAACATAACCCGTTAATATGAATATCTCATTCATTTAAAGTAACATTTCATAAACTGTAATGCAGTATCGCGTGGCCAATAAAGCCAAGAAATGCGGGATCTTTTCCTTTAAGTTCTTTTTTCCCATCTAACGATACTTAACTGCCGGCCATAATGGTGCCTATCTTACTAGAAGTCCTATATATTTGATTGTGGCATGAGTGTATTTCTTCGTCACGTGTAAGAAATTTAATTGATTTCAAAAATGCTGAACACATTAACCGAAATTCAAGTCGCTAATATAGGTGTAGTCCCATTACCTGTCCTGTTGTATGGAGAACGTCTTCGATATTTTGCATCTTCCTGACTTGCATCAGTGTCTTTAGCCTTGTTTTCGAAAGCACGTCGCTGCCATTTTACGTTAACTGTACTCTCACCTGTGAAAAAAGGTAGTCTACGTGATTTATATCCTGCCAAGGACGTTACTCTGTAAAGGACAAGAACCTGACTTTATACTTTATATATACAGCTATATCGAGCAAGGATGTCGGAAAAAGTGCACGCGACAATCCCGAAATGCATTGTGGGCGGTTTTAAGTTCACTGTTCTTTAAAGAAATTTAAAAGAATTGGTACGAAAGACCGTGGAAATGTGTGTGCGTGTGCTAAAGGAAGGCAACAAAAGTAGGTTCGACAGGTACAGTCGTCAGAAACACTGTATTGATCATATCCCACATTACCTTTCGGGATTGTCGCGTGCACATTTTACCGACAACCTTTCTAGAGGTAGCTGTATATAACAACACTGCCGGGTGTAAAAGGGCCTTTCAGTCTAATACAAGATCCTAAACTCAGTAGCCTCGCAGGTCTTCAGAACATCTGATTTAATTAGACCTTTATGGTCGCAGCTCTTTTGTTTTCTTCCTTGGTTCCATTGTTAACTTTGGTGTCATTATTTTCCCAGCCAATCCCATGAGGGCTTTTAACAGATCAGAGGTCGCCCCTGACTTTGCTACCAAATTGCCTGACAGTTGCTATTCGTTCTGAGCTGGGAAGAGTCGAGGCAGGTCCACCCAGAGCTACAAAGCTAATTTTGATTCTGATTTAGCCCTAGATATTTGTCAAGAAAGTGGTGTGCGTCGGTTAAACAGGTTGGCCTTCAGTCTTTGGTGGTTGGTAGAAGCGCAACTCAAATGAAAGTTGGGTTCAATTATAAGGCGAGTTGCAAGCCAGGACCCAAGCCGCAGATTTACAGTGCGACTACTCCAACCGGGTCACTTGGAAAAAGATTATCCAATCCAAACGTTTTTTCGGAAAACAGAAGATTCTCACTTTTATTGGAAAGGACCACTGAAATTCAAGGTTCAGCTATAGGACCGTTGAAAAGTTAAAATATTCAACCGTTTGAACTTACTTTGCCTCTCAGGAAGCAGCCCTCAAAATTCTTCATGTTTATTGGTCCGTTTGCAAAAAACCTTGAGAATCTTTTGTTTTCAAAAAACGTTGTGATTGGATAATCTTCTTTCAGGTGTCCCGGTTCGAGAAGTCGCACTGAAGTACGTCTGGCAAATAATGTATCTATGAATCCTGGGTCAGGCTCTGCTCCTTGAACCAGTGTAAAAGACGTTAGAAGGCTTGGGCTTTTCACGTGTCTCGCATTCCATCGATTATACCTCTCCTTGGAGGTCTCTCAGGTATACACTTCACTCTTAATATTAATGACAATATGAACGATCTTGCATCCGGAAGTAGGAAGGTACTGAATGCTCAGCTGAATGCACCCACCAACGCCAAAACGTAATATGGATAAAAAAACAAACTATTAAATTTCTTTAAGCAAACGAAAAACGTTAACATATTGTTAGCGGGTAAACAGTTTTGATAAATCTTGTTACCTGTGCTTTTAATTTCGGCTTTGGCTGCTTCTTCTTGGCTTGTATTGTCTTCTTTTTCTTGAGTTGGTGTTAATGTTAGTTCAGCTGAAGCAGGGGGCATAATTGAGTTACCCCTAATAAAGCTTCTGCTTGATGCTTGTCCTTGTGAATTTACCTTACTACTGCTCTGGTGCAAACCTGGGTAGATAGACGAACATACAGATACAAAAAAAATGTATAAATATATTTGCCAATACGCTGTATTTGAACAGGGAGGGGGTTGGGGGAAGCTTATTTTTGTGACCCCGTGATCCAACAATTTTTGGTGTCTTTATTGTAATTGAAGTGGCCTTCCTGAAACGCGAATTCTTAAAATCCTTGATTGTGAGTCGTGAATACACATACATTGAACAATTTAAGTCACTTTTGATAAACACTGTTGTTTTGTTTTGCTTTTTTTTCTAGCGAGAAAAAGCAACCGCGAAGTTGAGCGTTAAGTGCAACATATATTTTGTAAAGGCATAAAATTGAAAATACGACTAAAAAACAGGCATAACCCGAAAATATGAATATCTCATTCATTTAAAGTAACATTTCAAAAACTGTAATGCAGTATCGCGTGGCCAATAAAGCCAAGTCATGCAGGATCTTTTCTTTTAAGTTCTTTTTTCCCATCTAACGATACTTAACTGCCGGCTATAATGGTGCCTATCTTACTAGAAGTCCTATATATTTGATCGTGGCATGAGTGTATTTCTTCGTCACGTGTAAGAAATTTAATTGATTTCAAAAATGCTGAACACATTAACCGAAATTCAAGTCGCTAATATAGGTGTAGTCCCATTACCTGTCCTGTTGTATGGAGAACGTCTTCGATATTTTGCATCTTCCTGACTTGCATCAGTGTCTTTAGCCTTGTTTTCGAAAGCACGTCGCTGCCATTTTACGTTAACTGTACTCTCACCTGTGAAAAAAGGTAGTCTACGTGATTTATATCCTGCCAAGGACGTTACTCTGTAAAGGACAAGAACCTGACTTTATACTTTATATATACAGCTATTTCGAGAAAGGTTGTCGGAAAAAGTGCACGCGACAATCCCGAAAGGCATTGTGGTTGGTTTTAAGTTCACTGTTCTTTAAAGAAATTTGAAAGAATTGGTACGAAAGGCCGTGGAAATGTGTTTGCGAGTGCTAAAGGAAAGCAACAAAAGTAGGTTCGACAGGTACAGTCGTCAGAAACAGTGTATTGATCATATCCCACATTACCTTTCGGGATTGTCGCGTGCGCATTTTTTCGACAACCTTTCTCGAAATAGCTGTATATAACAACACTGCCGGGTGTAAAAGGGCCTGTCAGTCTAATACAAAATCCTAAACTCAGTAGCCTCGCACGTCTTCAGAACCTCTGATTTAATTGGACCTTTACGGTCGCAGCTCTTTTGTTTTCTTCCTTGGTTCCATTGTTAACTTTGGTGTCATTATTTTCCCAGCCAATCCCATGAGGGCTTTTAACAGATCAGAGGTCGCCCCTGACTTTGCTACCAAATTGCCTAACAGTTGCTATTCGTTCTGAGCTGGGAAGAGTCGAGGCAGGTCCACCCAGAGCTACAAAGCTAATTTTGATTCTGATTTAGCCCTAGATATTTGTCAAGAAAGTGGTGTGCGTCGGTTAAACAGGTTGGCCTTCAGTCTTTGGTGGTTGGTAGAAGCGCAACTCAAATGAAAGTTGGGTTCAATTATAAGGCGAGTTGCAAGCCAGGACCCAAGCCGCAGATTTACAGTGCGACTACTCCAACCGGGTCACTTGGAAAAAGATTATCCAATCCAAACGTTTTTTCGGAAAACAGAAGATTCTCACTTTTATTGGAAAGGACCACTGAAATTCAAGGTTCAGCTATAGGACCGTTGAAAAGTTAAAATATTCAACCGTTTGAACTTACTTTGCCTCTCAGGAAGCAGCCCTCAAAATTCTTCATGTTTATTGGTCCGTTTGCAAAAAACCTTGAGAATCTTTTGTTTTCAAAAAACGTTGTGATTGGATAATCTTCTTTCAGGTGTCCCGGTTCGAGAAGTCGCACTGAAGTACGTCTGGCAAATAATGTATCTATGAATCCTGGGTCAGGCTCTGCTCCTTGAACCAGTGTAAAAGACGTTAGAAGGCTTGGGCTTTTCACGTGTCTCGCATTCCATCGATTATACCTCTCCTTGGAGGTCTCTCAGGTATACACTTCACTCTTAATATTAATGACAATATGAACGATCTTGCATCCGGAAGTAGGAAGGTACTGAATGCTCAGCTGAATGCACCCACCAACGCCAAAACGTAATATGGATAAAAACAAACTATTAAATTTCTTTAAGCAAACGAAAAACGTTAACATATTGTTAGCGGGTAAACAGTTTTGATAAATCTTGTTACCTGTGCTTTTAATTTCGGCTTTGGCTGCTTCTTCTTGGCTTGTATTGTCTTCTTTTTCTTGAGTTGGTGTTAATGTTAGTTCAGCTGAAGCAGGGGGCATAATTGAGTTACCCCTAATAAAGCTTCTGCTTGATGCTTGTCCTTGTGAATTTACCTTACTACTGCTCTGGTGCAAACCTGGGTAGATAGACGAACATACAGATACAAAAAAAATGTATAAATATATTTGCCAATACGCTGTATTTGAACAGGGAGGGGGTTGGGGGAAGCTTATTTTTGTGACCCCGTGATCCAACAATTTTTGGTGTCTTTATTGTAATTGAAGTGGCCTTCCTGAAACGCGAATTCTTAAAATCCTTGATTGTGAGTCGTGAATACACATACATTGAACAATTTAAGTCACTTTTGATAAACACTGTTGTTTTGTTTTGCTTTTTTTTCTAGCGAGAAAAAGCAACCGCGAAGTTGAGCGTTAAGTGCAACATATATTTTGTAAAGGCATAAAATTGAAAATACGACTAAAAAACAGGCATAACCCGAAAATATGAATATCTCATTCATTTAAAGTAACATTTCAAAAACTGTAATGCAGTATCGCGTGGCCAATAAAGCCAAGTCATGCAGGATCTTTTCTTTTAAGTTCTTTTTTCCCATCTAACGATACTTAACTGCCGGCTATAATGGTGCCTATCTTACTAGAAGTCCTATATATTTGATCGTGGCATGAGTGTATTTCTTCGTCACGTGTAAGAAATTTAATTGATTTCAAAAATGCTGAATGCATTAACCGAAATTCAAGTCGCTAATATAGGTGTAGTCCCATTACCTGTCCGGTTGTATGGAGCACGTCTTCGGTATTGTGCATGTTCTCGACTTGCATCAGTGTCTTTCGCCTTGTTTTCGAAAGCTCGTCTCTGCCATTTTACGTTTACTGTACTCTCACCTGTGAAAAAACGTAGTCTACGTGATTTATATGCCGCGAAGTACGTTACTCTGTAAAGGACAAGAACCTGACTTTATACTTTATATATACAGCTATTTCGAGCAAGGATGTCGGAAAAAGTGCACGCGACAATCCCGAAATGCAATGTGGGTGGTTTTATGTTCACTGTTCTTTAAAGAAATTTAAAAGAATTGGTACGAAAGGTCGTGGAAATGTGCGTGCGAGTGCTAAAGGAAAGCAACAAAAGTAGGTTCAACAGGTACAGTCGTCAGAAACACTGTATTGATCATATCCCACATTACCTTTCGGGATTGTCGCGTGCACATTTTTCCGACAACCTTTCTCGAAGTAGCTGTATATAACAACACTGCCGGGTGTAAAAGGGCCTGTCAGTCTAATACAAAATCCTAAACTCAGTAGCCTCGCACGTCTTCAGAACCTCTGATTTAATTGGACCTTTACGGTCGCAGCTCTTTTGTTTTCTTCCTTGGTTCCATTGTTAACTTTGGTGTCATTATTTTCCCAGCCAATCCCATGAGGGCTTTTAACAGATCAAAGGTCGCCCCTGACTTTGCTACCAAATTGCCTGACAGTTGCTATTCGTTCTAAGCTGGGAAGAGTCGAGGCAGGTCCAGCCAGAGCTACAACGCTAATTTTGATTCTGATTTAGCCCTAGATATTTGTCAAGAAAGTGGTGTGCGTCGGTTAAACAGGTTGGCCCTCAGTCTTTGGTCGTTGGTAGAAGCGCAACTCAAATGAAAGTTGGGTTCAATTATAAGGGGAGTTGCAAGCCAGGACCCAAGCCGCAGATTTACAGTGCGACTACTCCAACCGGGTCACTTGGAAAAAGATTATCCAATCCCAACGTTTTTTCGGAAAACAGAAGAAACTCATTTTTTTTGGAAAGGACCACTAAAATTCAAGGTTCATCTATAGGACCGTTGAAAAGTTAAAATATTCAACCGTTTGAACTTACTTTGCCTCTCAGGAAGCAGCCCTCAAAATTCTTCATGTTTATTGGTCTGTTTGCAAAAAACCTTGAGAATCTTTTGTTTTCAAAAAACGTTGTGATTGGATAATCTTCTTTCAGGTGTCCCGGTTCGAGAAGTCGCACTGAAATACTTCTGGCAAATAATGTATCTATGAATCCTGGGTCAGGCTCTGCTCCTTGAACCAGTGTGAAAAACTTTAGAAGGCTTGGGCTTTTGTCTCGCATTCCATCGATTATACCTCACCTTGGAGGTCTCTAATGTTAATGGGAATATGAACGATCTTGCATCGAGAAGTAGGAACGCACTGAATGCGCAGCTGAATGCACCCACCAAAGCCAAAAGGTAATATGGATAAAAAAACAAACTATTGAATTTCCTTAAAACAAACAAAAAACGTTAACATATTGTTAGCGGGTAAACAGTTTTGTTAAATCTTGTTACCTGTGCTTTTAATTTCGGCTTTGGCTGCTTCTTCTTGGCTTGTATTGTCTTCTTTTTCTTGAGCTGCTGTTAATGCTACTTCAGCTGAAGCAGGGGCCATAATTGAGTTACCCCTAATAAAGCTGCTGCCTGATGCTTGTCCTTGTGAATTTGCCTTACTACTGCTCTGGTTCAAACCTGGGTAGGCAGACGAACATACAGATACAAGAAAGACGTATAAATATGTTTGCCAACACGCTGTATTTTAACAGGGAATGGGGAGGGGGGTGGAGGGAGCTTTTTTTGTGACCCCCTGATCCAACAATTTTTGGTGTCTATTAAACGTTTTGTGCTGATAAACCGTTGTGTATTATAATTGAAGTGGACTTCCTGAAACGCGAATTGCTACAAATCCTTGACTGTGACTCGTGAATACACATACATTGAAAAAATTAACTCACTTTTGATAAACAGTGTTTTTTGTTTTGCTTTTTCTTTTTCAGCGAGCAAGGGCAAGCGCGATAAAGGCAGAAAACTAAAAATACGACTAAAAACACATAACCCGTTAATATGAATATCTCATTCATTGAAAGTAACATTAAAAGTATTTAGAGCATTTAAAGTAACATTTAAGCATTAACATTTAAAGCTTTTAAAGCATTTAAAGCATTAAAGCATTAAAGCATTTAAAGTAAATTAAAAGCATTTAAAGTAACATTTCATAAACTGTAATGCAGTATCGCGTGGCCAATAAAGCCAAGTCATGCGGGATCTTTTCCTTTAAGTTCTTTTTTTCCATCTAATGATACTTAACTGCCGGCTATAATGGTGCCTATCTTACTAGAAGTCCTATATATTTGATTGTGGCATGAGTGTATTTCTTCGTTACGTCTAAGAAATTTAATTGATTTTAAAAAATGCTGAATACATTAACCGAAAATCAAGTCGCTAATATAGGTGTAGTCCCATTACCTGTCCGGTTGTATGGAGCACGTCTTCGCTTTTTTGCATGTTTTCGACTTGTATCTCTGTCCTTCACCTGGCTTTCGAAAGCTAGTCCCTGCGATATTAAGTTTGCTAAAATCCCACCTGTCAAAAAACGTAGTCTACGTGATTTATATGCCGCGAAGGACGTTACTCTGTAAAGGACAAGAACCTGACTTTATACTTTATATATACAGTTATTTCGAGCAAGGATGTCGGAAAAAGTGCACGCGACAATCCCGAAATGCATTGTGGGTGGTTTTAAGTTCACTGTTCTTTAAAGAAATTTAAAAGAATTGGTACGAAAGGTCGTGGAAATGTGTTTGCGAGTGCTAAAGGAAAGCAACAAAAGTAGGTTCGATAGGAACAATCGTCAGAAACACTGTATTGATCATATCCCACATTACCTTTCGGGATTGTCGCGTGCACATTTTTCCGACAACCTTTCTCGAAATAGCTGTATGTAACAACACTGCCGGGTGTAAAAGGGCCTTTTAGTCTAATACAAGATCCTAAACTCAGTAGCCTCGCAGGTCTTCAGAACCTCTGATTTAATTGGACCTTTATGGTCGCAGCTCTTTTGTTTTCTTCCTTGGTTCCATTGTTAACTTTGGTGTCATTATTTTCCCAGCCAATCCCATGAGGGCTTTTAACAGATCAAAGGTCGCCCCTGACTTTGCTACCAAATTGCCTGACACTTGCTATTCGTTCTAAGCTGGGAAGAGTCGAGGCAGGTCCAGCCAGAGCTACAACGCTAATTTTGATTCTGATTTAGCCCTAGATATTTGTCAAGAAAGTGGTGTGCGTCGGTTAAACAGGTTGGCCCTCAGTCTTTGGTCGTTGGTAGAAGCGCAACTCAAATGAAAGTTGGGTTCTATTATAAGGCGAGTTGCAAGCCAGGACCCAAGCCGCAGATTTACAGTTCGACTACTCCAACCGGGTCACTTGGAAAAAGATTATCCAATCCCAACGTTTTTTCGGAAAACAGAAGATTCTCACTTTTTTTGGAAAGGACCACTAAAATTCAAGGTTCAGCTATAGGACCGTTGAAAAGTTAAAATATTCAACCGTTTGAACTTACTTTGCCTCTCAGGAAGCAGCCCTCAAAATTCTTCATGTTTATTGGTCCGTTTGCAAAAAACCTTGAGAATCCTTTGTTTTCAAAAAACGTTGTGATTGGATAATCTTCTTTCAGGTGTCCCGGTTCGAGAAGTCGCACTGAAGTACTTCTGGTAAATAATGTATCTATGAATCCTGGGTCAGGCTCTGCTCCTTGAACCAGTGTGAAAAACTTTAGAAGGCTTGGGCTTTTCATGTGTCTCGCATTTCATCGATTATACTTCACCTTGGAGGTCTCTCAGGTATACACTTCACTCCTAATGTTAATGTGAATGTAAACGATCTTGCATCCAGAAGTAGGAACGCACTGAATGCTCAGCTGAATGCACCCACCAAAGCCAAAACGTAATATGGATAAAAAAACAAACTTTTGAATTTCCTTAAAAGAAACGAAAAACGTTAACATGTTGTTAGCGGGTAAACAGTTTTGATAAATCTTGTTACCTGTGCTTTTAATTTCGGCTTTGGCTGCTTGTTCGTGGCTTGTATTATCTTCTTTTTCTTGAGCTGCTGTTAATGTTAGTTCAGCTGAAGCAGGGGGCATAATTGAGTTACCCCTAATAAAGCTTCTGCTTGATGGTTGTCCTTGTGAATTTACCTCACTACTGGTGTGGTGCAAACCTGGGTAGATAGACGAACATACAGATACAAGAAAAATTTATAAATGTATTTGCCAATACGCTGTATTTGAACATAGAGGGGGTGGGGGGGAGGCAGTGGGGGGAGCTTATTTTTGTGACCCCGTGATCCAACAATTTTTGGTGTCTGCACTGAGGCGGATCTGTGAGCTCACATTTAAGAGTTAGCTAAATGAACAATGTCTAGTCTTACACTTACACGTCATGCAGGTGATACTTAGCTTACTGCGGATGCCTTTTACACCCACAACTGTACAATACAATGATCAAGCCGTCTGAAATTTGGCAGAAACCGGTCGAGCCCACGGCAAGACAATTTACAGCAAACCTAGTAAGTGTACGCTGAAACACACTTCAATACCTGGATGTGACGCATATCCGTGAAGACTCTTCTCTTTTGACCTCTTTAAAGACGCAAGTTTCCTATATGACGAAGCTAGAACAATGTATGCATCGTTTTCTGCTTCTCTGTCTGACTCTTCTTTTGCTATTGTGAACTGTTCTTTCCCAAATTTAATGCTTTCTTCGTAGTTTAGCAGATAGTGATATGACCAGGCTAAAATTTTACACGCCTCTCTTTCTTCGTGTTTATTACCAACACGTTTACTCCAAAGCAGCCATATTTTGGCCTTTTTGATGCTTTCAAGGTATTTCTCCTGTCGATAGTATTCTAGTGCCTTGCGTTTTGAGATTTGCCATTCCATTTTCGGAAATCCGTTGGTGCAGTTATTTTGCGGTCCCTTTGGCCTTTACCAACGGCTCGATTGATGCTCTGAGGCCTATCGAAATAATTAAAAAAAATTGTTGATGTTAGTCAGTTGCGAATGCTCAAGCCCTCATGTCAAACTGTTGCGTAAGAAACCATTTTTTACGGTTATTAGAAGTAGTTCAATCAAGTATTTGTACACAGTGATGAGTTAGACTTTTCTAGTTTTTCAACTTGGAACTTCGTTGATACAATTATTTGTGGGATATTATATGCATTTTTTTTAATTTCTCGATTCGAATACGCAAATCATTGCTTATTTAGACTGATCGCTATTCATAGGAGGAAAGGGTGGTGCAAATGGAGTGGGGCTATGTGAAAATTCCCCTGCCCCTCCGCCGCCTCTTACCCAGTCCCTTAATTGATCATTCATACTCTTTAGCAACCGTCATAATCGACCTTGAAGATGAAAAAGAGCAGCTGGCCGCAGATCTAGGGTTTATAGAGTACCGAAGTGTGACGTCATAAAAAATGAAATTTGTGAAATTATGGGATTTGTTAAGCTATTCTGAAAGAACAACGTCCAAGACGCCTACTCGCCAAAAATTAGCAATTTGGGGCAAATTGTCTCTGAGATATTAGCCCAGTTATGCTCCGATGACTCCATACAAATCCTTCTAAATCTTACCTGGTTCCTAATCTTATGAACCAAGCCAAATTTAGAAGGATTTGTATGGAATCGTCACAGCATAACTGGGCTAATATCTCAGAGACAATTTGCCCCGAATTGCTAATTATTGGCGAGTAGGCGTCTTGGACGTTGTTCTTTCAGAATAGCTTAACAAATCCCATAATTTCACAAATTTCATTTTTATGACGTCATCACTTCGGTACTCTATTTCGGAAGGGTAGCATAATTTAGCATAATTTAGCATAATGTTTGGCATAATTCGTCATAACGTACGAGTTAATGTTCATCTATTTTCCGAAAAAAGCGCTGCTAGTATAATTTGCTCTTATGGCTAGTTTTGGGGCCCAAACGTTTCATCGACTGATCATGCACCCAACATTTTTGGCCAGACAGCAGGACAGTGGTAGCCAGGAAAATCATAATGAATTATATTATTATGCATTAGTAAAGTTTCTAGTTGTAAATAGGGTAAATGTGTTTGCCATTTACTTGTTAGCTATTGAGAGGTGTTTTTGCACAATTTAAAGTAAAAAGTAGAAGCATAATTTCTACATTTTTCTGCTAAAATGGACATAATTACAAAAATAAAAACTAGCATAATTATTGGCATAATTTTAGAAATATACGAGCGCTGCTAGACTGCTAGTGGCATAACATGCTACTTTTGCAAAATCTATCAAAGCCTATCTCGAGGTACGGGGGCATTTGGGCAATCTCCTCCAGAATTTTTGAAACTTTACCTCCTTTTCATAATGGTGTCTAGGGATACCTATATGCTGACCTTAAATGACCACTAAAAAGAGACTGGAATCCGTCCGCTTAACCCTCGGACGTACAGGGGGGAGGGGGGAGGCGTAGGGAGACGCTCTAAAAATGTACCGGCGGACTTAGAATGTTTTTTTTTTCACAAAATATGATGGAAGTGAAATTTTCAAGAAAGGTTTTCGTCTAAGTAATCCTAAGGGGTTAAAAAAACTGGCTCTCTTGAAAAAATCACCAGCCAGAAAAAAGAATATATATCCACCGATTACCTGACGGATTTGTAAATAACATAGCTACAGTCTCAGACAAAAATAGTTGGGACACTTTAACTAAACGCTGTTTTTTCCCTTCTCGTGCTCCCCTCGTCCCTCTCAAAGTTGTTTATCGCGGTTTGGTCACCAAATCTTGTACACCAACATTAAGGGGACAAGGAGACCCCAAAGTGTCCCAACCATTTTGACTGAGACTGCAGTCTCAGACAAAAATAGTTGGGACACCTTAACCAAACGCTGTTTTTTCCCTTCTCGTGCTCCCCCCGTCCCTGTCAAAGTTGTTTATCGCGGTTTGGTCACCAAATCTTGCACACCAACATTAAGGGGACAAGGAGACCCCAAAGTGTCCCAACCATTTTGACTGAGACTGTACTTTATATATATATATATATATATAGTTGGATAAAAAAACGGTCCTTGTAAAAAAGCGTCATTTTTATGTAAAAAAGCTGCTTTTTTACAAATTGAGCGGTTGTAAAAATACTGCTTTTTTACAAAAATATATTTTTGCAAAAAAGCAGCTTTTTTACGTAAAAAAGCTGCTTTTTTACAAGTTACATGGTTGTAAAAATACTGCTTTTTTACAAATGAAGCGGTTGTAAAAATACTGCTTTTTTACGTAAAAAAGCTGCTTTTTTACAAGTTACCTGGTTGTAAAAATACTGCTTTTTTACAAAAATATATTTTTGTAAAAAAGCAACTTTCTTATGTAAAAAAGCTGCTTTTTTATAAATTAAACGGTTGTAAAAATACTGCTTTTTTACAAAAATATATTTTTGTAAAAAAGCAGCTTTTTTACAAAATATATTTTTGTAAAAAAGCTGCTTTTTTATGTAAAAAATCTGTTTTTTTACAAAAGATATTTTTGTAAGAAAGCTGCCTTTTTATGTAAAAATCCTGCTATTTTACACATATAGACCATTTGAGAAACCCATTTATCGAAGACAGGCTGTTTTCTATGGCATGGTTCTCGAACGTGAACGTGACTAGCCGTATCAGTATTATAATCTAAGGTTTGAGAAGCGCACGAAAAAGTTCGAGAACTTTTTCGTGCGCTTCTCAAACTTTAGATTATAATATATACGGCTAGTCACGTTCACGTTCCCATGTCCCCTTTATTGTGGGGCTTTTAAATTCCCTTGTTAACTCGCTGACAGCGTTAATAATTTACGTTCTTTTTATTCTTTTTATTATTTCTTCTTGTTTCCTTTGTCATTCAATTTTCCAGGACCTTCTAATTGTTGGATGCGAAGAAGGAACGGGCAGTAATTTCATTTGTTATGCTTATCGCCCGAGGTCGCGCACGGCAGTAACTGCATGTTAGGCAATAACAGAATAGCTGGGTTGTTCACTGTCTTATTTATAAGCAATGCCTGTCACAATCTCTTGCAGCAACCAAAGCCTTCTCTTCTCTCCTTCATTGCTACTTTCGTTTAAGCCGAAAACTGTACAGAATATTGTTCTGTATTATTTATCTATTTTCCCAAGGTTATCAGCTGCAATAATCGGTTAAACTGTCAACAAAATACTTGCCTATAATGCTTTGATGCTCTTGGCAGTGGACAAATAAATTATAACTCCATTTCTAGCATAAAATCCTCAGCAAGAATCAACGACAGCAATTGTTAGGCAATTTCCTGTATTATGTATGATGCGCTTAAACTTCTATCACGGGATTCATGCTATGTTGAAATCCATGTTGATGCATGCAAGAGAGTCATGTCTGCGTTACAACTTTAAGCTTTCAACATGATGTAGGAACATGTTCAGTCGGCTAATCAAGCAAAAGGAAACGCTAGCCTATAGCTACAAGCGTACATACACTCGCTTGTTAGTCTAATTTTTGCAATACACAGAGCAACTTTATAAGGCCATAAAAACAGCAGCCGATTTGTTTATAACAATTAGGGACTTAAAAATAAAGGCGGTCTATAACGTACGGCAATGCGTGTTTTATTTTAGAGATCGAGAAATAAGCCCGAAAACACTTGTAAAGGCTAAACAACTTTAAAATGAACACAAGCTGAATTCGCCAGCAACATTTAGTGTAGGACCGTTTTTTTACAAAATATATTTTTGTAAAAAAGCTGTTTTTTTACAAATATATATCAGTGTAAAAAAACAGCTTTCTTACGGTACCGTTTTTTTACACAACATATATATATATATATATACAGTACCACAAGTGAAGAGTAAAACAATATGTTTTTCGTCTCTCACCAACATATATATATATATTTACGGATAGCTTATTAGCTTTCATCTCAGTATTTAAGAATCGATGTTTCTAATAATAAACAGCAGTAAAGGAAAGAAACAAAATATTTCAGTGCACATTGATGGTTTTGACAGTAGTCAAAAAACGAGGTTTTAGGAATTCGTATTTACACTAGGCTGAAGATAAATAGAAAATAACAGAACATTATGGCGCGACATAATGTAATTTATATCGAGGCGTGGTACGCACGTGATATTCCGCTGGGGTTGGCTTGAAACAGGCACGAATTCGATACTAGCATTAGTTTGGCCAATCAGGTTTAAGTAGGTCACATGCCTAGTATACGAAAGACAGTTCCAGCTAGATATTTTTGTTTTCCTCCTCTCGCCATCAGATTGAACAGATCCCCAGAAAAACGTTTTCCCGCCTCCTCTCCATTTCACCACCTCCCAGCGATTTATCACGTTTAATCCATCCTGTCGCTTCGATATTATCACTTTTTAAGGCTGGCGGTATTTTGTCGCCCCATTTGTGAACAAGACATCATATACGGAAATGTTTACTGCTGTGTTTGAATTTTGCTAATTGTTCGATTAAAACAAGCCACAATCGTGGCCAAATTTATTCCAACAAAGTGGTTTCTTATTGCTACTTCCGGGGGAATTTGCTCTTAAGTGGTTTCTCAACAAAGCTCGCCCCTTTTAAGTGGGTCACTTTAGATCATATTTTACATGAAAACACGGCTCGATATAAAAATCTTTGTACAAGTTTCCAGCCCCGAAGCATGTTTCATTTCGAAAATACACAGCAATTTGAACTTCCGAGTTTTCACAGTGCGTAGCACCAAAGTAGGAATGCTGTCTCATTGAAAAAAAGTCTTTTCTCTTGATTTTCAGCTGTTTAACCATTTCAAGTATTAAAAGATGTGTTTATGCTCACGTATGCTAGCTCTCGAGCGAAAAGGAAGAGCTTTTACAGGAAAAGTGAACTCCAGATGTTTTTATTGATCCACCAATATGGCGTCTCTATACAACGCTCTACAAAGGTGCGTGAAA